CTAGCGCCCCGAGGAATATTATTAGGCTTCTATAGAGTAGAACTCTATCGGTTGTAGTATATTCTACTTTATTTTTTTACTAGTATCTTTTACTAATAGGATATATTTCCTAGGCTGCCCCCCGCCTTATTACGACTATCTTTATATAGTCTAGGCCGAGTATCGCTATAATAAAATAGTAGATAGAGAATTAGTCTTGGGTAAGTTAAGAACCACCTATAGAATAAGAACTACTTAACTAATAATTATTTTCCTAGATTTTCCCGCCGCTATCCGCCCCCCTCCCCGTAACTATCGCGTTTCGCGGGCTTATAATACCACTCCTAATAACGAGGAGTGAGTTTATATTTTAAAAACGTTTAGGAAACGTTTCTATTATACCAGGCTACTATTATACCGGTATAACTAATAATAATTAGGTATAAGTGGACTTATTCTTTTATAAGATTTAGCTTCTTTTTTTATAAATTCTCCACGATAATATAAATCACGATTCTGATAACTAAAGTCTTCCTCTCTATCTAACTCTATTACCCTAACCGAAATAACAGCTCTCTTTCCAGCTTAAGCCGTCTTAGCTTAAGCGTATAACGCCGCTTATCTTTAAGCCTTTGCCTCTTAATTTCGGCCTCTAATTCACGATGTTTTTACGCTATCTCCCGTCTACGCTCCTCTATACTAAGAGACCTCTCCTTAAAAGATAAAGAAGCCTATAAAGCCTGGATTTAACCTAGGGTAGCTTACTAATAAAGATTACATTAACTTCGTGAGTATCTTAAAGGCACCCCGCTTAACGATATGCTCCTTATGCTACGCGCTAGAGAACTTCGAGAATCCGACTCTATATCGTTAAAATTAAATACCCTAAAATCCTCTAGAGGGTTAAGCGGTAACCTTAAAATCGATCGGCTACTTATTATTACACGGCTTCGCGACCGATCCCGAAATTCCTCCTCTTACTCTATATTAGCCTTATATAGTGTTCTTTCTAGAATACTATAAGGTTAGTAACTCTTCTCCTAAATATTATAAAACAGGAAAGCTTACTTTTCCGACCTAAGTAATTATCTACTTAGCCTCTTATACTAGTATTTCGCTATAATTCGGGGACTCGAAGGGAACGGGTCGTAAAATCTCTAGAGATTAGATTCTAGTTATAATCTCGATATCTACTAGAGTTAGTAAGTATATTCATAATAACTTATACTAAGCTTACCTATTAATAACTTTAAGAATATAGATATTTCGCCTAGTCTATAAGTATAAGAATTAATATATAACCTTAACTATATTTAAATTATTAGTAATTAATGCCTAGTCTTTAGCGGGAATTCTTAAAGCAGCTCGATAAAATCCTATAGCGATATATAGGAATCGCTTATATATCGCCTAGTCACGGTACTAGAGAAACCTCCCTAGTAAATAGGTTAGTTTTTATTATCCTCCCCGAAATATTTCTAAATCGTTTCTAAATCGTTTTTAGTATTAATTTAGGTAATTTCGGGGTAATACTCACGGCTAATCTCGTTATATAGGTTATTATAATCCTCCTAAGTCTAGTATTCTAATAAACTTATAAGGATTCGGTAGTATAATCCTTCCCCTCGCTCTAAGTCGCTACTTAGAATACTTTTAATACCACGCCGGAAATAAACTATACAGAGTCGTATATAGTAAGTTACCTAAGTTTCCTAAGACTCTTTAAGCTAGTACCTCTCCTAAAGATATTTTCTAAACCCTTAAATCGCTAGTAAAGCCTAGTCTAAGGTTACCCTAAAAAGACTAGTACTATAAAGGTATTTCCACTAAATTAGAATCGTATACTTATTCTTAAAGATCCGGAAGACCTAACGAAATATATATAGATATATCTCTATTATCTCGGAGTTTATATAGTATCTTACTAAAGGAAGCACTAAAGGATATTAGAAACGATTTAGAAACGATTTAGAGATAATTCAGAAATATTCAGAAACATTCAGAAACATTTAGAAACATTCAGAAATATTCAGAAACGGTTCGGGAACGATTCAGAAACGATTTAAAAATATACCTCTTTCCGAGTTTTAACTATACTATACCTAAATAATTTCCTTTTACTCTATACCGCCGATATATTTATAATTAGTATTATTGAAAAAGGAAGTTATATTAGGAAACTTCTACTATTTTACCTACTCCTTAAAAAAGCAGATTACTATATAGTTATATCGTGATTAGTAAGAGTCCTAGATATACTAATATAGTCTATTAGAACGGTTCTATAATAATCGTTAATAAGGTACTATACTTATATATATTCGTTAATTTACTTCTTTTATTTACTCTAGGGCTAAGATAAGGCCCTGACCGCCTTAAGGAAAAAGGATAATCTATTACTTACGAATAATATACCGAAGATAATCGGTATTCACGAGGCTAGTATAAATATCTATAATTATCTTCCCTTTAAATTCTGCCACGAATTCTTTAAGTTCACTTAACTTAAGGAACGCGTTAAGTGGTATTATTAGTTTATTAATCTTCGCGAGCACTCTAGTAATACTATTAATAACTAAATGCGGGGCTTTTAAGAGTAGTGGGGGAGGGTGAACGTGTGTTCTATATAAGATTATAATAATCCACGGTATTATATTAAAATCGTATAGCACGAAAAATCGGAATTCGACGTTATATTATTATTGTTGGATTTTGCTAGGCCTTACGATATACACCTTATCTATATTAAAGAGTTAGCGTATTAGTAGGAGTTAATTTTCGAATTGTTTCTAAATCGTTTCCGAATCGTTTCCGGAACTATATACTACGCGTCCTTCTTTTTCTGCGGTTCGTTATAAAAAAGTAGTAATTCTTATTAGGATTCGCTAGAATACCGTGCGCTATTAGATTAAATATCTATTTAATAAGGTCTATATACGGGTAAAAGATTAAAGGGATAACCGCGAGAAAATAACAACGCGTTATTTCGCCTAGTATCCACGACTAGCACCGTATTCGATATGATTAAAAGTCTATAAGGTGCTGTAATTTATTAGAAATAATACGAGAAAAGGCAAATACCGAGAATATAACATTTATATAGTAAATACTAAAGTCCACCACTAGAATACACGTTTCTTCCCGGTTTATATAAGCAGTCTTCTTACTAAATCTTCCTTTTACTGTCTAAACCTATCTAATATAATATTAGTATATATATTCCTTTAATCTTAACGCGTTTTATTTACCCTAAAGTCTTTTTCTACACCGTAAGCTCCTTAACTTCGGATCTTCGCACACTAATTTAGTTAAGGAGCTATAGTATTATACTCTCGTAATAAAACTCTAATTCGGAAAGATATTAGTAAGCTTTCCCGTCTTAATAAGTGTATATATAGCGGAAAACAGGTGTATCTCTAAGTATAGCACTAATAGCCCGAAAACTAGGTTATTTTCGAGCTATTTCGTACTCAATCTAGAAGAAAATAGGTTAGTAATTTTTGAGGATATCTGACGATATCGGATAAACGGAAGGGACGAAAGTCACGAAAAGCAGTGGGAAAAATAAGAAGGTAATAATAGGATTGTAAGGTAGGATCTCTGCGCGCGTATTGTCTCTTCTTCGGATCGAAAAAGGGATTGAGATAAAGGATAAAGGATTAAGAATAAAGAACAAAGAAAAGAAGAACCGAACCGAGGGAACGGGTTGATATCCTTTGTTCTTTGTAAAGGATCGATATCGTAATAATATCGTAATCTATTGTATCCTTTGTCTGACTCGTAATAGATGAACTGACTCGAAAGAGAACGGTCTAGGCTTGCGGGGAAGATATCCTTTGTTCGAGTACGAAGGATATACTCGAAAGATATTAAGGATATTATTAGTAATAATATTAATATCAAAAGTAATTAATAAACTAAATAGAGCTAAAACGTATAATTTTCTATAAAGACCTTTTCTCCTCGTTATTTAAAACGTCTACTAGGATAATAATAGCTACCCTAGTAGGTAATATTTAAGGTATCTTAGAAATTCTAGCTATATATAGGATATTATCCACCTCTATAGTATAAGAGCCTAGGGTAAGTCTTCTATTACTATATATAGCGGTAGAGATTAGAATTAGGACGTTTTCCTCGTTTAATAGAATCTAACGCTAATTAGTAACCGGTAATATAAGATAGTAGTTAGTATATACTTACTTATTTAACTTAATTCTTTTATATAACGTCTTATAGTAGTCGCCGGCTAGGATATAGTCTATAAAGATAAGGTCTTTAATTCTTATTTTTAATAAATCTAAGATTATAAAAGTCGTCTTCTTATTCTTCTAAGTCTTCGACCTCTTCTCGTGGCTAAATCTCACTATTAGGATTTAGTTCCGTATATAAAGTTATCTCGAATTATTTCTTAATCGTTTCCGAATCGGTTCCTAATGGTTTCCTAATCGTTTCCCGGCTCTTTATTAATTTATCACTATCTCCCACTCTACTTTATTACCCCTTACTTATTTACCCCTTATATTAATACCCGACACTTAAGGCGTACACGTATATTATATAACCTAGTATAGACCGTGCCCTATAGTAACCCTCAGCTTAACTCTCCGCCCTACTCCGCCCCACACCTACCCTCAGGCTAGCCTCACCCTTGGATATCAGTTTACCTGTAACCTCCAGGAAATCGAACAAAAAAATATCGTTCTGTTCTTTTTTCTATCTTGGATATCTTGGAACATCGCTCAAATGGTATCCTCTGGTTCCCTTTAGGGCAGTCGTCCTGTATGAGGATGCACAGTGCGCTATGCCTATAAAAGGGAAGGCCCTGCCACCACTTGCTTATCTGGGATTAGATGCCCACGCCTTGGTCCCACAAAAAATCCATTTACGCTCTGAATTCACCCCACAATAAATCGCGTTCTCCCTGGCGCGAATATTCAAACGATCGCGTCGATTGACGATTCTCTACTCCCATTGATAGATGCGCCTGGTAGAGTCTGGATAACCTTCTGGATACCCTTCTAGATAACCTTCTCTACCAATACTCTCTAGGCACCCTACCAACTCTCTACTTAACTCGGACCGTGCCGTGCTCTGGACATCGTCTCCCCGCTTCACTCTACCCCCATCATGACTGACAGCGACGAATGTTCGTGACAGCTTGCCCCGTTTCTCTCCCGCCCCCATCATATGGCTAATGATGTTCGTTTAGGGTTGGCTAATGCCAATGAGGCATTCACCATTAGCCTGGTGAAGCACGCCGCGGATGGCTTCAAGACGGTTGGCACATTCAATCCCAGGTTCACCTATCCAATCTTCGGAGATGAAGAGCACATTTTTGGGTACAAGGACCTCAAAATCAACCTCCGTTATAATGCGAGTGACATGCGGCCGCATGTCCAGATATCGTCGAGCAAGAAGTCCAAGGCAGTGGGGGATATCGAACCCGTGGATGTCAAAGGAATTCTACAGGAACATTTGCCGCCAAGTAGGCTCCCACTTCAGGTCGGATTTCTTTTTGTCAGGTTGATCTTTACTCACTGTTCTGCACTGTTCTGCAGTCGCCTTCTCCAGCGGCAGCGACTTCAAATCTAGTGCGCGGAAACAACCCCCGAACTGGCAACCGCCTGGTGCACCCCACGATAGCTTCGAAGCCGCCGATGGAACCTACGAGATTCGGAAAGGCAGCCTAGCCGACGCAGCCATTCGCCAACTGATCAACCGCATCGAGATTCTTGTCCCCTTGTTTATCGAAGGTGGATCTTACATTGGAAGAGAACAACATTCCGAAGAGCCGTGGAAGGGCCCGGAGGATGCGGCGCGATGGACTGTTTTCCTCCTCTACCAGAAGCAGCCTGCTGTTGGCGCCACAGGGTCTCCGTCGTACACCTTCGTGGGCTATTCGACGGTCTATAAGTTTTTCCCCTTCCAAGCCCCGACCCCTCCGGCGTCCCCCGCGGCGGACTGGGAACTGCCCAAGGGCGAATTCGACTTGGATCGACTCCCATGCCGCTCCCGCCTCTCTCAGTTCATCATTCTCCCGCCTTTCCAAGGAAGAGGCATCGGAGCCCGGCTGTACAACAGCATCTTCGAACACTATCTCCGCAGCCCGCAGACCGTAGAGCTGACTGTCGAGGATCCCAACGAGGCCTTTGATGATATGAGGGACTTGGCCGATTTAACGTACCTCCGGACGGTGCCTGAATTCAGCCAGGTGCACATCAACACCAGCGTCGCTCTCCCGAGAGACCCGACGAGTATCGTTCCTCGTGCTATCATCGACATGACGCTCCTCGACAAACTCAGACGCGAGACCAAAATAGCCCCTCGCCAGTTTGCCCGGCTTATCGAGATGCACACCATGTCCCAGTTGCCCGAGTCGGTGCAGCCGCGCCTCGGTGTCGAGAAGGCGCCTAGTCCCACAAAGGCGGACAAGCACCAATACCACCTATGGCAGTTGTTCGTGAAGAAGCGGATATACCGACAGAACAAGGATGTCCTGGGCCAGGTCGAGCCGCCTGAGCGGCTGGAGAAGCTGAGTGAGGCGTTGCGCAGCGTGGAGCTCGAGTATGCACGGCTGCTCGCCGCGCACGGCAGGTGGCAGAAGCACTACGCTTCCACTGCCGACTACTCCACGAGTGGGAAACGAAAGCTTGCGGAGGAGACTGAGCAACAGGGCGTGAGCAAGAAAGCTCGCGTTGACAGCTCATCGTCCTAACCGAGAATTATCAAAATCTTGTACTTGTCATGACGGGAGGGCACTCTCGGGGTATTTTAGCTTTACTTTTTTTTTTCTTTTCTTTTTTTGCTCGTACTACGAGCGGGGAATGGAGTCAGGGGGGTTGGGTGCATCCGGTTTCTGGGGTGAAGAGCGTCGAGACCCATGACGCTGTTCAGACAAAGAATTGAAAATTGCTTTTTATTTTATTTATTTTACTTTTTTTGTTTTATGTTCATTCTATCGACGTCTATGCTAATATGTCCTGCAGAAAAAAAAGTCATCGTCTAATGTGCTGAATTCGTGATGATGTACGGGCTGTGGGCTCTCACTGCATCTGGAAACGCGTACCGTTGACGCCCTGGACACCCTTGCCTAGCTGGCTGGCCACGACGGTCGCCTCACGGACGGCTCGCGCCACCGTGCCCCTGACGCGACCTTCCTCGAGGACCAAGAGCCCTCCAATGGTGCAACCGCCGGGGGTGGTGACCTTGTCACGGAGGATGGCCGGGTGCTCTCCGCTGAGAACCAAGTCGGCGGCGCCGCGCATGGTCTGGGCGGCCATTTTCTGCGCTTCCGCCCTGGGGATGCCCATGGCCACGGCGCCATCGATGGCGGCCTCGAGCATGAGGGCGAAGAAGGCGGGGCCGGAGCCGCAGAGGGCGGTGGAGGCGTCCATGTTGGTGGGGGGCAGGTAGACGACGGCGCCTATCCGCTGGAAGATCCAGGTGACGAGGCTGGCGAGCTGGGGCGGGAGCGGCGGGGTGGAGGTGTTGATGACGGTCATGGACTGGCGGATGAGGGAGGCGGTGTTGGGCATGGCGCGCACGACGCGGCACCGGCCGTCGTCTTCTCCGGGCGTCGTCGTCGTCGTGGTGGGGACTGTGCCGCCGTTGCCGTGGTGGAGCATCTCGTCCAGCTGGGCCTCGGTCAGGCCGGCGCAGATGCTGATGAGGAGCTTGCCGCGGAGGGCGTCGGCCATGCCCGGCGCGGTCAGGACGTCCTTGGCCATGTAGGGCTTGCAGCCGAGGATGACGATCTCGGATCGCTGCACGGAGGCGAGGTTGGCGTTCTGGACTACCTCGAGGCGGTCGAGGTGGTCGCCCAGGGCTGCTTTGATCTTCTGTGCGCTCTCGGGCCTCCTGACGCAGGCGATGAAGCGGGAGGGGAGACGGCTGGGGATTTCGTCGGTTGATGAAGAGGCTTGGGTCCCGGACGCTTGCATCTCACGGAGGGAAGACAGGATGCCGCCGAGAATGGCGATGCCCATGGTGCCTTGACATCCAATTTCTTGGTCAGTGGCGGTAATTCCTCGAAGGTGGGGGAGGATGGTTGCGTGGCAGAAACGTACCGCAGCCCAGCATGGTCAGGGTGAGCTCTGAGGAGCCATTTTGTTCAGATGAAGACATTTTGCTAGTGGTGGCGTCAAACCAGTGAAGAAGAAAAAAGAATGGAATATGCAAAGGTCTTTGGAAATTGAGTGTTGTATGAGTGGAAATACCACTTTGAAGGTGAAGTTGTGAAACCTGATTATTAACACCCCTCCATGAGCTCCATGAGCGATATCGCAGCATGTGTAAGTCTAAGGTAGTCCTATTTAGGTACCTTAAAAGACGGGGTGTCATGTCACTTTTATGGGGCCTTAAGGAATTTCTCCCACCACCGCGCCTCGCTTATTTCCATACCAAAATGGTACATATGCATGGGGGAATAAAATTCCTCTCATTTTCCTGTTATGGTCAACACGCTGTGTGGATTGATCAGAGTCTCGATTCACACAGTTTGGTTCACAGAAAGTCAGCGCCTCGTACAGGCAGCCAGCATCGCTCAGCAGTGTCCATACAAGTAACAGGCTTATACTTGTATACTTGTATTACCAGGAGTTCCTTGCCGTCTCATGTACTCCGTATTTCGTATCTCTCCTCAGCTCTAGCACCCAAAGCAACAAGGAGATATCGTCTCCAATATCTCGGAGGAGGACGAGCCAAGAAGATGGCGGACCCTTTCGAGGTTCGCATGCGCTTCTCTGCGCAGCTGCAGCACCTCAATGCGTCTGTGGTCTCCCTGCAAAAGGCAGCCAGCTATGCTCTCAAGTACAAGGACATGGATGAGGATTTGCACTCGTGCATCCTCGAGCAGCTCGAGAGGGTGAGGATTCCGTTTGTTTAATTTCTTATTTCTATTTCTTTTTGTTTCTTCTTCTTCATCTTCTTCATGGTTATTCCTCTTCTTGAGCTTCCTTGGCCGCTGACTGATGGATCTTAGACAAACATGAACACTCGCGCCAATATCATGTTCTTCATTGAGCATTTTATGGAGATGGCGTGGAAGGAGAACCATACCAACTACATCGACATGCTTCAGCGGGACATTATCCGAGTTGTTGATGCCGTTGCTCCGGACAATGAATCGGGTGCTGCGAATGTCAAAGTCGTCCGCCTGGTAGGTCATTTCAAAAGATTTTCACTAAACTCCCCTTTCCCCTTTCCCCTACCCCCTATCCCATTCTCATGGTTACGCCCCGTCTTCATGACTTACTCCATGCAAGACCCCCTGCTAAGACGAAATAGGTTCTGCAAAACCTCCAAGTGAAAAGGTTCCTCGACGCACACGTCGTCACCGACATCGAGGAGGTCCTCAAGGAACGCGAGACGAGCGCCCACGATGCCGGCCTCTCCTCCCCCGTAGTCGACGATCACGATCTAGGCGAGATGCCACCTAGTCAGGCCATCCCCCACCCTGGTCGGCCGACGGCGCCGCGCCTCGACAAACGTCAGGTCGAGCAGCGCATCGAGGAGGACAGGGAGCGGCATAAGCGGCTTCGCGAGAGCATCTGGCACGTTCCCGACCGGCAGACCGAGATCGACCGCCTCTGGGAGGAGACCAGCGACCTCGGCGACGACGACCACTTGATGGGCCGCGAGGAGTTTTTGGCGCGCGAGCAGGCTATTGCGCAGCAGTGTCCTCACTACACGCCCCGGACCCTTGACGGGTTGTATGGACGCGAGGGAAGGGAGGCTAACGGTCGAGGTGACAACTAGATTCCCTTTTCCTTGCTTTCTTTCCCCTCTTTTCGCTCTTCCTCTTGTATTTTACATCTGTGGTTTGTTGGTCTCCCTGTACATGTATTAGTGAAGGCGTCAACGGAGTACGGATGATACCTGATTTGTGACAAAACATCATTCGAAAAAGCGCGTTGGGTGGTCATGGTGGGTTACGGGTTATGGTGGTTAGAATTCAAGGCAGTTACAACAAGAGCAATAGTCCTCGTCCAACGAGTATAGACGTGCTCCCTTTCATCTTCCAGCAGCGGACAATTGACAACGCGAAACAGTGACCAATGCAGTAGCAGTGATGAATATTGTTTTCCGTATTGTTACATGGGTGTTGATACACTCATACACATGGCACCTATCTAGACAGCTTCAGCTTCTAGTGTTGATTTGGATCCTCCGACCGGACAAGAGACATGCATAGCAGCACCGCCACCGGGTAAAAAAAAAAAAAAAAAAATTACTCCATCTCGGCAACGGCGCCCAACTCTTTGAGGGTGGCAATCATCTTCTCGGCCTCCTCCTTGGGCACGTTCTCCTTCATCAACTTGGGCGCGCTCTCGACGAACTTCTTGCTGTCGACCAAGCTGAGGCCGAGCAGGTTCTTGATTTCCTTGATGACCTTGGGCTTGGAGCCGGTCTCGAACGAGATGAGCTTGAGGTTGAAGACGCTCTTTTCGGCCGCGGCGGGGGCGGGCTCGTCGGCTTCCTCGGCCGCGGCGGGAGCAGCAGCTGGGGCGGCGAATCCGCCAACGGGGAGGTCGGGGATGTTCAGTCGGGACTAGAGGGATGTTAGCTGGAATATATATATATATATAATAAAGGCCAAAACAAAAAAAGAAGAAAACCAAGGACCAAGAAAACCAAGGACGTGGGACCAGGAACAAAAGAAGCAACAGGCAGTACCTTCAGGGTGGAGATGAGGTCGGCGGTCTCGAGGAGAGTAAGCTTGCTGATCTGGTCGACAATGGTCTCGATCTTGGGGTTCGCGGCGGGAGCGGCGGCTTCTGTCGAGTTGTATCGTCTTGCTGATGCCGGGATCCGGGTCTGAAGGAGAGATGCGGTCGATCGTACCGAGTTGGCCGAGCGAAGCTGACGAGTGCAGCTCCGAGCTGCGTACCTGCACGACATTGCCATTGGGGGGGTTTTTTCTTTTTTTTTTTTTCTCTTCTCTTGTGATGTGAAAAACGTGCGCCTATTGACTTCTTCGGTTTGACTTTGTTGTAGAAGGATAGGCGCGCCTAAACTGACCGAGGGAGTTTCCAGGTTCTTTGCGAGATCCGCTCCAAAGATTTTCGAGCTTCAATGCTCGGAGCGGAGCGTTCGACAAAGTCGCGTGCATGGGTGTTGAATTTTGTCCATTGATTGGTCCGGAAGACGAGTATCGCCGTTTTCCGGCGCTATCACTATCTGGGCACCGTGCATAGGGGGACCCGCTAAAAAGTTCAGATGTCACTTTTGCTTCAGGGTCGAGAAAAAAAAAAATATAGAACCAAAAAAAAAAAAAACCCCCCCCATCAACCACTCGGTCAAAGACGAGATATCTGCAAATCACGACGCAACCATGGCGTCTATCGATGTCTCGTCGCAGAGGGCCACTCTGCTGACCGATGAGATTACACTTGAGCAGTTACCTGCTGAACTTCTTGTGGTAATCAGAGACCACGCCTCTACGAACCTCCTGGATGCCGTCTCACAGGCTGCTCTCATCCCTAAACTCACAGGCCGCATCTTTGCTCACTTTGAGCAAGTCTTCCCGGACATTTGCGCGAGATGGATCCTCAATGCACCGAGGCTGGGTTCTAGAGTCGATATTCTCGCGTCTTTCGCCAGGGTGTTGCGGTTCGCGCCTTACCTATCAACCTTTATACGATCTTACTTGAACAACGGCTCATCATCTTCGACTATCCCGGATGGTGGTCGTGGTCCTCATACTCGTCCCCTTCAGTACCCCGATGCTGCGAGCCTGCACCGTTTCGAACCGAGTCAACTTTTGGGCCTTCTTCTTGCTGTTTGGAGACTGGCCAGTTTCGATTTGAGGAGATATTCAGGCCTGCTGCCCCCCTCGGAGTTGCAGCCGCTCTTCAAGCACCAAGACCACGCCGTTCGATATTTGGCCGTGAGGATATTCTGTCTTCAGACCCATGCCGCCGATGCCAAGCTAGAAGCTCTCATTCGAGAGCATATTGGAACCACCGCTCCTATCCTGGGCGACTTCGATGGCGACGAGATAGACTACGGCTTTCTTAGCCTCCACGAACATGCTCGTGCCGAGAAGATCCTTGACCTTCGCCGAAAGGCACAGGACGCTACGCTGGGTGATCCCGTCAGTGTTCAGCTTGTGCCACCCCAGGGGTTGACGTCCCTGGTCGCTTGCTATGGCCGTGTAATGCTCCCCCGGACGTCCGCCTCCACCACCCACTCTCCTTCGTCCCTTGTCATGACTCCGACCACCGCCAGCAACATGGAAAACCTAGCTGCTGCCCTGCTCAACGATACGAGGCCAATCCTCCTTTCCGGTCTCCCTGGCAGCGGCAAGACCTCGCTCATCCAACAGTTCGCCAAAGACTTTGCCAAGCACTCTGAAATGGTGACCCTGCACATCAACGAGCAGACCGACGCCAAGATGCTCGTAGGACTGTACTCGGCCGACTCCAAACCCGGCAGCTTCCAGTGGAGGCCGGGCGTCTTGACGACGGCTGTCCGGGAGGGAAGATGGGTTCTCATCGAGGATCTCGATCGCGCACCCAACGAAGTCATCAGCACCTTGCTACCCCTGATCGAGCGCGGCCAGCTTCTCATCCCCAGTCGCGGCGAGACCATCGAGGCCGCCGACGGGTTCCGCCTTTTCGCCACCGTCAGGACCACCCGGGGCATGCATGGCCGCGAGACCCTGCCGAACCTCCTGGGGTTGAGGTTCTGGCAGCAGCTTCCCATCCAGGCGCCTGCCGAGACGGAACTCCTCGACATCATCGTGGGCACGTACCCGGTCTTGCGCAAGTTCGCGCCGGACATCTTGTCGGTTTATCGACGACTGACCCATGCCGCGACGGCCACGGGAGCTGCGCGCCACTCCTTCGGCCGTAGCATCCTGGATCGCCAGCCCAGTTCCCGCGACCTCTTGCGCTGGTGCCGACGCTTGGCCGGCCTTCTCCTTACCGACGCGGACGGCAAGACCGGCGAAGAACCCGTCACCGAAACCATGCGAGATTGGATGTTCATGGAAGCCGTCGACTGCTTCGTCTGCAGGATACCCGACGCCAAGGCGAGGGAGTACCTCGTCCTGCAAATCGCCCAAGAGTGGCACATGTCCAAGGAGAGGGTGTTGCACTACCTCGAAGCGCACATACCGCCATTGGAGGATGGTCCGGATCAGTTCCACATCGGGAGAGTAAGGCTGCGGAAGAACAAGAAGAACAAGGACCGCTTGGGGAAGCTGGCGAAGAAATCACAATCACCCCGACCCTTCGCGAATACGACGCACGCGAAAAAGCTGTTGGAGCAGGCCGCTGCCGCCGTCAGGTCGGGCGAACCCGTCCTCCTGGTCGGCGAGACGGGCATTGGCAAGACGACCGTCATCCAACAGCTCGCCGATACCCTGGGCCACCGCCTGGTCGCGGTGAACCTGTCCCAGCAGAGCGAAGTGGGCGACCTGCTCGGAGGGTTCAAGCCCGTCAACGTCCGGAGCCTCGCTGTTCCCCTGAAGGAGGAGTTTGAGGACTTGTTCTCCGCCACCGGCATCTCCACCACCAAGAACCAGCCCTACTTGGAGCGGCTCGGAAAGACCTTCGCCAGGGGCGACTGGGCCAAGGTCTCGAAGCAATGGCGGGAAGCGCCCAAGATGTTTGCCAAGATTGTCGACGAGCTGGCGAAGCGCGAAGCCGAGCAAAAGCGCGAAGCCGAGCAAAAGAGGGCGAACCTCAACGGGGACGGCGGTGACGGCGGCGGCGGCGACGGGAACGACCAGCCAGCGAAGCGCCGGAAGACGGAATCCAAGTTGCAGAGGCTGCTCGACCTCAGGCCCCGCTGGCATGCTTTCTCTCGCAACCTGGACCAGTTCGATGTGCAGGTATCCGGCCACTCGGGCCCCTTCGCCTTCTCTTTCGTCCAAGGCAACATCGTCAAGGCGGCCCGGAACGGCGACTGGGTGCTCCTGGACGAAATCAATCTTGCCTCTCCCGACACCTTGGAGAGCATAGCGACCCTCCTCGCGGGCCCTTCCGAGACGCCCTCCATCCTGCTCTCCGAGACGGGTGAGATCGAAAGGGTCAAGGCGCACCCGAACTTCAGGATATTCGGCGCCATGAACCCGGCCACCGACGTCGGCAAACGAGACCTCCCCATCGGCATCCGCTCGAGGTTTACCGAGATTTACGTCGACAGCCCGGACAAGGACGTCAAGGACCTCCTGACCATTGTCAAGACGTACCTGAAAGGCAGCGGCACCCGGGACGACAAGGCCGCCGATGATATCGCCCGCCTCTACCTCGACACCAAGATGCGCGCCGAGGAGAAACGCTTGGTGGACGGGGCGAACGAGGTGCCGCACTTCAGCCTCCGCACCTTGACTCGCGTCCTGTCGTACGTCAACCACATGGCAGCGTTCTACGGCCTCCGCCGTGCTCTCTACGAAGGCTTCTCCATGGGATTCCTCACCCTCCTGAACAGGGAGTCGGAAAAGATCCTGATGCCCCTGATCGACCATCGTCTCTTCGGCCAAGTGGCGAACCCCCAGTCCCTGCTCTCCCAACCGCCCAAGCGTCCGAACGATGGCAGGAAGTATGTCCGTTTCGTCAACAAGGCCAAGGATCGCCACTACTGGCTCTGCCAAGGCGACCTGGAACCCGTGGAACGGCCCGACTATATCATCACCCCGTATGTCGAACGTAACCTGCTGAACCTCGTCCGGGCGACGTCTACCCGCCGGTTCCCCATCCTCATCCAGGGCCCGACATCTGCCGGCAAGACGAGCATGATCGAGTACCTGGCCAACTTTACGGGGAACAAGTTCGTCCGGATCAACAACCACGAGCACACCGACTTGCAGGAGTATCTGGGCACGTACATCTCGGATTCCTCCGGCAAGCTGCGGTTCCAAGAGGGACTCCTTGTCCAAGCCATGCGACGGGGGCACTGGATCGTCCTGGACGAACTCAACCTCGCGCCGACCGATGTCTTGGAAGCGCTCAACCGCCTCCTGGACGACAACCGAGAACTGCTGATCCCGGAGACCCAGGAAGTCGTCAGGCCGCACGAGAACTTCATGTTGTTCGCCACGCAGAACCCGCCGGGGCTCTACGGAGGCCGCAAGGCCCTGTCGCGCGCGTTCCGGAACAGGTTCCTCGAGCTGCACTACGACGACATACCCGAGGAAGAGCTGGAGTACATCCTCCAGCAGAGGAGCCGCAACACCTCCCCCTCGGACTGCAGGCGCATCGTCACCGTCTACAAGGACCTTTCGCGGCTGCGGCAGACGACCCGCATGTTCGAGCAGAAGGACAGCTTTGCCACGCTCCGCGACCTCTTCCGATGGACCCAGCGGGACGCCGACACCCGTGAGCAGATCGCCGCCCACGGCTTCATGCTGCTGGCCGAGCGCGTACGCGTCCCCGAGGAGCGGGTGGCGGTCAAGGAGGTCATCGAGAAGGTGTTCAAGGTGAAGATGGACACCGACAAGCTGTATGCGCCGACGGCCTTGCCGGGGAAACCCGACGCGAAACAGAACAACGACGACAACAACGACAACAACAACGACAACACCCATGGCGTCGTGTGGACCGGAGCCATGCGTCGTCTCTACATCCTCGTAGACAGCGCGCTGCGAAACAACGAGCCGGTCCTCCTTGTCGGCGACACGGGGTGTGGCAAGACGACGGTCTGTCAAATGCTCGCCGAGGCGCGCGGCCGAGAGCTGCACATTGTGAACGCCCATCAGAATACGGAGACGGGAGACTTGATCGGATCGCAGCGGCCTGTCCGGAATCGAGGCGCCATTGCCGAGGCGCTCAGGACCGAATTGGCCGGTGTCCTTCATGGCGTTGGCCAGCCGTCGTCGTCGGGAAGTCTCGAGGAGCTGTTGGAACGATACCATGGCCTGCCTGCCGAGGCAGCGTCCGCCATCGACGCATCCATCCGCGAACGCATCGCGTCGCTGGAGACCAGAAGCAAGGCGTTGTTCGAGTGGGCGGACGGCAGTCTCGTTCACGCGATGAAATCCGGAGCCTTCTTCCTGCTCGATGAAATCTCCCTGGCCGACGATTCGGTGCTGGAGCGACTTAACTCGGTGCTGGAACCCCAACGAACCCTCTTGTTGGCGGAGAAGGGCATAGACAACTCGTTCGTCACCGCGACGGAGGGTTTCCAGTTCCTCGCGACCATGAACCCCGGAGGGGACTTTGGCAAGAAGGAGTTGTCGCCCGCCCTGAGGAATCGTTTCACCGAGATCTGGGTCCCCTCGCTCTCCGAGACGGAAGATGTCCTCGAGATCGTCCTGTCGAAGCTGGATGGGGACCTCAAGTCTTTCGGGAAGACCATCGTCGAGTTCTCCTCTTGGTTTGCGCGCGCCTTCCGGTCGTCGACCTCGGCGGGTTATTCCATCCGGGACATCCTCCTCTGGGTCAAGTTCATCAACCACTTCGGCCACGCGGATGCCGATTTCGCGGTCGTGCATGGTGCGGCGACCGTCTTCGTCGACACCCTCGGCGCCAATCCTTCGGCCCTGGTCGCCATGGACCCCGAGACCATGGAAGCGCAGCGACAAAAGTGCCTCGACAAGCTGAGCGAACTGCTGCGGTGCGATGCCTCGGCCATCTACCGAGCGCAGCCGGAGGTGTCCCTGGAACCGGGCAAGCTGTCCATCGGCCGATTCGAGGTCGCGCGGGAGGCCGGTCTCGCGGCAGACCCGACCTTCGCCCTCCACGCGCCGACGACGAAGCGCAATGCGATGCGCGTCCTGCGCTCGCTGCAGATGCAGAAGCCGATCCTCCTGGAGGGAAGCCCCGGTGTCGGAAAGACCACGCTCGTGGCCGCCCTCGCCACGACCTGCGGCCGGCCCCTGACGAGAATCAACCTGTCGGACCAGACGGATCTGATGGACCTTTTTGGTACCGACATGCCGGTCGAAGGGGCCGAGGCGGGCAACTTCGCGTGGCGGGATGCCCCCTTTCTCCAAGCCATGCAGCGGGGCGAGTGGGTGCTGCTGGACGAGATGAACCTCGCGTCGCAGTCCGTGTTGGAGGGCCTGAATGCCTGTCTCGATCATCGCGGCGAGGTCTACGTCTCCGAGCTGGACCAAGTGTTCCAGAAGCACCCCGACTTCCGACTGTTCGCGGCGCAGAACCCCCACCACCAGGGTGGCGGTCGCAAGGGCCTGCCGAGCTCTTTCGTGAACCGGTTCATCGTCGTCTACGCCGACGTCTTCACGGAGGAGGACCTGCTCCTGATCGCGGGCCACAACCACCCCGACATCCCGCACGACATGGTCCAGGGCGTCATTCGCTTCGTCTCGAGCCTCAACCACCGCGTGGCCGTGGAGAAGGCCTTTGGCGCGCACGGCAGTCCGTGGGAGTTTAACCTCCGCGACATCCTCCGGTGGCTCGACTTGATGGCGTCGCGAGACGCGCTGCTGCGCACCGGCTCGGTGGACGACTTCCTCGGCCTCGTGGTCCGGCAGCGCTTCCGCTCGGTCCAGGACCGGGAACAAGTCGACGCGCTGTACGCCGAGGTCTTTGGGCGGCGGCCGCGGGACCACAGCCTGTATCACGACGTCAGCGCGGCCGTGTTCCAAGTCGGGAACGCCCTCCTCCCCCGCAGCCGGCTCTCCCAGCCGCTGCAACCCCCCGGCATCGACGCGGTTCGCCGGCTGCCGGAGCTGGAGTCGTTGATGATTTGCGTCAAGCAGGGGATCCCCTGCATCCTGAGCGGCTCGTCCGGCAGCGGCAAGTCCGTCCTCCTCCAGCACGTCGCCGCGGTGGCGGGCAAGTCCCTGGTCGTGTTCCCGCTCAACGCCGACATCGACACCATGGACCTCGTGGGCGGATTCGAACAGTCGGATCCGCTGCGCCAAGTCAACGCCTCGTTGCGGTCCCTCTACGACGGCCTGGAGAGGTCCATCCTGTCCCAGTTGCCGGGCGAGGTGCCCCGGGAAGCCCTGTCGTTGTTCTACGCCCTCCACTGCTGCTGCCGCGACGGTGGCGATGCCCCGTCCCTCGATGGGCTTGCGGCCTCCATGCGCGCCGTGCTGTCGATGGTCGCGCCCGAGTCGGAGATGTCGTCTCTCCTGTCTGCTGCGCTCGCTGCCTTGGCGAAACCGCGCGTGGCCAACGACCCGCGCTTCGAGTGGCTGGACGGCGTGATCATCCGGGCACTGGAGACGGGGCAGTGGTTGGTCCTAGACAACGCGAACCTGTGCAACGCGTCGGTTCTCGACCGGCTCAACTCGCTGTTGGAGCCGAACGGGGTCCTGAGCATCAACGAGCACTGCGGACCCGACGGGGCGCCCAGGATCATCACACCCCATCCGGAGTTTCGCATTTTCCTGACGGTCGATCCTCGCTATGGCGAGCTGTCGCGGGCTATGCGGAACCGCGCTGTTGAGATTCACCTCGGCGATCTGAGTCTGCCGCCGACGGAGATGGCGGACGTGACCTCGGCCCGTACGGCAGAAGTGGAGAGCAGTCTCCGAAGGTTCCGTTTGTCTAGGGACATTTCCATGGCATCTCGTCGGCGGAATTCGGGCTGCGCCCCGGATGTGAGCGCCTTGACGCTGGGGAACCTCTCGTTGAACGATGCTTCAGTGGCACGGAGGTATGTTGGCGTCACGGCCCGGGTGTTTCCCGATGGTCCTGCGTTCTCTCTCGCCACGTACCAGATGCAGCTTGACGAGCTCGTGTTTTATCTCGAGGCCGAGGAGACGGCTGGAGTAAGAAAAGCGACCTTGGAACTGTATGGGGAGCTTTCAAGAACGGGGTTCCAAGGGATTGCAGAGGCCCAAGTGAGTTGCCCAGCCCCTTTTCTTGTCTCTATTCTCGAGTTCAACACTGCTAACAAGACGTGACAGCCCCTTTCCCCCTTGCAAAATGCGCCCATCGTCCGTATTCTACAACAAACGGCCGGCGACCTGCCCTTCTGGCTGGACTCGTGTATTGATTTCCTGTCCGACCTCCATCGTTATCAAGGGGCCATGGAGATCCACACAAGGGGGGCAAAGGCAGGGAAGCTCGCCTCGCTGAGTCGTCTGCAAAGATCCGTCTTGTCGGATCGAATCGCTGCAGTGGCCAAGGACTCGACGGCCGGAGTCGCCAAGTTTCTCACTGCCGTTCTTCAAGGCGCCATGAGGTTTCTGCAAGCTCATCTCAAGAGCAGCACCTATTGGAAGGTTGGTGGTCCGGTTTGACTGTTGTTTGCGGTGCAAAAAAGAAGAGAGAAAGGAGAAGAAAAAGTCGACTGACATGCTATCAGGAACAAACCTACATCATCCGAGCCATGCTGGATTTCTGGTGGAGGACCTTCGAGTTCGTCTCCCGCCCTGCCTCTGAGCCGTTTGAGGAGGCCAGATTCCAGGCGCATCTGGGACATGGCATCAAGGCGGTCGAGTCTCTGCTTTCTTCTGTCGAGACCGACCTGAACCGCGACTTGGCCGCGGGCTTCCTGCAAGCCATCCGGGATGCCTTCACTACGGGGTTCATGCTCAAGACAGGGCTCAGTATGGAGATCCTTTGGCGACTCTTCAAGCCAGCGCCTATCCTCTCCGCCGAGACGCTCAACCAGAGCAGGGAACTCGTGCGCCTCGCCGACCGATTCGACGGGCTGAGGTGGAAGGTCCGGACCTCGGTCTCCGACCTCGCCAACGCCATGTCTACTCTGGTGGCCGCGGCGCAAGTCGTCCAGAGCAACCCGTCCACGGCCACCCAACTGATCGACGACCTGAGCAAGGAGATCGACCTCCTCGAAGGCAGCATCGGGTCTGTGTCCAAGGAAAGGGAGATCAGCCCGTTCTTCGTCGAGGCGTTCAAGAACCTCGAACAAGCCTTGGTACTGCAGGCCATCTCCTCTTCGGCCCAGGACGAGAGCGAGAGCGTCATCTCCTCCACAGACTTGATGCCGCTGGCCGTCATGTCCAACCAGCCAACGCTGGACCAAATCCGTCTCAGGGGGGCCGTGAACAAGGCACAGCGCCTGCTCTCGACGGGCCGACTGGCTTCCCGCGACACCGCCTCACACGCCTGGCATGGCAAACTGGCAAGCACGCTGCTCGCGAGGTCCAAGTCGATGGGGGCGGCAAGCCTTGGTTCTCTGCGCCTTTTGGAGGCCGAGCTGCCTCTTCTGGGCCGCTTTCTTGTCAAGTCGTCGCGCCAGATCACGGACAGCCCGATCATGGCGCTGAATCGGACCCTACGGCAACTCGTTCTGGAGGTTGTTGTCTCGGCACATGGACTCGGCCTGGGCGTGCATGGAAATATGGAAGAGGTCTATCACCGTGTCCGTTCTGGCCATGCTGCCTCTGCCGGCCTACCGGATCTCACTCCCGAGGCATTCACACGGCTGTCGGCCCAATACCACCAGACCGTGGTCACCGAAGAATGGCCTACTCATGTTGCGGCCGTTGCCAAAGACCACTTGATTCCCTCGATGATCGCCGTGGCCATATCGGACTCGTACGCAACCATCGACGATGACGAGTCTGGAGAGCCTGGAGAGCCTGCGCCTGCTCCTGCGCCTGCACTCGCTAGATACGCCCGAAACGCAGCAGCCTTCTCATCCGTGGCCTGGGTGCAATTCGCCGTCGGCTACATCAAGCTCTACGTCCCCGACAAATCCTTCGACCCCCAACTGAGGCCTCAGTTCGAAAAGGAGGTCTACGACGAAACCAAGACAAGATTGCAGCATCGCCTCTCTTCTCTGCTCGCGTTCGAGTCCCACTTCACGGGCCAGGATCACTCCCTGCGCGCCCAACTGGTCAAGGAGGACATCGAAGCCCTCGGTCCCGCCCCTGCCGCTGGCCAGGTCGTTCACTACCGCCCTTCGCAGTCGGAGCTTGGGCAGATGCAGGCCGACTTCAACAATGTTCTCAAATCGGTGGTCGACATGGGCGTTGCCTCGACGCACTTGCGGCGCGCCTTGACAGATTCTGATTCTTCGGCCGCTGAACAAGAGCTGGAGCTGGACTTGGTCAAGCAAAATGTCAACCAGCTCATAGACCGCTTGTCCAGGCGATTCGACGCGTATCAGGACATGGTCACGCCGGCCGTCGATGCTCTCCATTGTCTCCAGCTGGGTCTGTCGTTGACAGTAGGGCTTGATTCTCTCGTCCGGGACGAACTAGCAACGGGCCCTTTGATGGATCTCGTCCCGTTTCTGGGAGGCAGGCTGCCGGACCCGAATACGGCTCTTTCGGGCCGAAGCCTCCAGTTCCTCCACTACATGGGCTTGGTCGTCTCCGTCGAAGGCCTACCGGGCATCAGCGCTGCGCAGAGGCAGGTCCTGTTCGAATCCATCCACGGCTTCTTCAGCGACTGGAGCAAGAAGCTCGAGGCGGACCGCCAGTTGGAGGCATCAAGGACGAGTCTCTACCGCTTCCGGGGAAGTTTCGAGGACGAAGAAGAACAAGACGAGGCCGAGTTTAACGAACTTTTCCCCACGTTTGACGAGGAAAACGAAGAAGAGGACACGAAGTTGTCGACTGAGCAGCGAGGGCGCGTCCGGGTCCGGGACCTGTCGGTCAAAATGTCCGAGTTGCATCGAAACATCTTCCTGAAGCCCCAGGAGCCTTCGCAGAGCCTACGCGAATCCTGCGTGGCCATAAGCCGGGAAGCTGCTTCAGAGGCGTCCGAGAAGGCGGCGGTGGGCCAGAGACTCAACCGGAGGATCCTGCCCATGGCCATGTGGTCTCTGTACGAAGGGCAGGCGGCATTAGACGTGAACGCCGTGGGGGGGCGCTACAACTTCTACTCGGACCCGAATCTCCCAGCCGTACGACAACTCGTCTCCCTCATCGGCAAGATCGAGGCCCGCTTCCGCGACTTGCAGAGCGTGGACGAGATCGGCTTCATGCAGCCGCTTGCCGACGTCCTCTCGGCGTGCGAGAACCTCCTGAGCATCGTGCACACCGAGCCGCTGGCCAAGATCCTGCCCAAGCTGGAGCACCTGCACAACATCGTCTACGAGTGGCAGCACGGCGGCTACGCACCCAGCATCTACGGCGCGCCTGTGCTGTACTCCTCGCTGACCGACACCATCATCAGCTGGCGCCGAGAGGAGCTCAAGACGTGGGCCAAGCTGTTCGACCTGGAGGTCCAGAAATGCCGGGACGACGCCAACTCGTGGTTCTTCATGGCATACCAGGTCGTCATCGCCGTGCCGCTCACCTTCGTCGGCTCGGACGACGACCCCGTCCCGCCGCTCCGAGACTACGCCGTTCGCCTGGTCAAGGAGCTTGAGGTCTACTTCTCCAGCTCCATCGTCGGCCAGTTCGCCGGCCGTCTTTCGCTGTTGAAGCAGCTGCAGAAGCACCTCGAGCTCCTGGTGATGGATTACCCGTCCCTCTCGGTCATTCAGGACGCCTTGCGCAACTTCATCGCATTCTATGGTCGCTTCGAGGCAGTCATTGACGAGTCCATCACCCAAGCCAGGGCACCCATCGAGAAGAACGTCAAGAACACGGTGCTCCTCGCCAGCTGGAAGGACACCAACATCAATGCTCTCCGTGAGAGTGCGCGGAAATCGCACCGGAACCTGTTCAAACTCGTGCGCAAGTTCCGCGCCGTCTTGGGACAACCGGCCGCCCCGATCATCAGTCGAGGTCTTCCGGACAAGGAGCCTGTCACTGCCAGCGAAGAAGGGGGAAGACACTTGGTGGGGGGGAAGACGAAGACAAAGACGGACACGGACACGGACACGGAGACACAGGGCCGGGCCATCAGCAGATGCCAGGATGCCGCCCCCGAATGGCTGCAGACGAACCGCCGTCTTTCCAACCTCCCCAAGACGCTCTCGGTCATGTCTGGCATGACCGGCGTAGTAGGCGTGAAGAACAAGTCCTCTTGGGATGCCAGTCGAGAAACCAAATCATTCTTCGCATCCCTCGTGTCGTCCATTGCCGAGCTGCGCAAAGAAACCCCGGAGTATCTGACGGAGGAGAACAAGGACCAGGTCAAGCATCTCAAGACCCGGAAGCGCTATCTGTTCGCCGATGTTCTGAAGACAATGCGCCAGATGGGATTCAGGCACAATCTCAGTCTCGAAGCCCTCGCCAAGCAGGAATCCGTTGCCACCGTCCTCGGAAGCACCCCGGCGTACGGCCACTACCACCACTGCCACCACGACGATGCCGCCGAGCACTACTTCCACAAGGCCGTCGACATAGTGGCCGCCGCTCGGGTGGCGGGTCACAACCACCACGACGAGCTCACGGGGGCCGAGGTCGCCCGCAGCCTCGGTTACCTAGAAGGCATGGTCCAAGTCCTCCTCGGCCAGAGGAGCGCTCTTGTTGCAGCCCAGAGGTCCCTTGATTCCCTGACGGACTCTCTCGTCTCGGCTCGCGAGTTGAGCAACTGCTGGGACGACGACAACGCCATCATTCTCGAGAGACGGCCTTCCAACCTGCCCAGGGTCGTTCGGTGGATCATACCGGTTCTGGAGTTTGGGACTCGGCTGGTGGAGGCCCATGGCAAGCTACTAGGTGGTGTCGACAACACGGAGATCACAAGGGCTCTGGAAACGAGAGCCGCGGCGTTCAGGGCCGACGTGGAGAAACGCAACGACCTGGTTGCCGTGCCCGGAAAGCTCAAGCTCGCCCGCCGAGAGTCGCTCGATGCCGAAGCACGACTTGGCCTCCAACAGTGTGCACAGGAGCTGGACGCCATGGCAGCCTCCCGTCCCGATCTCGGGTTCCTGCTCCAGCAGATCAAGGCCTGGACGAAGTTGACGGTCCTACAAGAAGAAGAAGAAGAGGAAGAAGAAGAAGATGCCCAGGACGTCAAGCTAGGCGTGGACGACACCGACAAGTTCGGCCGCCAGGTGGCAACGTTGTGCGACTCCGTCCTCGTCGCCGTCCAGGAGTACAAGCAAGCTGCGTCGGCGTTGCTGCCCGAATCGCCCCGTACGCCCGGGTGGCTCTCGGGCAGCAGCAATGCCTTGGGCGCTATGCTCAAGGCCCTCCGCATGGACACCATCACCCGTGCCGTGCAGGACTGCATGGCTGCGATGGAGCGCCTCCACCTAGAGACGCCGCGAGTCCGCAAGGTCTCGACTTCCATGCTCGGGGTCGCTCTGCCCATTCTCGAGCACTACGCCGTCGCATGCCAGCACGCGGCTCGACGGCTCCGCGCGCTGCACTTCGCCACGGGGGAAATGACCCACCACCTCGGCCGGACCTTCGCACAGCTCGCCTCCAAGGGATTCTGCACACCGCAGGAAAAGTCGGACGAGACGCAAGGGGAATCCGGGAAGCTCGAGTCCGGAACGGGTCTCGGCGAGGGGGAGGGGGCCGAAGACATCAGCAAGGACATTCAGCCCGACGAAGACCTGTCCGAGCTCGCGCAGGAGCCCAACAAGGACCCGAACGGGGAGGAGATGCAGGACGAGAAGGATGCCGTGGATATGGCCGACGAAGACATGGAAGGCGAGCTCGGAAGCGTGGAGGGGGCGGAGGACGAGGATGAAAAGGACGATGATGGGAAAGGAGAGGAGAACGAGGAGGAAGAGGAGGATGACATGGAGGAGGAAGCCGGTGAAGTGGACGACTTGGACCCGACCGCCGTTGACGAGAAGATGTGGGATGGCGAGAACGAAGAGGAAGCGGAAAAGGACCAGCAGGGAGACAAGGCGAAGGGGCAGAAGAAGAAGGACGAACAGATGGCTGCCGAGGGCCAAGAGGCGAACGACGAGGGCGACGAACCGCAGGAGGCGGGCGACGATCAGGGGGACGAGCCCGATGCCAACGAAGACCAAGATTCTGCCGCGGAACAGGAGGAGGATGTCCGGTTCGAAGAAGACATCAAGCAGGATCAGAACGTCCAGCAGGAGGATGCCTTGGCCTTGCCGGAGGCAATGGAACTCGATCTTCAGGATGGGGAGTCCGGTTCGTCGGACGATGGGTTGGACGACGACCTATCGGATATGGGGGATAACAAGGACGACGACCTTCCGGAGCAGCAAGCATCCGACGTAGAGGATGACGACGAGCCCGAGAAGGGCGAGCAAGGTGGTGAATCCGAGGAAGCGAATGAAGAAGTGGACAACATGGCTGGCGATGAAGCCGACGACGAACCACAGCCCGACCCAGAAGAAGAGGGACAAGATGAAGGAAGCCAGCCGGACAAGCCCGACGAAGACCAGCAGCAGCAGCAGCAGCAGCAACACGAGCCACAGCAGAATGACACCGCCAACGCGAACGCCGAGAACGCGGCACCGAGCGACGTCAAGGGCGGCGGTCTGGACCAAAACAACGCGGACTCGATGGACCTCGACGACGAGTTTAGCAACAATGCCGCGCAGCGAGACGAGGGTGATGCCGGCGACGGCTCTGCGCAGCAGCAACAACAGGCGAGCGCCGGCCAGGACGGCACCGTGTCGCGTTCCGCGCAAGAGGCGCAGCCGCAGCCCCAGTCGTCCGAGAAAAAGGACAACGACGACGACGATGCGCAGGACGCGGCGCGACGCGACCCGTTCAAGAAGCTCGGCGATGCGCTCGAGCGATGGCATCGACGGCAGGCGGACATCTTGGAGGCGGACAAGGAGCAGGAGGATACCAAGGAGCCGAAGCAAGAAATCGAGGCCGATGGCGAGGGGGACATGAGTCGTCGGGAGTTTCAGCATTTGCAGAACGACGACGCCGCGGCTGACACCCAAGCCCTGGGAGGCGCGTCGGAAGACCAAGTCCAGCCTATCGACGATACCATGGCCATTGATGATGAGGACGAGGATCCTTCGAGCCGGGTCATGCCCGAGGAAGACGGTGGGGAGGATCAAGTGGGCGACGACAACAACAACAACAACAACAAGATGGACATGGACGGTCCGGAGGATGCCGGCCAGGACCAAGACAAGAAGAACCAGGGCCTCGAGCGCGAAGATGCGCGTTCCGGCGTCAAGACGCGCCAGGGGGCATACGACCGAGAATCCCCGTCGCCCGAAGACGGCATCCCGGGAGAGGAAGACGAGGAGAAGAACGAGACAGACCCCGACGAAGACGCCAACGCCATCGAAGAGACATCAGCGCAACTCTCCGAGACGCACCTCGCCGACGATCAGGGGGGGTCCCCTCTCCGGGACTTCTCCGAAGCGATGCAACTCTGGTCCGACTTCCAAAACAAGACGCACCCGCTCTCGCTCTCCCTCACCTCCCAGCTCCGGCTCATCCTGACGCCCTCCCAGTCGACCAAGCTCTCCGGGTCGTTCCGCACGGGGAAGCGGCTCAACATCAAGAAGATCATCCCCTACATCGCGTCCAGCTACAAGCGCGACAAGATCTGGATGCGGCGCGCCGTGCCCACCAAGCGCTCGTACCAGATCCTCCTCTGCGTCGACGACAGCCGCAGCATGGGCGAGACCGCCTCGGGCACGCTGGCCCTCGAGTCCCTCGTCATGGTGTCGCGCGCCCTCGCCATGCTCGAGGTCGGCCAGGTCGGCGTGCTGGGCTTCGGCGCCGACGTCTTCACCGCCCACCACCTCGCCGACCCGTTCGCCGCCCACGACGCCGGCGCCCGCGTCCTGCAGCGCTTCCGCTTCGACCAGGACCGCACCGACGTCGCCCTCCTGCTGCGCCGCACCATCGACGCCTTCCGCGACGCGAGGGCCCGCAACCCGGCCGCGTCCGCCGCGTCCGCCGCCGGGGTCGACCTGTGGCAGCTCGCCCTCGTGCTGTCGGACGGGCTGACCCCTTCGTCGGCCCACGATGCCATCCGCCGCCTCCTCCGCGAAGCGATGGAGGAGCGCATCATGGTCGTGTTCATCGTCATGGACGACTCGCAGCACCGCAAGGGGGATAGCGTGCTGGATCTCAAGGAGGCTCGGTTCGTCAAGGATGCGGAGGGGAACAGCCAGGTCGTCATTGAGCGTTATCTCGACACCTTCCCTTTCCAGTATTACCTGATTGTGCATAACTTGGAGGATCTGCCTAATGCCTTGGCTGGGCTGTTGAGGACGTGGTTCGCCGAGGTCAATTCGTGAGCGACCACGGGGGAAGTCGATTCTTGATCTGCTTGTTTGTTCTCTTTATTTATTTGTTCATTTTCTTTGTGTTGGTAGGGTCATGAAAAGTAAGGCGTTTTCTCTATTCATAGTTATCGCGTGTGTTTCCGGGGGGGGGGCGGGGGGGGGTTTATTTTATTTTTTAGTATTACATAGAAACATGATGAATACAGGATCCATATTGGAATCTGAGGTGCGATGGCCCCCATCCGCGGATGTGTCTATCCCAACCTGACAGCCCGTAGTTGATACAACAGATCAAATAGATATTGTAACCACCCCCCCTAAAACCGAGAAATATCTCTGCCGAATATCCAAGTAATAGCCCAGTACACAGGCACCATAATCTTGTTCCTCAAGCTCATGCTCCTGGTCAAGTAGGCCATCCTCCACAGCACCCAGGCGATCCGTCCCTTCAGCCCATCATACTTGCTCTGGTGGATGGCGTTCCAGCTGCCGAGGTAGGCCATGGTCCCCAGGTTGCGGAAGCGGAACGGCTTCGTATGGCTAGCGTAAATGATTTCGGGGTTCTCGGCGTGCTTGTTGAGGGCCTTGGCGAGATACACGGCCTGCTGTGCGGCGACCTGGGCGGTGGCAGGAAGCGATTGTCCGGCGATGGTCCCGCAGTCCCCCATGGCGAAGACGTCTGGCAGGACGCGGGGGTTGTTGCCTTGGTGGTCGACGACGCGAACGCGGAGGTAGTCGTCGGTGAGGATGCTGCCGCTCCGTTTGGCCGTCTCGATGTGAAGCGGGGCCGACGAGGCTGTTCCCGCGTCATCGACTACTTTTCCTTCTGCTTCTCCTTTCCTCTCTGATCTCTCCCCAACGGCCTCGGTCGGCGTGCGGAGTTCCTCGGCGGCAACCTTCTTCACGAGGGGGTTCTGCATAAGGCCGGTGCTCCAGACGACAATGCCGGCCGGGATTTCCCGGTCGCCGTACTCCTTGATCTTGAGACGGAGAGGACCGCCCTTCCCTTCGGGATCCGGGCGGATCTCCTGCAAGTGGTGTTCTGTTTTCACTTGGATCCCCTGACGGTGGAAGGTCTGGACGGCGTAGGCGGCAAGGTGGTGGTCGAACATGGGCAGGACCTTGGGAGCGATATCGTAGACGGTGATGGAGACGTGGCGCATGAGATGGGGGTAGAGGCGGGCGAGGTCATCATGGACGAGATCATGCAGTTCAGCGGCGAACTCGATACCGGTCGGCCCGCCACCCACGACGGCGAAGTGGAGGAGTTCGGAACGGGGGTCAGGGGAAGCCGATGAATCGACGTGTTGCATGGCGGCAGCACGCTCGAAGCACTGGAGGACACGGGAGCGGATGGCGCGGGCATCGCCAACGTCGCGGAGGAAATGGGCGTGGTCTCGAACACCGGGGACGTTGAAGGTCTGGGAATAAGCTCCAACGGCCAAGATGAGCTTGTCATAGGGGACGTCGATCATCTCACTCTTCTGATGGGGAACCGCGTCGGTGGCAGACGGCGGCTTGGGCTGAACCTGGACCGGAAGGGTGCGAGAGGACAACTCGTCAGCATAGGGGTTTGCCTCGACACGGACGGTCTTGGAGTTGAAGTCGATATCATCGGCCCAGCCCTGGTAGAAAGCGTCCGGCTTGAGGCGTCGGACGGACTCGAGGATGGCACGGAACTCGAGGGTGCCTACGGAGGTGGATGCTAGCAGCGGAGTGAAGACGAAGTAGGACCGTGGTGAGATGACGATGCGGTCGTATTTTCGGGGGTCAAGATCGCGGGCCAAGGCGTATCCTGCCCAGCCGGAGCCGAGGACGACTACCCTCTCTTTCCTGTGGTGGCCTGGCCGGTATTAGTTGAGACAGGACAGTTCAGTTAGACGGCTCTTCGTTTTTTTCCTGGCGGGACATGAGAAATGATCAAGACATCGGATGATGTGAGGGTAGTTCATTACTTGAGACGGCAGTGGAAACGGAGGCCGTATTTCTATTTCTGGGGCATCCTGTCCTACAAGTCGAACGGACGAACACGCTCGGCCAGGGGAAATGGCCCTTGGGCTTGGTTGGGACCATGATCGCTTGTTTCGCTATAGACTGTAGATGACTCGCGGGCGTTTGACGGACGTTTGATAATGGAATGCGTGGAGGGTGAAGAACGAGCGAAGACAGTATGGATTAAGGTAGCAATGAAGGTGTGATGAATGTGAGTGTTGGTGACGGAGAGGAGAGGAGAGCTTGTGGTTTTGAGTACCTTAAGATTCGAGTAATTGGGCTTGAGGAGGCACTGATATCATCGTGAAGTACCTTAGGTAGTATGGGGACAGTAATGCCGAGTAAGAGTGGATGGAAAGAGAAAAACGGAAATTCATGACTGTTGGGGATATAGGAAACCTTAGAGTAACCCATCAACCTGAGGCATAACTGTCATCTCGGTTGCTCCTTCTTCCTTTCCCTGGTGTCGTGAATAGTCCCAGCAGACTAGAGAAGGAGCACAGGTGCCCCTGCCGATATTATCCGCAATTTGGGGTGGCATGACGTAACCTGCTCGTTATACTGTCCGCAAGTCCCGTGTACTCCGGAGGTACGGTCACACACCGAGATGCTATCGTCAACCCCTTTGTCTAACCCTTTTTGTTGCTGTGTACAAGCGAAGTACTGACAACTGCAGATAAACTACACCACATAAGGTACCTACTCGTCCATGCTTCTGAACAAATACCAGCATGTATAAATAAAATAAAATAAAATAAAACACCCGGCCTCTTTCCCCCCCCCATCACTGCAACATAGAGTCGAGACTCTCGCCCAACACCCCCTCAATCTTGACAATCCACCGATGCGTCTCCCTCTCCACAACCTCATCGTCGTCGTCCTGCAGCTCGCTAATGTACGGCAACATCTCCGGCAGGGAAGCAAGCCACTCCTCCCCAAGCCTGTCCGTCAACGCCTGCTGGCACAGCACCGCCGCCAGCCTCACCGCCGCATGTTCCGCCCGCAGCTGCTTCAGCACCGCCGTGTTGATCTCCTTCTGGTGATCCTGCGAGTCCGCCGCCGCCGCCAGCTCCACCACCGCCGGGATCAGGCTCTCCCGCACGTCCACCTCCATCTTCGCCTTCGCCTTCGCCTTGTCCCTGTTCTTGTCCGACCCCGCCCGCCCCAGCTGCGACGTCAGCACCCGCGCCACCGCCCCGAAGTGCGACGGCGCCTGCCAGAACTCGTCCTGGTCGTGCTCGAAGCAGCGCCTCAACGTCCGCAGCACCGCGTCCCACAGCTGCCGCTGCTCCGTGACCTTCATGTCGCACCCTTCCAGCGTCGTCACCGCGTCCTCCAGGATGTACGTCGCGTAGCTCGTCACGATCGACTTGAGGCTGTCGAAGAACGTCTCCAGGAACTTGTACACGCTGTACCGTCGTGCCACCGCCCCTCGCGTATCCTTCTTGCCCAGCTGGGACGGCCATTCTACCATCTGCGTGAACACCGGCCGGAATGCCGCGTCGTTCAGCTTGTAGATCATCTTGAGTGCCACCTCGTTCAGCTGGCTTTCCACCTCGGCGATCTGCCCCAATTCCGCCGTCGAGAGCTCGCCCTTGGCCTGCATTTGCCTGCGAAGGTCGAGCGCATTCAGGAAAATGTTCGATAGCGAGGGCAAGTTCTTGCCAATGACCGACTTGGGGTGGCTATTGATGGCAACGCTCAGAATATCCACAAATTCACCAATGGCCTAACGTCTATTAGCTTTCTTTCTTTCTTTCTTTTTTTTTCTTCCGCCTCTCTCACATCAAAAACGTTGCAAAACGTACCTCGTAACCGGCTTCCGTCACAGCCGCCCAATTCTTCTCCAGTCCGGCGAAAAAGACCTTGGGTTCCACCTTGCGAGCAAGGAACCGAAGGCAGTTGAGCCGGCTATCGCTGGCCTCATCATCCAGGTCTGCCGTCGCCGCAGAAGCGCTCGACGCCGTAATGATCTTGTCGAGATACGCTCCCGTCACCATGTACGGTAAATGCTGAGCTACCGCCGTGATAAACGCGTAACCTGCATTGTGCAGCTCGCCGTGCGGCTCTTTCTCCTCGCCCACATCCAGGCTCTGTTCGATGTAAAGGATGGCTTGCGGCACAGCCAGCGACAGCACAGGCACGATGCCGTCCTGCAGCACATCCACGAGAGACGCGAGGCAGAGCAGTGCCATGACCCGGAGCCCGGCATCGGGCTGGCCCAGGCACTCCGGCCCTGCAATCGTCGTGGCCGCCGCCGCCACCGCCTCCAGGTCTTTCTTGCCATACTTCTCTGCGATCTTGTCCACCGACGCCACAGCCGTCCGCTTGTACCGCAGGTCCTCCGTGTCCCGGATCGCCGCCGTCAGCTGCGGCAGGAATCCGAGCAGAGCTGTCCGCGACGCAGCATCGCCCGTGCCCTCCTGGTCGACCCGGACCTCGAGCGCCCGGAGCACCTTGCGCCGCAGGTCCATCTCCGTCTTGTCCAGTAGATTCTCCACCGACTTGATGAACTCCCCGATCGACAGGAGGTTGAGTAGATTCGCCAGCGCCGAGCCGCAGCACTCGTGTAGATCCTTCTCGCCCTTGACCACGTCGGCAAGCGCAAGCGTGTCCTTGAGGAGAGTCGCGTACAGCTCCCGCATCTTTGATGTCTGCATGTCGTCCTGCTCCGCCAGCTCTCCAATTTCCTTCTTCAGCTTCTTCCCGGACAGCAGCGACGGGAACACGGCCAACTGCCGGAGAGCTGTCTTGTGCACGTCGTCCTTATCGCGCACATCGTCGCCCACTCCGAGAAGCGTCGATGAGAGTTCCGGCCTGGGTTGGAAAATGTCGCCGATGAGGGCGAGCAGCTGCGCCGCCGTCTGTAGCTGCACGTCGGCACCGTAGACGGAGAGCAGATCCGCCGTGAACGAGATGATGTTGGCGCTGGCCTCGTACTTGTCCACGAGCATGGCGATAAGCGCAAACAGGAACTCCGCAGGGCCGAGCGTGTTCACGAGTGACACGAAGAGGTCCTGCTTGCGATGCGAGGGGATGTGCTCGTAGGCCGTCACGAAGCTGCCGAGAAGCTCCGTCGCTCCCGCGATGGGATTCCGCTTGCCCTTCCTGAGGGACGCCATCAGCGGCGGGATGACCTCCTTGACCGTCTGGTTGACCACGTGCGCAGAGTAGTCGTCGTTTTGCCGGAGCACCGAGGCGCCCATGAACGTAAAGATGGGCATTACGCTGTGCAGAACCACATCGGGGGCAGCCGACGCCAGGCTCGCGATCAGCAGGAGCGCCGAGTTTTGCACGATCGGGCTCGTCGTCTTCTGTATGCAATTCGCCAGAAGATCACCGTACCCTCCAGAGCTCCCAATCTCCAGCTTCTTGTTCGTCTTGTCCTTGTACTCGGGCACCATTGCGATCAAGCTGGTAAGCACGAGGTTCTGCAGGTAGCCCAGCTCGGACCCTACCACGCTGCTGAACCGCTGCAGCTCGCCTAGCGTGTCGAAGAGGCTGTGCAGCAGCTCCGGGTGGGCTCGGGGGTTGCATCCTTCCACCAGCTGAAGCACGAAGGTGATGTCTCGCAGTATCTTGTTCAGCTCGGCCGGCGTATAAACCTGGGTCCCGCGATCGGCGTTGGAGGGACTGGTCCTACGGCGTTTGCTCGGTGGGGATTCCGTCGCCGTCTTTGTGCGCGTCTGGATGGACGAAAGGAAATGTGCGAGGACGTCGGTGGTAAGGTCGACATTCTTCAAGAGATCCGAAGCTTCGGTCGCAATGATGTCTTGGCCTTCTTGGTCGTCCCCTGACGGCTTCTGCTGCTCAATCTGTTGCTGCCGCGGCTGCTGCGGCTGCTGCCGTTGTTGCTGGTAAAGCTCCAGCATCGTACGAGAGACATCGGACTTGGTGTCGAGCTTCATGGACGGCCACATGTTCCGTATGCGCGTAAAGCTAGACCTCACCAGTTCGGGACGCTGTGCCGATTTGGGGTCCTGAATCACGGAGAGGAGGAAGTCCAACCCGCTGGAATCGTTCGCCACCACCGTCTGAGCAAATCTTTCGTGGAGAAGCTCCGGGCCGAGCTGCTCGGTCAGACACAGCGCCGCGACTTCGTCGGCGGATAGTGAAGCCCACCATCGGAACGCCGGGAGCAATAACTTCGTCCTCGACACGCTCCCGACGCTCTTAATCCGATTCAGAAGCGACAGGAGGTTGGATTTGACCCTCGGCAGTGGAGTAGCGGTGACATGGGCCGCTAGCCATGCAAACACGGACTGCCTGGTGGATGGGGAGAGGGCTTTTTTGCCACTCCCGTCCGTCTTCTTTCCGCCGCTCTCGAGACTGGAATGGAAAAGGGTGCCGAGGTGCTCCTCGTGCATGACACATTCCTCCAAGGCCGGCAGCACGATGCCAGTCAACAGTCGCGAGACCGCCTCACCCTCCAACTGGGGCGGTTCGGTGCCCTCGGGGAAGAGAACGCTTCCCGGCCAGAGGCCTCGCTTCTTCGCGTCACCGCTCTGAGCTGGCAACATGGTCCCTAGCCGCGCAAGGAGGTCGGCGGCGGCGCGACGGACTTTTCTGGAGGAATCAAGCAATGCAACGAGGACGTAAGGGAGCATGGCTTGGAAGTCTTTTCCTTCCATGTCCCCCGCCTGCAGCCGCTTCTTGACAGCATCCAGTGCCGCTGCACGAGCCAAGGTCGGATACGGGCCGCACCAGATATGTATGAAGAAGGCCACGAACGTGGAGTCGCTCGCGGCGTCCTGTCGGCGGAGGGCGGGCAGGTGGACAAACATCTCCAGTAGGGTCGGTTGTTCCGCGCTTTGCGCGACGACCCGGAGGAACAGCTGAGCGAGCTCCTCGAATGCGCTGCCGGGATTGGCAGAGAGGCCGGCTGGTAGAGACAGTTGCCGGACAGTCTGCTGCTGAAGCAATGTGTGCACGTCCTTCTGGAGTTGTTTCGGGGCCCCATCGACTTCCATGGCCAAGTCCTCCCCCGGCGGCGCACCAACGACCTTTTGCTGTCGAATCGACACGTCAAGCTTCATTTCGAGCTCCTCGATATCGATCTCTCCTTCTTCAATGACGCTCCGAATGATGTCACTCGAATCTCCGGTATGGCGGGACAAGTCGATCAGAGCCGAGCCGAGTTCCTTGCGCATGCTGCCCTCCGGATCGGTCTCGTCATTTAACCTGTGCGCAGCCAACACCAGCGACTTGAAGACAACGGCCACCTGCTTGTCTCTTATGACTTGGCCGGTTAGAACGGCTCGGATGACGGGCAGGCCACGAGGGTCGCCCTTCTTGCACAGGCGTTCCACCAGGGCCAGGCAAAGACCGTGGGCCAGCTTGTCGACCCGCTGTTGCCGTCCAATGTCGACGAGGGTGCCGCCCAGGTTGGGGACCTTGATGAGCGCCTTGGTCACCTTCCCGGACATTTGCTTGGCGGACCGATGGTGCGCCAGTATGGACAAGCACACGAGGCCCGGCCGCATGGTCTCGCTGGTCCACCCGTGGACGATCTGCTCCATAAAGGCGGACAGCACGCCGTCGTCCAGGTTGCCCTTGGAGGCGAAGATGGACACGGCCATGTAGGTGGCGATCTGCATGTTGGGGACCTTCTTCATGAGCATGGCCTCGCCAAAGACGGGTCCTAGTCGGTGTAGCAGGGCCTGGTCGTTGTCTTGTTGAACGGCCTGGCGTCCCGATCGGCCGTTGTCGAGCATGCCGTTGACGGCCTCTGTCATGATGCCTGCCCAGAAGGAGATGAGAGCAGGGTAGTGTTGCAGGTTGCGACAGGCTTCCAAGGTATAATCGGAAATCGCAGAGAGGAACGCCGGCTTATGGATGGCTTCGTGGACGAGGACAGACCGGGGAGGGGCGGTCAGGGAGCGGACGTATGGGTGTAGGAATCGGTATTCGTGCGGAAGCTGCGCGGGTAGGATGGAGAGGAGAGTCACGAAGGCGGGGATGGTGTGGTATGGTAGGAAGGTACATAGCAGAGCTCGGGTGTTCTCCTCGTGGATGCTAGAGGAAGAAAGATGGTGGTTAGTTACAGCGGAGGGCGGAGGGCGGAGGGCGGGTAGATCAAGACGTCGCTATCGGGGGCTAACGTAAGGGTTGGGGTTGCGGGTTAACGTACCGAAATCTCCGTACAAGCCACTCAACGGCTCGAATGGCGGGCATGAGACGTATACGGCTCCCGACGAGGCGGAGGAAGGCGTCGACCTTGGCATCGAGCTCCGCGTTCTCGGCGGCGGACATCTGGGTGCGGTCCTCATTCTGGCTCTGCTCGCTGAACAGGGTCAGGGCGAAGGGCTTGAAGCGGGCGTCGAGGTGGCAGAGCTCGTCGAAGCCGTCGTGGCATATTGTGTAGAGGGCCTGGAAGCTCTGGGCGGTGGCGACCTTGGGGTCGAAGAGGAGGGACTTGGAATGGGCGGCCTTGCGTGCCTTGGTGTCGAGGGACGACTTGGAATTGACCGCGATTTGCGCGAGCTGCGCGGCGAGAGAGGTGGCCATTATGCAGGCATCTGAGGAGAAATTGGGGAACTTCCTTTAGGGACTTGCAGGAGGACGGTTGTCGATTTGGTGTTGTAGGCTTTTCTTCCTCCTTTTTCTTTCCTCCTAGCTTTCTTCACGGAAAAGCAACTGAGAGTTGAACTGTAGATGCAGATTTGCGCTGGAAATTTTTGGACGGCGATTCGTTTTGCCGAGATCCAGGGTCCGATAAGAGATGTAGCCAATAAGATGGGGTACCGAGATATGTTATCGATAAGGCTATCTGATGCCCGTAACGGCGGTCGGGAACGAGCTCCTTCGGGGACTCCCAGGTCCCAAACAGGTCCTGACTCCTGACTCGGTATCAACATGTGTAAGAACTAATAACTGCATGCCCAATAGCTGGATCTGATGCTACAACGTACGTGAATCTGTATCCCCATATGGTATAGCTGACCGTTCCTGTCCCACATACCCGGCTTTACCTCCTACGGCGCCTGGTATTCAGGCTGATTCTTGCCCGCACCTCCAACGTCTTCCTCATAGCTTCTCCCTTCTTCGTAGATTCATAAGAGGATGCTTGGAAGAATCGGAGCGTTATATTGCCTCTGATCCTACTTTTATTCACCCTTTAACGAGACGCGAAACCAGTGAGTCGATCATTTCTCATCCCTTTCTCATCCTCGCCTCTTCACCCCCCTGAGCCATTTTCTCTCTTACCCTACCCCTCGACCGCCAACCCCGACAGCCGAGTCTCGTTTTTAGCAGCTAACCACACCACCACCACCATCTCTCACAGTCAACTCGGAGAGTAATTGGGACAGGATACAAGGATGGGCGCGGTACGTGGTATTGTGTTCTCTACAACGATGTCCTAGGTAGAACTAAAGTCCGTCCCCGTCCGCCCCCCCGCAGAAACTATACCCCCAGATTGTCCTCCTGGGCGACTCCCTCATCCAACACGCAACGGACATTATGGAAGGGTTTTCTTTTCAGGCAGCGTTGCAAGCCCGTAAGTATTTCTTTCACTGTGTGTGGCAAGCCACTCGTCACTGATTGGTGAAAGACGTCGCTCGTCGTCTCGACGTGATAAATCGAGGCTTCTCGGGGTACAACACTGAAAACGTCATCACGTTCCTCGACGACCTCTTTCAGCCTCCTTCCGAGACTGTCCCCAAAATTGACTACCTGGTAAGCCGTCATGCGCAGGCGTTGGGGGACCTTGGGGGACCTCCCAGCCAGCCCCCCTGACCTCGCAGTCTACAGGGCAATGAAGGAATGACTGACCAAACGGATGACTCCTCTCAAAGTTGATCCTCCTAGGCGCCAACGACGCGGTGCGTCCCTTCCCGGAACTGACGCAACACGTCCCCCAAGAGAAATACAAGACGAACCTGCGCACGATCATCTCGCACCCGGCCATCCGGGCGCACGGCCCCGAGATCCTGCTCGTGACGCCGCCCCCCGTGGACGAGATCCGGTGCAAGCAGTCCGACCTGGCGAAAGGCTGGCCCGACGTCTCGCGCTTCGCTGGGCTGAGCGCCGCGTACTCCCGGATCGCGCGCGACGTGGCGGCCGAGACGCCCGGCGTGGTCTCTGTCGATTTGTACACGGCGCTGGTCGACTACGCTGTCGCCCGGACGCCCGGGCACGATGCGGAGGGACCCCGGCTGGGCACGTTCGAGCTGGGGGAGAGCGGGAAGCTGGGGGAGTTGTTGCCGGATGGGGTGCATCTGAGCGGGGAGGCGTATAAGGTGTTCTTTGAGGCGGTGGTGCCGCATGTTCATCCTGAGTGGGCGAGTGAGGAGCCGGATCGGTCGGGGTATTTGTTCCCGGACTGGAGGGAGTTGTATTCGATGTAGCTGGCTGGCTGGCTGCTGGCTGGCTGGTTGTTGACGGGCTGGGTTGTGTGACACATGATGGGCTTTTTTTCTTCTTTTTTTTCTTCTTCTTTTTTCTTTTTCTGTTAGCCTTGCATGTTGCACTATAACAAATACGCGTACTGGTTTTTCCTAGATATCTCTCTGGCACATGTCATCCGATGTTCGAGAGGCCAGTCAAGGAGGACAAGAACAAGCATGGTATCTGTATGGTGTAGACAGTCGGTTCTTCAAGTTGGATATCAAAGTCGTGCCTAAGGTAGGTACGCCTTTAGGACTGGCACTGGCGAGTGTGGACTTTTACCACCCGTGATTTGGATCCTCGGAATAAACGGGTGGTACCTTACTAACATACCAGCCGATGATTGCCGTCAAGTTAAGGTACTTTGTGTTATCCCGAGCTCTTGTGGACTGGTCAAGTTGAAACCGTGATATTCGGTGTAGAGTTCATCAGGGTACGGAGTACGAATAATAAGGTAAGGTAGGGAGGTAGGTACCTAGAAAGTAAAATGTGTACTTCTTCTGTACCATTTTGGGTACCTGCCACGGAGGTGAACAATGCCAGACATCCAATCGAGGTCGTCCAGGGCCCAATCAACAGGCTACAGTGTACAGTGGCTTCTATGAGGTAGGTACCTATTCACGAGGACTACTTGTGTGCTGGAGTCTCGGTTTAGGGGCTTTCATGCTTGTGCGCAGGTAGCTTTATGTAGCTTGACAGGCTTGACAGGCATGACAGGCACCAAACAAAACAAACACACTGGCTGTCTCAAGGTTTCGGCTCCCTTTACCTAGGTACCTTAAGGTACTGTAGGCACTCTGCCCTTCCTCTATCCCATAACCCACACCTCCTCAGATCCCCAGATTCCCTCCTCTCCCTCCTCTCCCCTTCATTCTTCCACCCACCGTCGACACATCCATTCACACAGAACCGCTACTCCTCCCTACGCCGCCTCCTGTTCCACTCACCTTCGTCTCCCAGTCGTCCTCATTACATTCTCCTCTTTTTCTCTTCCATCCCCCACCCCGTCGACGTTTGGTTAAGCCCCCCGAATCCAACGATTCCTCCCGGACCGATCAACTGGATCCTCTACCACGAGTCTCTGACACTGCCCACGCAAGACAATTGATCACACTTGCCGCATCCGACGTCTGCCTGTCGTCCATCTAACCTACCGTATCCCCCCCCCACTGGCCTTTCTTGACTCCTGACTTCTCGACCTACCCCTCCTGGGCCGACCGCCTCGCCGACTACCCACCGAGAACAATCAACCTTTACCAAGTGCGAAGTCTTTATTCGAAAACAGAACTCCAAAGTGCTTGACTTGGTCTCATACCCCGGCTGTTTCGAAACCCTCGAAGCCTCTCACGCGTTCCCGAGACACAATCTCTTCTCGTCTAGCTCAGCCCCTATCTGTTGTCGTCGTCGATAAGTCGACTCGGATCCGACTCCAACAAAGAAGTCTTTCCTCGTAACCTCCCCGAGGGTTTCTTTTGTCAGAAAGAAGAAGAAGAAAAAATTGTCGAAATCGTCCACACTCGGGATAACAATACTACTCTCGCCGTCGACGACCTTTGTGGTCTCGCCGTGCGATGTGGGAGGGGAGGCGTGTCTCGTAAGCTTCCATCCAAGGGATCGAAGTGGGAGAGCCAACGGAAACATTCACAAACGAAAGGCCTTTATCGCTACTGCTGCTACGATCCTCTGTTACTGCCACTGCCACTGCCACTGCTGCTGCTACTGCTATTGCTATTGCAACTGCTCCTGCTCCTGTTCCTGCCACGGTTACTGCCCAACCTCTGCCACAACCCCGTCACCGGTGGACAACAACAGCTACAACAACAACAGTTACGTCGTATGGGCAGTGCCTCTCCCTCGCCCCACTTGTCGTCCTTCGCATACCTTTGCTAGATGCCGTTTCTTTGGTCTCCTGTTTTTATTGCGAGTTTCGGACAGTCCTTTTCTTGAACGGTATCCTTACCTCTACGCCCTGCCTCGTCTTGAATTTCCCGACAACACCTCCACAGAATAGAAACTTCCAAACGTAACACGCTTCTACCCGACACACACACACACCGGAGAGACGAGGATCGCATCGTGGACGGGAATGGATCCTCGTTTCCCTGTTACGCGAGACCAATTGTTCAGCCTGCAGATGGACCTCAAGCACATCCAGCTTGTCCAGAGCAGTCAAGCCGAGCGCATTGCCAGACTTGAACGACGCCAGGAGCAGGATGCCCAGCTCAAATCGGTCTGGCAACAACCGCCCTTTCCAGGCGTGCTGGCTGGTACCCCTCAATATGGTGTGTTGGCTTTTTTCTTTTTTTTTTCTTTTTTTTTCTTTTTTTCTCTCCCGCCCCTTCTTTTGTGAACCTCACTCACACCGCATCGACCAGCAGGCCCTACCCACTTCAACCCAAGCGATCTTTACGAGACGGACGACCAGGAAAACCTGCTCAGCTCTCTTCATCTCGGGCCGGCCGAGGAGGAACCTGTCCGCCGGGGTGCCGCCTCCCGGGCCAATAGCGTTCGCTTCGATGAGAGCGCCCTACGACAGTCCGACTGGGGCGGCGGCGGCGGCGGCGGCGGCGGCCAGAGCAACCGCCATTCGGGGGAATTCGGGGGCCCCCCTCGGCCCAGCAGTGGCCTGTTGATGGAAAGATCGCTCTCGCACAAATCCGACGGGAGGCATAGCTCGGCCGGCCACTCGGTCCATTCGGTGCATTCGTTGGCGTCGGGACGGGCCAGCAGCCTGGGCCTACACACGGACAACTACACGGGCAGCAGCAACGAGGACGACTCGCCGGTCGACCTGCCAGGACCGCCCCCCGAGTTTTTCATCCTGGGCTCGGTGCCGTCCATCGTGCGATGCTGGCTGACTCCCCACTTCGCCCACGACACCATCCACTACGTGGACATTTGCACGGGGTCGCAAAAGTCGACGATCGATTACTCGGTCGTCAGGGACCTCGACCTCGCAGACGAACTACAACGGGACGTCGACGGCGTGTGCAGGCTTCGGACCACCGTCTACCTTGTCGAGGCCACCGTCGCCGAGAGACCGCACCGGCCATCCCACCCGGGCCAGATCCCGAGCATCACGGCAACGTTCGAGGTGACGGGCGTGGAGCAGGACGAGAACGCCGAGGCCAAGAAAGGAATCCAGGTTTTCATCGGAAGCGACACTTTGCGTGCACACGTGGCCGACATTTTCCTTTCTCAAAACCGGATGACCCTGGTCGGGAACGACCGGGAGAAGCTTTCGGTGCCGTTCGTGCGGCCGGAGGACGACGTGGTGTTCAAACACATCTACACGACCAACGCCGTTCCGGTTTCGGGGAAGCCGAAGCTCAATGCCAACGCTGCCCCGTTCGTCTTGGGAAAGTCGAGTGGGCAGCACGTTGCCCCGGTGGTGCAGCAGCGGGATCTGGACGAGTCCGTATCCGCAAGCGCAGCAGCCGCACCAAACGGTGCCGGGGTCGAGAAGGACGAGGAAGAGGCGGTGCACGGTCGAGCCACCTCTTGCCCTCCGGGACAGGATGGGCGCTCTGGGACTGGGATGGGAACGGGAAAGCCGAACGGGGCAGGAGGCCGCCGTCCTGAGACGGATGCAGAGGCCGACGAGAAGACGAAGGAGGGTACTGCGCACCCATCAAAGACGAGGGAAGGTGGCTTGGGGCTATCTTCGTCTGCTTCGAATGTGGACAGCACGGAGGGCAATCCGCAGCCGGCGAGCGGGATCGGAATCTGGGGTTCGTGGCGGCACGGGACACCGGGGGCGGGGGCGGGGGCGGAGACCGGGCAGCGCGAAGGAGCACCGCTCAGCGGATATCAGCCTGCGGGACGAGGAGGGCGCAGCATGAAAGTGTTGAAGCCTCTCAAGTCGACGTCGTCGTCTTCTGCGCGCACGGGAGCGTCGTACGAACCAGCGCCGCCTCCTCGGAGTAGCGGCGAGTATCGACGCAAGAGCCAGACGGCAATTACGGCCATGGGTGCTGGCGGCGGCGCGGGGGGCAGCGACAGCGGGTCGAGCAACGTGATCCGGTGGGAGTCGTCGAAGAGGGCGATGGGCACCGGCGCGCCAGTCCATTCGTCTCGGGACGCGCGTAGCACGACGAGTACGACAAGTGCGGGTTCGGGTTCGGGTTCGGGGGTTGCCCCTCTGACGCCCATCTCTCGGTCTACGAACAATCCGATCGGAGGGGCGTCGGCTTTCTCGTGGATGAACCCGGCGGGCAAGGCGAAACCGGCGGCCACGGCCGAGTGAATACAGGCCCTTGTCCCATATGTCGGTCTTCTCTTACACTACTCCTTTTGTCACACTGTTTTTCGTGCCCCCTGAGAGAGTAATGATAATCAAAATCAATTCAACCAATAAACGGATACAAGCCACCTTTTGGAGTGAATTATAGTTATCGGTCACTTGGGTAGATGTCGAGATGGTTGTTGTGTAACTGAACTGGTCCGGGCGAGTTCGCTGCCGTACTTGCTTACCTAAGCACATAGAACGGAACGGCTTAGGTAATTTCTCGGTAGTGGGTGGCTTCTGTCGGCTATTATTTCTCCATTTCTCCCCGCCCCCACCACTGATTAGATAAGACCTGTGAGACCTAAGAGCTCCGCGACCTCTGAGACGTTGTACTCTGAGACCTCGAACATCAAAAATCATACGAGGGTGGAAACTTCGTCTCCCTTCGTTCGCTTAGGGGTAATGATAGTTCCGTAATTGACACGAGATTGTGTCTTTTTACTTTCTTTTTCTTTGTCTCAGTCGATATTTAGAGTCCCCCTTTACATCTCCCGCGTCAATGCGACTCCATAGAGCGTCCGCTTCCGCTTCCGCTTCGTTTCGCACCTTGACGACTCCTCCTATTCCTCGCCTCACCGTCTCTCCTCGGACGTCTTCTTGCTCCCTACTATCCGTGCGCACCACAGCACCTCCTCGTCGTCCCGTTTCGCCCCTCCACGGCGTCGTCCCAGCCCGCACAATGTCAATGTCCAGCCAACCCCCAGCACCACAGCGTCGCTTCAAGCGACCCGTCGTCTTGTAAAGCCTTCTCGTCCTCCCCTGCCCCTCCTCTTTCCCAAAACGAAAACATGGCTAACACAAGAACCCCGTCTCTCTCCCGCTCAGCGTCTGCGACATCCAGGACAAATTCCGCACGACCATCTGGAACTTCGACAAAATGGTCCTCACGGCCGCCAAGGTCCTCCGCGCAGCCCACATCCTCCGCCTCCCCGTGCACACGACGACCCAGAACCGCGCGCGCCTGGGCGACACCGTCCCGGAGCTCGCCGCCCTGCTGACCCCGCGGGCCGACGGTGGCGCCCTGGTCCACCCGCCGGTCGACAAGACGCGGTTCAGCATGTGGGTGCCCGAAGTGGCGGCGCAGCTCACCAGCGACGCAGACGCAAAGGCAGATGCAGACGGACCGGCGGAGGTGATCCTCGTGGGCATCGAGGCGCACATCTGCGTCACGCAGACGGCGCTGGACCTCTTGGCGAATGGGCACAAGGTGTATGTCCTCGCGGACGGGGTGAGCAGCTGCAACCGCGAGGAGGTGGGGGTTGCGCTGGCGAGGTTGAGGGCGGAAGGGGTGACGGTTACGACGAGCGAGAGCGTGATGTACGAGCTGATGGGCGATGCGAAGGTGGCGGAGTTTAAGCAGATTGTGGGGCTTGTCAAGGATACGAGTGCGCAGACGAGAGATGTTTTGCAGTCTTTGTTGTAGGTTTTTTTCCGTTTTTTCCGTTTTCTTCGGTTTTTCCTTTTTTTCCGTTTTTTCCTTTTTTTCCTTTTCTTCTTCTTTTTTCTTCTGTTTCTTTCTTTTTCTTTCGAGAGACCTAGGGACTTTCGCCGTAAGGATGGCTTTCGAACTCGCTATGTAGAACTGCATATAGCATACTTGCGCGCACACCCACGCGCCTATCAGTCCTCCAGCTTGATCTCCCTCACCTTCGCCGTAGACAGCCACCTCAACTCGGACTGAGCCGGCATCCTCCGAAACCTCGCCAACTCATCCAGGAAAGCCGGCACGAACGTCCCCGGGCCCTGGACGTCCTGGCGCGCGGCAGCCCACTCCGCGGCAATCTCAAAGTGCAGCAGCGCCGCGACGACGGCCGCCAGCAGGTCGCGCGGTCCCCCGACAGGCTGCGCCGCAGCAGCAGCGCTGATGACGGTGCCGAGCGAGCAGCCCGTCCCCGTTACCTGGCCCAGCAGCGGGTGGCCGTTGGAGACGGCCAAGGTGCGCACGCCGTCGCTGACGACGTCGGTGGCGCCGGTCATGAGGACGACGTTGCGTTCGCGCGCGGCCAGGCGGCGCACGATGGCGGCGCGCTGCTGCTCGTCGAGCGCCGACGGGGCCGAGTCGACGCCTTTTTGCTGGGTTGGCGGGGCCTCGCCTAGTACAGTTGTGATTTCGCCTTCGTTGCCCTTGATGATGTCGAGGTAGCCGGCGGACATGATGGTTTTGACGGCGTCGCGGCGGACGGATGTTGCGCCGGCTCTGGGGGTGGGAGAGGGTCAGATAAGAGCAGAGATAAAAGAAAAAGGAGAAGGGAATAAAGAATGAACATACCCTACTGGGTCAAAGACAACCGGCCGGCCCGCAGCGTTGTACGCCTTGAGGGCCTTGACATAATTCTGCAACCCCTCCGGCGTGACGGTCCCCATATTAATGACCAGCGCGCCGCCCAGCCTGGCCAAGTCGCCGGCCTCCTCACCGTAGTTCGCCATGATAGGCGAGGCGCCCACGGCCAGGGCGACGTTGGCCGCAAAGTTCTGCACGACAAGGTTCGTCATGTTGTGCGACAAGGGTCCGTTCTGATCGACGGCGCGGATAAGCGCCGGCACGCGGGCGACGAGGTCCTTCGCCACGTCGTCGACGTCAGCGGCAGCGGCCGACGAGACGACGCCCTTGCGGAAGGCCGGCGGGGTGCGGACAATGGTAAGAAAGTCGCGGGATGCCTGTTCCGGGTCCGGGGCGGCGATGATGGCGCTCACGACGGCGACGCCGTCGATGGCCTTGGTCGGGGTGGCGGACTGGTAGATGACGCGCTGGGCGTTGTCTGGCTTGATGCCGCCTATGCAAACGGTCGGGACGGAGGCGGCGGCGGGGCTGGCGCTGGCGAGGGAGGCGAGGATGGAGCGGAGGCCTGCGGTGCCGATGATGCGCTTTGTGTTGTCCTTTCTGTGTTGTGTGAGCTGAAAAAATATATATATATATATATATATATATATATAAAAAGACCAAAAAAAGGAACAAATAAAGGGAGGAGACATGTCCCGTCAGGTTCAACGGGCTTCGGGCTCAAACTCACGTCTGCGTGGAAAACACGGTGCCGATGCCGAGATAGTCGGCTCCCTGTTCGGCGGCCGTGATGGCCTCTTCGACCGTGCCGGTGCTGACACCGATAATGGCGTCCGGACCAAGCAATTTGCGGGCTGTGGGCAGGTCTATAAGGGAACAGAAGACGTTAGCCCATCTTTCATTCTTCCTTCTTTTCTCGGTTTGTATCCTCCCACATCTCCCTCATGTCAAGGCAGCTCACCCATATCATCCTGTCCGACGTGAACGCCCTCACAGCCAACCGCCAGGGCGACATCAACCCGGTCGTTGATGAGCAGAGGCACGCCATAGCGACGGGTGACTTCATGCAGACGCCGGGCGATGGCGATCTGAGCGCCCGTGTCCGACGTCTTGTCTCTGAGCTGGACGAGGGTCACGCCCCCTTTGACGGCCGCCTCGACGACCTGAGCCAGGTCCTTGTCTCCCAGGATGGCCGGGGTCGAGTCCGTCACCAGATAGAGTGAGTAGTCTACCTTGGGCTTCCCCATCTTGTGCGTTGTGTTGAGAAAGGGGGTCGAGGAGGGGGGTCGAGGACTCGAGGTATGGTGAGCTCCGGGTATTGCTTTCTTTTGGTTGCGGGTCGGCAAGACAATAGATTGACGTTATGACGGTTTAGATATTTGATAATTAGAAGAGTAGACTTGGGGTTGTGGGTCGCCAAGACGGCGTCGGGGGCAAAAAAGGGGGACAAGACGGTTGAGAATGTTGAGAGTTGAGAGTTAATGAGGGTTGGGAGTTACGAGTTGAGATATATTTCTATATATTTCTACCTACGTTGCGTGTACGTCAGACCTCGGTGTGTCGGTGTCGGTGTCGGGGTCGGTGAATCAGTACCCCTATTTCGGTAAGACTCGGTGAGGCTCAGATATCGCAAAAGTCGACTACCCTACTTGGTAGTGGAAAGGATGATGCCAGCTGACAAACATGGTCGATCGATAGTATTTACTGATGTTTACAGTTTTGTTCTCCTCGACTAGAGGCGAAGAGTAATGAACCGTTGTCACTGTTGAGATATTCCTATAAAACCCTAGCCTCTCCCCCTTCTCCCCCTCTCCCACTCTGACTGCCCTGCTTCCAAATCCGGGTCTCACGCCCAGGGGCAGAACCCACCAAGAGAAAAGTCTCAATAATTCCAAACAACATCCGCCATCACATTCATGTTATCAATAAAAGAAGTCCATGAAGGATCGTTAAAGGCTTCCTCCCAGAACGTCCCGTACGGGTCTGAGAACGTCCTCGTAGCCGCACCGGTCATTGCTAGAGCACCCTCACCTGCGCTCCCGCTCACCTGCGCACCATCATCCATTGCCAAGGCTAGTACCATCTGCTCCTGTTGTTGTTGTTGATGTTGTTGTTGTTGTTGTTCCTGTTGCTGCTGCTGCTGCTGTTGTTGTTGTTCCTGCTGCTGATACTGCTGCTGCTGCTGCTGCTGCTGCGTCTGCGGCTGCGGCTGACCCGTCCCACAGCAACAACCCGCATTATACGCATCAAGCTCCTTCGCAACAATCCCCTTAAGATGGGAAATAACCTGCCCGACCCGTTCCAGCGGATCAAAATACCCAGCGACCTTCGACACGGGGTTCGCCACCAGCTCCCCCCCGCGACGCCCCCGCCTGCGCCGCTCGACGTAGCGCCTCATCTCCTCGACCTCGCGGTCCGCCATCTCGTCCAGCGGGATCTGCTTCGACACCGCCCCGAGGTCCCACCCGGGCACCTGCAGCGCCAGGAGCTTGAGGCACACCAGCACCACGTAGAGCCAGTCCGACGTGCCCAGGCACGTGAACCGCGGCGGCACGTACACGTGCACGTGCACCCTACCGCCGCCGAAACGCGTGTCCAGGAAACGCCGCGCCGCGCCGACACAGTTCCAGAGCAGGCCCAGCCTTTCCGGGTGTCGGAGCGTGGAGCGGGGGTTTTGGCTTTCTGAGATGCTGACCTCGTATAAGAGCACTTCGGCGACTGATATGTGAGATAGTAATACGGCTGCATCTTGATGTCAGCAACGCCGGTTGTTTTCCTCCGTTCAATCAAAAAAAAAAAGATAAGATGGTAGAAACCCAGAACGTACGGTTCGTCCTCAGTCCGTCCGGTAGAGACGACCTGAATAGGTCGATTTCTTGCTGGAAGGACTGCACTATCATGGTCAGGGGGAGCTGCATAGACTGCAAGCTGGTGCTGTCTTGCTGCCCCAGTGAAAGAGAAATAGACTGTGCAAGTTTCTGGATGCGAAATAAATGCACCAAGAACTGATCGCCGGGATATTCAGCCCGTTCCTCGATGGTTTTGCAGCATTTCTCGAGATATGGCGTAATGGTAAAAGCATTGGGTGTTTTGTTCGTGTTGAACATCCTGCATCCGAAGGTGACGGTGGACAAAAAGTACCCGTCAGTCAGCATGCATACGACTCCCGGTAAAAGATTCTGTGTCTATCACGCATGTGCCCTACAATGAATTGAGATAATAGCAGCCGGTAAAAGCCCTCATGTGGTCGAGCGTGACCGTCGAAGACAGCCTGGGGCCCTGCGTCGCCAGAGACTCCCTACACCCGAGACCGATGCACATCGACCTCGCCAGGAAGAGCAAATTGGTGATCTGGAAGCTGCTCAAGTTATACTGAAACCTGAGAGCACGAAAGGGCCGAGATCTACACGTCAGAACTGAATGCGCACAACCGCAGGTCAAGGTGAGCTGGGGGGGGAGAAAAGGGGAGGGGGCTCCCTTACCACGCAACCAAGAGCTGCAAGCTCTGCAACACATCCAGGCTATTCCGCGGCCTCGTGATAGCCGCCCGAGAAATCTCGCCGAGGAGTCTGTCGCCGAGGACAAGCTGACGAAAGGCATCCAGACGGTACGCCACCACCACGACGCCCTTGAAGAGGAACGGATGCCGCGCGGCGAGCTGAGTGGCGGCGAGACCCGGCGGCGGGATGACGAAGGGGTACAGCGGCGCCATGACCGCGCGGAAGGTCTGCAGGAGCTGTTCGGCCTCGTCGCCGGACGGCCATGGCACGTCGTCTGGGTGGATCGGATGGGGTAACGGGTCGCTGCTGTCGTCGTGGCTAATGCTCATGAGACTCGCCGGCGATTCTCCTGCATCTTCTGAGGGGGAGGAGCCGTCGTCACCGTCGTCACCGTCGTCACCGTCGTCACCATCGTCACCGTCTGAGGATGGGGCCCCTTCGTCGACTTCGGGGAAGATGTGGTGGAACCGATGGACCGTCACAGTCCCCATCTTCCGCCTTTTCACCGACCGATGCTCCACCGGGGCGGGATCATGATCGAGAGCCGGAGCGGGAGTCGCAGTCGGAGCGGAACCGGAACCGGAACCGGAACCAAACGTGGCGAAAGTGGACCCTCCGGTCTGCCCCCCGCGAAGCTGCGAGGCAAGTTCCTCAAGCCTCTTCTCCAGCTCAGCCACCTTGGTGGGCCTGGGCTCCTTCTTCGCCCGAGGCGGGGCCGGCGTCTGCGACGCACATGGCTTCTCCAGCCTGTGACACCTATGCAAAATGCAAGAACGGAGCGGGGCGGATGACCCCGGCTTCTCTGTCAGTCGCCGAAGCAGAACCGAATACTCGGGTCTCACGGGTTCAACCTGCTTGCACACTCACCTCTCGCACTTGCTGCTCTCCGGCGGTCCAGGGATGCATCGAGACTTGGCCTTCGCGCATGTCGTACAGGCCGTCGGGCCCCTGGGCTTGGGGTTTTCCAGAGTCATGGATGTGATGCAAGTGGTATGTACTGCATATACGCCACGCCGTATAACATGAGTCTCCTGACAACTACCGTTTCCCAGAAATATCCTCGTACAGGCCATATGGTATGAATATATGACAGACCTCCATGGGATAATAATGCTGGTGCCTAGTGATACCGAAGGTATAACATAACGTATTTCCTCTAACCCCTGCAGAAGGGGGGGCGCTCGTCTGGCCTTCGTCAGACCCTGGACCTTGGGTGTCAGTGTCAGTGTCGAGATTCAAGGTTCGACGGCCTTTCTTGTCTTTGCGTGTAAGTCGTAGATGAGATGCTTTGTCCCTGGCCAATCGATTGAGTTGCCCATGGAACAAAATGCCCTACATCACGATCGGGATGGAGTGTACGGAGTACGGAGTGAAGCATTTACTCCGCTTCCAATGGAGACGGAGGAGATGCGAACTCCGTTCCGCGAATGATATGATCCACGTGACTCCGCATGTGACTTGTCATGTGATATCAAGTCCACTCGAATGCCGAAATGAGCATGATGAATATGCATCTCGATGGTCCCCCGGACTTCATACCATACGCACCTAATGTCATGATGGAATTTACCATGGTCACTCGAATAGGGAAAGGGAAGAGTCCCAAGTTATGTTGTGGGGGAATCCAATAGGCCCGTCACCTCCCGCCAAACGGCGCCAAGGTATCCGGGTAATGGTTCTTTGATATTTCGAATAGAAATCTACGACAGCTACCACTATCCTTGGTGGGTAGGTGTGCGTATGACGAGTAAAAAGAAGTTAGGCCAAGAGGATAGATACGAAGAGAAGCCGCTAGCAAGTTCAATACCGCAGGGCCGTTGACCGCTCCAAGGAACGTGATGTGTGGGAATGGCCGGGATGGGCGCGATGGGTTGGGTGAGCTCTCCTGAATGTCAACGAACCCTAAAAAAAAAAAACCACCCGGAAAAAGTTCATTGTTCAGGCGCTGACCCTGGCCCTGGCATCGACGCCCTGAGCAGCCGCCGCCCGGGCCTCGCGGTCCAGCAAGGTGTCGATGACGCCCACGCCGTCGTCGTAGTCGGCAGCGGCCTTGATCTCCTTCTTCGCCTCGGCGATGCCCAGCTGTTCGTCCGTCCAGAGCGGCTTCTCGGCCGCCGCCTCGGGCTCGCCCACGCCGAGGAACCCTCCCTCGGCAGCCCAGGCCGAGGTCCGCTTGATGTCGAGCTTGGTCCAGATCTCGTCGATGGCCTCGACCAGCTGATCGCGGTACTCCTTGGTGTGGCCCGGCGTGGGCGTGATGCGCAGCCGCTCCTGTCCGACGGGCACGGTGGGGTAGTTGATCGACTGCACGTAGATCTGGTAGTCGTGCAGCAGCATGTCGGACGCCTTCTTGGCCAGCTCGGCGTTGCCCACCAGGATGGGCACGATGTGCGACGGGTTGGGGATCACGGGGATGTCCCGCTGCCCGAGCGCCTCCTTCACCGCCCGCGTGTGCAGCTGCTGCAGCCGGCGGTCGCCCGCGTGCTCCATCTGGTACTCGATCGCCGCCTGCGCACCGGCCATGGTGGCCGGCGGCAGCGTCGTCGTGAAAATAAACCCGGGCGCGAGGGACCGGATCATGTCGACAAACTTGGCGTTGCCGGCGATGTAGCCGCCCACACAGCCGTACGCCTTGCCCAGCGTGCCCGTGATGATGTCCACGCGGTCCTGGATCGTGCCCCTGGGCCGGCCCTGGCGGTGGGCTTCAAAGTCGAGGTGCTCGGCCACGCCGGCACCGTGCGGGCCGTACATGCCCACGGCGTGCACTTCATCGAGGAAGGTAATGGCTCCGTACTTGTCCGCGAGGTCGCAGATGGCCTCGATGGGCCCGATGGAGCCGCACATGCTGTATACGGATTCAAAGGCGATGATCTTGGGCACATGAAGGGGGAGCGATGCCAGCTTCGCCTCGAGATCGGCCACGTCGTTGTGCTTGAAGACGATCTTCTTGGTGCCGGAATGGCGAATGCCCTGGATCATGGAGGCGTGGTTCAGGCTGTCGGAGAGAATGACGCAGTCGGGCAGCTTGCTGCCGAGCGTAGCCAGGGTCGCGTCGTTGGCGACGTAGCAGGAGCTGAACACCAGGGCGGCCTCCTTGGCGTGCAGTTTGGCGACGGTCGCCTCTAGCTCGACGGCGTGCTTGTTGTGGCCGGAAATGTTCCGCGTGCCACCGGCTCCAGCGCCGTACTCGTCTAGGGTCTCGTGCATCCTGCGTAAGACTTGTGGGTTCCTGCCCATGCCCAGGTAGTCGTTCGCGCACCAGACCGTGACGTGATGGTCCTTTTCGGCCATGTGGGCGCGAGGAAATTCCTTGGCCAGACGGTTAATGTTGTTGAAGTAGCGGTACGACTTGTCCTTGTGCTTCTTCCCGAGCTCGTGCTCGTAAAAGGCGTCATAATTGAACTTGACCTTGGCAGCGTCCAAGATGGCAGATTCACCGGGACGAATGGGGGCGAAGCTACGGGGGATCTTGACTATTTTGATGGAGGCGAGAAGTTAGCAAGAGACATCTAGACCCTATATAATAATAAAAAGAGAGGGAAAAAAAAGGAAAAAAAAGGAGACGGAGAGAGGGAAAGAGAAACTAGAGAGACCAACCAGTAGTATCACGACCACCGACCAGGGTCGGCTCAACGTTCTCGACAGGGCGAGCCTCATGAACGCTGCTGGTATGGATCTTGGCCTTGGCCGACTTGGAGTGCCCGCTCATGGCCCGAATGCCTGCGACCAGCGAGGCGCCGGGAAACCCGGCACCGAGGCCATGGTGACCCGACCGGACCGTAAGGGCCTTCCCCATGATGGGGCAGCGGTGAGCAAGCAGCTGCAGCTTGGACATGGTGCCGCCGCAGGGGGAGGCAGGAGCCCGGGGACGGGCCGAGGTCGACAGGGCGCGAAGTTTGGCGGGGGAGGCGTTCTTCAGAAACGGGCACAGGGCCTTGGACTGGTGAAGTGCGGCCTCCATGACGGGCGAATATCAATGGGAGGAAGGAAGTCGTCAATTCGGTCTCGAAATTTGGTGAGTAATAATTCCCGAGCTGTGCTGCGTACAGCGGTAGATTTTTTAATGTTTTTTTTTTGGTCTTTTTCTCTTTTCTTCAAAAGGCGAAGCTGGCTGCCACGAATGGCAGAGAGCGAAGAGTCGGACGAGGGGACAAAACGACAGTGTTCTCTCAGCGGAGTGAAAACGAAGCAAGAGACGAAATCATAGAATGCACTCCAGTAGGTGTTGTTAAATAATGGTTGAGGGAATGGGAGGAGGAGAAACAAAACGCGGGATAAGAAGAAAAAGGAAAGGGGGACCAAGTTGTGCCGTCTGCAGAATTACCACATAATTACTGTGGTACGGTACGAAAGTAGTACTTAACGGAAGTAACGACCAGTAACGACTCGAGACTTGAGGGGGTTTACAGCAGTCAGAGAAAAGTCACGGGAAACTTGTGATGAACCTCGGACGTGGCTTTTCGACGGTTTTCCTTTCTTCTCTGACGAGTGCGCTTTCCCCATCAGCGTTGACCAGTGCGCCACACAGCGTCGGGATGCATTCGGGATCTGGGATTTTGGCGGGGACACTGGAGCTGGAACATCGAAGGAACAGGGGGCGGATGCCCCTCCGCAGTCAAAAACGTCTTGAGCGGGATGCCCTAGCCCGATTGGTTTTAAAGGGTACTCGTATATATGGTAGACATGTATCTTAATAGCTGCCCCTGCATCTTATATAAGGGGTAAAGTGAGACTTGAAAGCTATGTACCCTACCTATTATACGAGAGATCTCGGACCACCAATCATTCGTGCATTGGTTGACTCCGCAATTCGTTCTACGAAGTATCAAGTACCTCACCGCACTTACCGAAAATTCGGGGAAATTTGTGCGAGTACAAGCTCTCCCATTTGTGTACCTACTCCGATGTACCATCTCCGAGCTCGCCATTTCAACTCTTTTCAACCATTCACAGGCCAGCGGTTTGTGTGCCATTTTCGGAAGCGTCCATTTCCATCTTCTGATTGGCTCATCAGTTCAATCTTTAGTCATCTTTTTCCGCCGAGGCACGGGAGACAATGAACGTCTTCTTATTAGTCAGATGGACAATGTTCTGGACGAATCCTCTCGAAAGTCCATCTACCGTGTAATTACACGTGTACAACGTATTTTCGATATTCTTCCATCTCCTAAACCTCCCGCCTCTGATCTTCCGATCCTCAACTTTTAAATAGGTAAGTGATGGACAATTCCCAACGCCACATCCTAGTGTACATTCAGCTACGCGCGCCGAGTATTATCCACTTAACTGGAATGAAAAAACGGGTATCTAGATACAACCGCGGCCAATCATTGCCCTCTTCCCTGAACGCCCTCGCCATCCTAAAGCTATGCGCAGCGAAGCAAGAAATCATTCCATGGAAGAACCACATTGCGCCCCTCCGTTGCACCAACGTGTCCCCCAGACCCCTTTCCTCTTTGCATGCCCGTCCTACTAGCCCGGCGCCACCCAAAAAATCATCCGTCTCACTGTTGGTCCTCAACCGCGCGGTTCGCCCATGACGGCAACTTGGGCTGGCGTCGTTGCCGACGAGCCGCAAGCTCACGCATCACCTGCAGATCTTCCTCCGCCTGGGGGTTCCTCCTCGTCCCTTCCGCTTCCGTGACGCTGGCCGACCGATGCAGTACGTGTCCGAGGTTCTGTCCATTCGCCTGTCGTTAGCCCATGGTCAAGTCAACCAAAACCTTGGTGAAAAAAGGAGGTATCAATCAGTAAAAGGTAAAACAAATATACGTAATGCCGTCCTTTCCCATCCATTAGATGTAAACGGGGGCAATCCGACATGTTGCAAAGAAAAGAGAAAGAGAAGGAAAAAAAAAATAGGAGGAGGTGGAGCAAAAGGTTTCGCTTTGCCATGTTCATACATTTGGATCCTGTGGCCGTTGCATCGCCTTGCCCGCTTCATCTCGGAACTCGGCCGCATCCATCTGCTCCAGCGTCTCCACGCGCTGTTGCAGATCCTCGTCGAGCGCCTTGGCGGCAAAGTCGGGGGCCACGAGCCCGCTAAGCAGCGCCACGGTAAATCTCCTAGATTTACTAGCCAGCTTGTTGAGCGACTTCCACTGCGAAAGGCAGGGAAGACTCCCCAACGGTGCCAGCAGTGCCTGGATCGACCCCGAAACGGCGCTCACTCTTTCGCCGGACACATCCAGCCCCGGCGGGACGTAATCGGCCTTGTCGATGCGCAAAAGTAGCGCGTGGCCCAAGTAGCCTTCGAAGACGACGATTTGCTCCTGAATGTCGGGATTGCGCGTGGACCCGGCAGGCCCGGACGCCGGTGCTTCCGGGGAACGCGAAGCCGCGGCCGGTGCCTTGAGCGGCGTGCTGCGACTCGCCCAGGAGTCGTCTTGCCGCGCCGACATGGACGTGTTCCTCCCTGCTATGGGCATGGCGAGCGGCGATGGTGCTGGTCCGGTTGGTGGTGTTCCGGCCGCTGTCATCGTCATTTGCGGCGGAGATCCTGGTCCCGGTTGGGGTTCGGGGGCTTGGCTGGGAATGTCACTTGGCGTCCCAACGCCGCTCTGTACAGTACCATCGATAGGAAGTCCGAGGGCCCGTTTCAGTATACCGCTCAACGGCGTCGCAACGCGTCTCTGTATCATGCTCAGGGGCCCGGGACCGGGACCGGGACCAGGAGCCGCAGCCGCAGCCGCAGCCGCGGTTCCAAGCGTGGACGGATGGCCGAGTGGAATCGTGCTCGCCATCAAGGGGCCACCTGCCGGCTGCCCGAATACCCCGCCACTAGGGTTGGCCATGGCGCCATACTGCAACTGCCGCTCTCTCTGCTCAAGCTCCATCTCCAGCCGCCGGTACTCCTCCGGGTCGCTCTCTCGGATCTGGTTCATACGAATCATGTTTTCGACCTCCTTCTTCTCCTCCGAGTCCAGGTCGATATCGTTAGGATCTTCTTCCTCGAAAGTGTCAGTCAGGACGATAGACCTGACCACGTTCCTAAGCGTCGGGTTGGACAAGAGGCTGTCCAGGACGACGTCCTTCCCTCGAAACGGAACCAGGGTCTCTTGCGGCGGTTCCTCGTAGTGTTTCAAGAACTCCCCCAGCTTCTGGGACCAGCGCTTCGGGTTCTCCTGGTCGACCACGCGCGACGAGAGCTGCATTTTGAAAACCGCCGTGTGCTGAAGACGCTGCTCGAAGGTGCCGCCCGCGATGAACCGATACACGAATACCGGCTTCGTCTGCCCGATGCGATACGCCCGTCCGATGGCCTGTTGTTCGCTGACGGGGTTGAACTTGAAGTCGAAGATCACCACCCGGCTCGCGCCGCAGATGTTGAGCCCCACACCGCCCGCATTCGTGGATATGAGGAAGATCTCCCTGTCGCCCTCGTTGAACTCTCGCACCAGCCTCTGCCGCAGCGAGGAGTTGGTGTCCCCGGTCAGTCGGGAGAACAGCCTCTTTTGCTGCCTGAAGAGGTTGTCCAAGTAGTCCAACGTGGGGATCGACTGGCTGAAGATGAGGACCTTCTCCTTCATCCGGCGGCATTGGTCCAGGATGGTGACGAGCATCTTCACCTTCCACGAGAGATCAATGCTGCCCAGGTCCACCTGGCGCTTCAGGACCTTGGCGCACTCGGTCATGAACGCCAAGGACATGGACGCAGAACCTCCCCCTCCCGAGCCCGAGCCCGAGCCCGAGCCGTGCCCAGCCGATCCCTTTTTCGCTTCCTGTTCTTTCTTCTCCTGCAACACCTTCTCGTAGAAAATCCGAGGGTGGTTGCACAGAAGACTCAGGCAGCTCATCCTGGCAAACGTCTTCATCGCGCCGCCTTCGTCCTGGCTGCGATCGATGAAGAGCTTGTAAAGCTTCTCCTGGAGGTCGGTGAGCGGCACCGAAATCACAAACTCCTTCTTTTCCGGCAGTTCGCCCGCGAGGGCCTTGATCGTCAACCGGTGCGTCTTGGGCGCCACAGTCCTCTCGAGCGCCGCCAGCATCTTCTTCGCCTTGCGGAACTGATAAGGCGTGCTGTCCCCCCAGAGCCCCGTGTGAATCGGCTCGGAATAGACGTTCTTAAACTCCTTTGCTGGGCCGAGGTACCTAGGAGCGACCCAGTCAATCATGGCATAGAACTCCTGGACGTTGTTGGCGAGCGGAGATCCGGTGAGTGCAAGGCGGCACTTCGTACGGAACCGCGCGGCGGCGACGTGGAGTGTGGAGTTCGGGTTCTTCATACGATGCGCCTCGTCCGCCACGACTATGTTCGGCTCCTCGGTGAATATCTTGTCGATCTCCTCGTCGTCAATGATGCTTCGGAACATTTCGTAGCCCACGACAAAGACGCCGCCTTCGGAGCTCCAACGCTTTGGTATAAGCCATCTGTCTCCTTGCGACATGGTAGAATCCACCCGGAAAAAATTCCCCAGGCACCCCTTTGGTGTCCACATCATCAGCTCGTCCATCCAGTTGTCCACGAGGCCCGAGGGGCACAGGACAAGTGTCTTCGATTGCCTCAGCCGCTCCGGGATCTGCGAACGTATAGCCGGCTCTGGGGATCTAGACGCTTCGGCAATGGTGACGAGGAGAGTGACGATCTGCATCGTTTTGCCAAGTCCCATCGTATGCGCCAGCAGGCAGCCTTGACCGACGACGATCTGGTTCCACATGAAGCGCACGCCCTCGATCTGGTGGTCCTTGATCTTCGGCGCAACGTGCTCATGCACGTAGATAAGGCCTCTGTCGTCGTCGCCCTCTTTGCTGGTGTTGATGATAAGGCGGGACTTGTCTCTCGAGATGGCGGAGGAGGAAGCTAGTCTTGCCTGCAGTTGCCTGCGCCGTTCCTCCTGTTCCTCGACACGTCTCTTGTCGGATTCTCGCCAATCTTTGGCCTGCTGGTCCATGACGAAGCGTCGCTTCCGCTTCTGGGCCTGCTTGGACGGCGAGGCGGAAGCTCTGTCCCCGTCAGCGTCCTCTGCGTCCTCTTCGTCGACGTCTGAAAGCATATCGTCGTCTGGGGACATGGCGCTCGCCGGGAAATGCGGAATGACGTGTTGCCGGAGGAAATCGCAAAACTCGTCGAACTCCTCCTTCATGTCTAAAACGTCGGAAAAGGCGGACGATTCGATCTTGAAGAGCTTGCGGCGATACTTGCAGAATGCATACTGCCAGAACAGCCGGGGGATGATAACCTTGGGATCGAGTGTGTTGCCTTCCTCGGCTTCTTCCTCAGCTTCATCCGAATCCAGCACGGAAGAGACGAATTCCTGCCACAAGTTATCGGGGCTCTCAGCCTTGATAAGCTCGAAGATGACGTCTCTCCACGGCTCCTGCCGCCTCCAGAGAAAACATATGGTCAAGCGGCGGTGGTCCTTTCGTTTTGCCCATTTCCTACAAGAAACGGCACCTATTGCCTCCGGCTGGTCGAAGGGAAGATCCCATTCGTCGGAAGAAGGATCCAGTTCCTGAGGGCTTTGGCTTGATGTACCAGGAGGCCTTGGTTGGCGAGGTTTCTCGGGCGTGACCAGATCGATGTACTCGACATTCTTGTCTGGGCGCAATCTGGGTCCACTGGGCTGAGTTAGGTCGATAACAACACTCTTGCTCGGAGACGAGAATTCCATTTTGGGCGCCGGCGAAGCAGCAGCAGCTTTCTCTTCGGGTTCTGGCGTGTCCAAGTCCATAGGCTGGCTGGCATCCGCCTCGGGAGAAGGGCCCCTCTGATCAGGCTCAGAGTCGACAGTGTTGGGAACAATGAAATCGAAATCGTCTTCACTCGGTTCGGAATCGCTGGTGATCACCTCACCATCTTCATCGGAAACCGTCGCATCTTTGGGCTGCGTGACTTTCCTGTGTGCTGGACGAGACACTCGCGGAGCGCGTGGGGGTTCACGACCCTTGAGAATGTCGACGAGCCAAGAATAGTACTGGCGGTCATCAACACTAGGTTCGAGACAACGAGCTTGTCGGCGCAAATGATCTTCTTTGGGCCAGTCTTGAATGCGAATTTCGGCGCAGAGTTTCTGGATCCGAGCATTGAGCTCGGCGACGCGAGTGGCCGACTTCATGATTTCCCGGTTCCGGTCGCGACGTCGGGCTTGGTTCCAGAGTCGGTTCGCCTTCCACTGGTATTTGGGAAGTTTCGATTCAGTCCAAGCGTCGATGTATCCCTGGATAGCGTCCTCTAGGATTGCGTCCACTCGATCTTTGCTTAATTTGTTAGATGGCGCATCCTCGCGGGCCTCGGCTTCCTCCTCGTCCATTTCCCTCAGCGTTTCCGAATCGTAGCCACCCTCGTCGCCAGAATCTCCGAAGATCGGAAGCACGCCATCCTCCGAGGCGCCTTCGGGGGTTTCTGGCCGCTCAACGAATGGAGCGAAGCCATTTTTGATTTGTCTGAGTGTGTTGTCGTTTGATCGTTGAAGTCTTCGCATGGCTCGATGAACCTGTAAACGTCTGCCCGGAGGGATGCTACGTGACCGAGCCCAGGCAAATTCGACAGACGAGTCTTCTGCCGATGATTGACCGTTGTTGGACACAGATGCCATGGAGCGCGGAACTAGTTCCGATGTAATCAGTTTGCCACTACCAAGATAGGTACTCCGGGTGCGATAGTCCAGCGATTCGATAGACCGTCCGGGCAGGACAGATAGTGAATCAGCGGCCGTGGGGATTGGCGCCCGAGGTCCTGCACTGACGGTTGCCGAGACAAGCTGTGGCGCCAGACGTCTCTTCTTAGGAGGGCGTTCTGGGGCATGTGGCGGTTCAGGCTCGTCCGCCGCGTGAGGATGATGATGAGGGGATGGTTCACGCGGGGGGGAAGGATGACGGTCCGAAGCGTCCTGCCAAAGTTCCTTCTGTAGAAGGTCGTTCTGAAGAACGTCGTCCTGGGAGTGACCATTAGCAGTAGGTGATTCGGTTGGCGGCTCGTTGCTAATTGCAGTTGCAGGCCCCGTCGTGTTCGTGATGGTGGTGGTGATCGGGGTTGGGGTCGCGGCACGACCCAGCTTCGTCGGGTTCACGTCTAAATCTTCGGATACGTCTATTTCATTTTCCGCGGCGTACTGCGCCCTTGCTTTGCGATACTTGGGGCTGCGCTTCTTCAGGTAGACAATGGCCCTTGCCAGGGTCATCCTGTGAGCTGGCCTGGCGACCCCCAGGTCCCTAAAGAGGCCATCAAGAGATTTGAAGACGTCTTCCCAGCTAAGGAGCGTCTCTCCATCCATATCATTCTCTCGTAGAGCCTTGGCAAGGGACTCCGGGTCGGGGCGTCTGGAAAGCACGGCAGGAGCCCAAGGCCGCTGGTCGCCGCAAAGCTCTTTGATGAGCAACTCGGCGTCCCAGTCAAAGGGATCACCATCTGACTCGCCCGCCATGGTGACAAATTCTTAGGCCCATGGGTTGGTTAAGAGGTGGTTAAAATGAGTATCTTGATCTGGTGCCTTTGGTTGATCTTAGTAAAATGCAAGATGCAGGGGATAAGGTGATCGAACAGGAGAACATGGGACTAGAGGGGGGTTGGTTGAGCCAAGCGGCCAACTCACCAGACGACATCAAGCGGCGCTCATCTCGATCAAGGAACAAGCTGTGTAATATTGTAATATTGTCTCACAGCTTAGGCCTTGTCTTGGCGATGCCTTATGCCGTCATGTCATATCGTCGTCTTGGAGATATTGCAGGATCTGTGGTGTATTCCAGAACCTGGACGAGCCAGGAGGATGGGTTGAGCAAGACGAAACAAATCCGAGCGCTGAAGGAAGGGGAAGGAACAAAATAGAATAAGTGACGTGACGCAAAAAGATTTTTTTTATTATAAGTTGCGAGATGAGTTGCGAGATGAGTGAAGGTGGCAGGCACGCTCGCCTAGAGGATTCTCACTGAATTATCGGCATGTCACGAGTACTCCGTAACTACCTTAGGTAAGACGCGATTTGAGAGCACCGTTAAAGAGATTGACGGATGGGAGACGCGTCTCAGGGATTCTCGGATCAATTGACCGAGATACCTAAGGACGGAGAATTTTCTTATCGCGCAGATCACGTGACCAAGATGCAGCATACCTACCCGGGAGGGGGGGGGTTGGTGGTCAGAAGTTGGTCAGCGGTGAATGTGTCCACATAGTGTTAGCATAGTGGCTAGGTAGACAGAATGTGTACATAGTGTCGACACTATGACCATATAACCATCTAACCACGCTAATCATAGAGGTAATTGCATAACACATATACGCTAGTTACTTGGCCTACATATTGTCATGATACGGCGTGGTTTTCTACCTAGCGAAACAGTACAACGAAGCGAAGAGGATAGCTTTCATATAACATAACAAGGCTAGTCGTAACGGTGAAATCGTAAGTTATCCTGAAAACTAGCATTATGACTAAAGTGGTTAGTACTGCTATAAGAGCAGATGTCTACTCTGATAACGATAGTAGTCTATCCACTATATTCTTAATATAGTTACCTGTCCTTGTTAGTAAAGATTGCTAGTAGGATATAGATTATCCCTGGCCGATATAAATCGATTATAATTTACTCGTTAGCATAGTTATCTGTCTATGGTTAGTTAAAATGACCGGAAGAAAATCTGGCCATCTCTACGGAGTAATAAGGTATAGTTTTCCGTCTATTATTAGTTAATATAACGAGAAGGTAAGCTAATCACTTTAACTAAATAGCGAGTTAGTTATAAATTATAATAGCTTTTATCTATTCCCGGTTAGTGAAGCTCCTTACCTATCGTGAATCCCTAATTCCTTATAACCGAGACTTCAATTTCACTAAATATCCCTCACTTATAGTCCTTATCCTAAGCTAATCAGTGAAATCGTGAGAAATATAGTAAGATAGATTATACGAGACTGTGAAGTCTAGATATTAGCGTCCTTATTAATAGCATCGTTATCCTTACCGTCCTTCTTATCTTCATCGCCGGCATCTTCGCCATCACCTTAAGGAACGTAGCCTTTATAGGTCTCGTGGACCTTTTAGTGAAGAATAGAGGACATAGGCATAGTGGCAAGAGTTCTAACTCTGCCAGTAGCCTTAGCGACTTTACTGGCGTTAGTTAAAGCTCGCTTACCAGATGCATAGGGATTATAACCCTTCTTATCCGTCTTCTTCTTCACGATAGTGATTTTCGTAATCACCCGGTCGGGCTCCAGTTATTTGACTTTACTATCCTTACCAGGGACGGGCAAGCCGAAGAAATAAGCGCCCTCACGCCACTATCGAACCTCGGCAGTATAGATTTCGCTCCTCGCGGTATACTCGATAATCTTTAACTATATCTTACGCGGTATATTAAGTTCACTACTATAGGTCGTGGCCGCGGTAGTATACATACCGGGATTAGGGCGTACGTTACCGTTTTCACGAAGTGCATCCGCGAAATAACGGTAGCCAATAGTCTACGAAGCGGGGGGGTCGCCTTTAACTATAATAATAATACTTAATATCCTGGAGGCGGTAGAGCTGAACTTATGTTAGTAAAACGAACTATTATCCATAGAATCGAGATAGACTAACCAATATTGATGCTGGTAATTCTGGAAGTGTTCCGGGGCAGTACTTATCCAGCGCTGGAGATATATAATCGTAGGATAATCTTAGAGGTGACAACTTAAGTATAGCAAGCTCTTAAAGAGAAAAAGAGTAAGAAAGTCTTAGAACGGAAGAAGATAATCAAGCTCTTAAATAATTAGAGGAGGACGAAGTTAGGAATACAGCTTATAGGTTCTAGAGGTAGATAACTCGTAAGATCTACTTAGCAGGGAAGATTGCCTATACCGCTTTCCCACGAAGAAAGAGATATCGTAGAAGCTACCTTAGGTATAATTTCTACCTATACTAGGAGAGAAAAAGAGATAGTATATAATTACTATTATTTAAGGAGAAGGAGATTATAAGCTTCACTACAGTTTATATATAGAGATATAAGGATAATTATTATTTATAAGAGAAGAAGATAGTAGCTCGCGGATAAGCTAGAAAGCAACCTAACTATTATTTACAATAAGATAGGAATAGTGTCAGAATGTTTACCTACCGCCCAAACACCTTATCCCATAGCCCGCTAGCCCTTCCATAAATTCTTAATAAAACAAATATAAAAATAAGTTAATAGTAAACGTCCTATCTATAAGTATTTAACCCGAATAAAAAGGGAATGCTATATATAGTAAGTAATCTTCGCCTATAGAAACGCCCGTGCAATCCATTATATCTCCCGCATATAAAGTAAGTTATTACTATTTATCGCTATACCCGAGTTACCTAGAGCCGCCTTTCACCGACCACGAATAAGACAGAAATCATTACCCACTAGTAACGATATCGGCACCAACAGTATTACTATCCTACCGCGACTCCTGCACTGTATTATCGATTTCTTTAGATAGTAAACCTATCTAGTATTTAGCGAAGTCCCGATCTTGTGGCTTGAACACAAACTGGTCGTTATCAGGGGAAAGGAACTATTCTTTCTCTATTAGTGGTCGAGATATATTTAGTCTATCCACTGATTTAACTATAGAAATATCCGTAACGACGTAGTCTTGACTTATGATCGCCCGGGATAGACTATCGAAGCGGCTAAGATACTATCTCTAGTCCAGCTTAGGCCCTCTTAGTGCGGTACCAGTAGAGTATTATTCCTCCTATACAAAATAGCGTTTAATGGTGGTGCATATCTCCACGTAAATATCTAGGCCGGGTTAGTAAACAGGCTATTCTATTAGTAAAAGGGCAAGGATCCCGACTTATATAGGCACTAGCGCTAGACTTTCTTATAAGTGGCCGCGATTTTAATCCAGTTCCTGTAGAAGATAAAGAGAACCTCGAATATCTCTGTGTTAAATATCTAATCAAGAAAATCATATAAGCGCTTAATATCTATCTCCTCGCCGAAGTAAAGAGGGTTTTCGTCGCTTAGTCGTCGGACGTGTTTCTATAATATACATATCAGTTCACGACGCTAAATGTATTATACATAACGCTTACTTTAAGCCTCCATATCGTACGCGACTACCAGGTATTATAGTTGGTCTGGAAGCGCTTTCTGCCAAGGTCCGGCAAGGTCCTTAAAATACAAGTCCACTATGCTTAACATCCACGATTTATTCAGTATAATAAGGAAGACCTTCCTAGTCGTCTTCTCGAGGGTTCGGAAAAGGGGTCGTAACTATTCGGTCCAGTTACTATTCTCCTTTATCACGTAGCGTCGGGTAGCCTTATCGTAACGTGGAGGAGGGGCACTAGTATTAGGCAGCTTAGTAAAATTCAGTATTAGTATAGTGTTAGAAACATTTTAAGAGGGCAGAGGGTATCACTTATAATATTCCTCCGAAGAAATACAGTTAACTCCTTCTCGTCGGTAATAGGCAGAGGGAAATCATTATTATCGTCGAGCGAACCCGTATTATTAACGTGGTCGGAATTCCTATTACCGCCTTAGTCAGCGTTATAGAATCCCTCTTTATAGATATTATCTGACATCTGACGATTATCTTAGCCATAATTATTACCAAGATTTAGGTTAACGTGCATATCTTCTTAGTTAAACCTCTGAGAATCGGTGGTATATAAGGTTCTATAGTGAATTCTCTGGGAATTCGTTATACTATCCCGCCTAGCCTAATACTAGTTCTAACTCTGGATCTAGTTCGAAGGTGGCGGCCTAGTAGCTCCCACTACCCTATACTTGGGGCTTGGATTAACCGTATTGGTGGAGCCAGTACCCTATTATAGACGCGGTGTCCCTATCATCATCATAAGGTAGCGGTAACAGTATAACAGACGACCAGGCGGATAGAGGACTACTTAAGATAGTGAAATGCTGGATCTAGCCGCTGTATTTGACTTCGAAGTTCGAACTCACCAATAGATACCACTGGCAAGGAGTTAGAGTCGGATTAGACTAATTAGTTAAAGGCAGAAAAGAGATAGTGAAGATCGAGAGGGGGGCGTTTAGAAATTAGAATCACCCCGCTATATAATAATTTGGCGGTTAGGAAGGAATAACCCAATATAAATAATATAACTTTAAAGTAATAGCGCGTGATTCATAATATCACGCGTTCTCCCTCACTAACCCGGATAGTACACGTGAGTCTATTCGTTAGTAATAGATAGCTTACCTAAGGTTGATTTAGTGAATTTCTAAATAAGTAATAGGAATAACTTTAGTCTTTAATCCTTATGCCTAATTCTAGTCGATAATGCAATATTCGGCTCTAGTAGCAGAAATATTTTGCCCCGGCGGCCGCCTGCCAGGGGATAACGATTTTCACCATACACGATCCTAAGGGAAGAAGATCTAGGGCCTCCGGAAGACTTTATCGCTGCTGCTCTTCATACTCGTCACCACCGCCATCAACAGTCCAGAGATATTCGTGCTAATAAGAATAGCGAGATTATCGAATGGTTAAACGATAATACTTTCGGGGTAGGAGATAACCATAACCGCGGCCCTAATATCGAAATGGATCCTGGCCCCGGAAATCCAGATATCGATGATCCTTCGTTAGATTATGCCGATGCCATTAATCTAGTGGGCACCGACGCTCTTGACACCATTAAGAGAATTCTGGATCACGCCAGGCTTAGTGAAAATAAAGAAGAAGATCTGGAGTCTGACAGCTTATCACATTCACACTCTTCGGGACACTATTCATCGAACCAAGAACCCAAGGCACCTGCACCAGTTCTTCACCAAGACGAGTTAGAGGAAGAACTAGAAGACTAAGGGGAAGAAAACCTTACGAATAGTCCTACTAATCCTTATACTAACGTCGACCGAGGTCAGTCTTAAGGCGTGGTGCCTGCCGGGAAACAAAGTAAGTCAGAATACTTCGGCTTCTAGATTCTGAAGCTTTTTGTGAACACTGTGAAATGCTAATAAATCCACGATGCATTCCAGTTTACTGATACAGCGCTTCGACGACAGGCATACATCGAGCACAGGAATCAGAACGGTATATCAATAATCTTAACCTATCCTATGGATTTATTTACTAACTTCACCGCGCTCTATCTAGTTTATCCTTTAAAAAGACTAGCCTGGTAGGTGCTGATAATCTCACGATACTTTTCCCTAGAGGTTTGCTGACCGTTTTTACGATAACAGTCCTGCTCGACGCCATCGATTTCACGGCGGCCGTCCTTATAATATCACACCTAGGTACCTTACCTATATAACATCATTACCCTTCTACTTCACCATTATCGTCTCCGGGCATCTGCATAATCATTCTTATCCAGGTAATTCCCCCCGTCCAGGTCAGCTCCTATACTAAATATACCAGCCATCTACTAACTCCAATATAACCCAGTACATTCGAGCCATATACCACCATAGATTCTAAATAGGTAAGCATCGTGCTCCGTCTACCCGACATTACTAAGCTAATATATATCATCAGATAGAAGATAATCGATAATAGCGACATTCGCCGCGATAGAAATCCTTAACTATACTATATACATTCGCGGTCGAGATCCTTCTCTTCTCCTTCTTTCTATAATCCACTTTACCGAATCTAGAGTACCTAGAGTCGATAGTATAGAGCTAAGAATGGTAAGTTTAATCTAAGCCTGGTTATTAACTTAACTCTAGACTAACAATGATTCGAATATTACCTACCTTAGGAAGCTTTGAACCCCGACTATCGAATAAATTCACTATAACCATCCATCTTTCCCTTTATCATAGTCATACCATTCAACGCCACGATAACAGATCACGATAATTCTTGAAAGGTAAGCTGTCGGGGCTGGTAGGTATGGCGGGTAGAACGATGACCTCGATTATATTTTTCACCAATAGGAATACAACTCGCTGCTATATATTATACCAAGAGGAGTGTGACTTGCCATAATATTTCTACCAATGGGGATACTGGTGTTATTACGTATTTAACGAATAAAAAATAAATCCTGGTTCCATTTTTAACCAATAGGGATGTAAATACTTTTGTACCTGTGTATCGTATAGCCACTTAAAATTAATATCCTGTCTTTAGCGATATTTATCGCAGCCGGGTATAACTATTCCGTGAAATATATGTTAAAGGAGGATAGTTAGCTACGCCCGTGTAAGAATAGAGGGTATAATGTTTTTCAGTACGGCAATCTGGCTAACGAAGGCCATCTCACTACTATAGCTATTTGTACATATAAGAATAGCTGGCTAACAAAACAGTATGGCGCCTAATTATCACCTGACTATACGACCACTCTATCAAGTTAACAAATATTAATCCTATATTATGTTATGCCAGTAACATAACCTGCCCTATCAATAATCCTACCGTAGTCATTACAGCGCACTAGTCGTATAACCCTGACTTCACTATGTATCCAATAGAACACTCGGATCAGCCAGGCCAATATTATCTACTAGTCATATTGCTAAAGCCAGCCACATCGTTAAATTGCATTTATGTATATCCTTGCCAGATAAGCCCCTGTTTATAAATCTTTGCTACATCTTAGTTCTAAGAATGTTTAATCGAGCACTGTGACGAGCCCTGTCACAGTGTTGACACAGTGGCTAACTTATGACCACCAACCCCCCCCTCCCGCATAGGTAAGATAAGGCGTGAAGTATCCGTACGTCAGACTTGGCTGCAGGTTGTTGAATGGATATAGGAGGGCTTCTGTATAAAAGGGTTCAATGTTTTTTTTAACCCCCCCCATTCCCCCCCCCCCCCCCCCCCCCGGAAACCCCGCGGACTCGGTACAACATCACTTTTAGCATCACGCAATGTCGCTTTAAATACGGAGCAAGAACCGGTTAAACCCAGCTGGCTCGTGAGGACCTGTATCCATTTTCCTATTATTAATCACGCACCATTTCAACCCCATCTTCTCAAGCACCTCATCTGGAGATCGCACCCCACGTACTATAAAGAAATGAAGAATTGCAAGATATCCACAGAGCCTTCCCCGTAGACAAGCAGCCAAGCTTATGACCTCGTCAAACGCCTGTCCTATTTCACAGAGACGAATCCGAAGCCCCCGATCTAGTCCCAGGCCCTGCACAAGCCAGAGTAGAGCACCAATAACCAGACCACGCGCAGCTTGGGAGAGACGCCGTACCGATGGAGACGGAGAAGCCCGGCGCACTACGCTACCCCCCCCGCCTGAACCAGGCCGAGAGTGATGACTTGGTTCAAGCAGTAAAGAACTGGGCCCTCGCTCACGGCCTCACCATCCGGCCGCAACCTTCCGTCGTCTCGGACGATGTGGACCCCCAGGGCCTACTCGCAATCAACGTTCCCGTTACACTGTTCCCCAGTCCCTTCCCCCGCCAGTGCTTCGATCAGGCCCGGTCTGTCCAGCAGACCTACAATGAGCTCTATGCGGCCATTAGCCGGGATGAAGAGTTCCTTGCCGGCGCCGTCGATGAGTGAGTGAACATGGTCTCATATCTGTACAGACGGGAAAAGCGGCAAACTAATCATCTTCGCATGCAGAGTGAGGGACGGTGATGAGTTCACCTCCAACCTGTGGGACGTCCACTTGCGGGTCAAGAAAGAGGGATACACACAGGTGCGTTGGCTGCCCGGGGGGGGGGGGGCTTCTTTTCTAATTTTTCTCTCTACAGAATCTTTCCCTTGGTCTGTTCAGATCCGACTACCTCGTTCACCAAGACTTGCCAGGAAACGAACCGCAGATCAAGCAAGTCGAATTCAACACAATCGCTGCTTCCTTTGGAGGACTCTCTGCACAAACGACCCTGCTTCACAAGTAGCCTTATCCCCCCTCCCCCTAGACCTCCTTTCTTCATGTTCCCCGTCCTGGTCTGCAACTGTCGCTGCGTTATCTGACACGCCCCAGGTTTCTCTCAACTTCTGAATATCCTCTTCTACAACAGTCCATCACCCCCGAGAGCCTCGTGCTACCGGAAAACGACAGTGCTAGAGGCCTTGCTGCAGGTATGCGAGCCGCCTTCGACGCGTACGGCGACTCCGAACTCGGCCACGAGCGCTGCATTCTCTTCGTCGTCCAGGACGGGGAACGAAATGTCTTCGATCAGCGACACCTCGAGTATGCTCTCAACGACACCCTAGATCCCATCCGCGTCTTCCGCATCCCCTTCTCACAACTCCTGGACCACACGAGCATCGCCCAGACCCCGAAGCGACAGCTGCTCTACCACCTCCCGAGGAACCGGTCCAAGACGTTCGAAGCCTCCGTCGTCTACCTCCGAGCCGGCTACGGCCCATCGGACTACCCGGACCAACGCGCTTGGGAAGCCCGCTACCACCTCGAGAGGTCCGCCGCCATCAAGTGCCCCACGGTACTGACGCAAGTCGCCGGGACGAAGAAGGTGCAGCAGCTCCTGGCCACGCCGCGGTCCGACGCCGACGCCGACGCCGACGGCCCTTCCATCCTGGGGCGCTTCATCCCGGACCCGGACGACGCGCCCCTCTCCGCGCAGGTGTGGCGCACGTTCAGCAACATCTACCCGATGGATACCTCCGAGGCCGGGCGGAAGGCGCGGCAGGTCGCCCTGGACCCGGAGCTCTGCCTCCACTACGTCCTGAAGCCGCAGCGCGAGGGCGGCGGTAACAACCACTACCGCGAGGACATCCCCGTGTTCCTGGAGAAGACGCCCGAGTCGCACTGGGGCGCGTACATCCTCATGGAGCTCATCACGCCTCCGAAGCAGGAGAACATCATCCTGCGCAACGGCAAGCTCGAGGAGGGCGGTGTCATCTGCGAACTCGGCATCTACGGCACTTGCGTCTGGAACCAGAGCACGGGCGAGTTGTTGCGGAACGAGGAGGCGGGATATCTGCTGCGGACGAAGGGGGATACGAGCAACGAGGGTGGCGTGGCTGCTGGGTATGGGTGCATGGATAGCTGCGCTCTGGTATAAACGAGGAGCATCAACTCAAGCTTCCAAAAAAATGAGGCATAGAGATCAGCCAGAATTGAGGACCTAGAACTCGTTTCGTTGCCTTGCTTTGTCTTAGCCTGCTCTGCTCTGCTCTACACTGTGAAGCGTATGCTAAATATTCATAAAGCAGCTGGAAGATTCAAAATGAGGTCAAGTGCAATCCTTTGCGATTCTTAAAGGGGTATTAGATAAAATCTCGCCCAAGCTATGGGCTCTCCTACTAGTACTATCCACCCAACCTAATTTTACACATCTTGTCCGCGGTGATGGCATTCGCGACGTAAAGTAGTACATATGGAGGGGAGAAAAAAACCGAGACTGTTGCGTCATATCGGTAAAATAATCACTGGGCCTCTACAGCATCAATTGATGCGTCACTCGCCTGACGGGTTGCCGGGACGCCGGAGGACTTCAACATTGCCTGAGAACCGAATGTTAGCGTTAGCGTATGGTCTATTCAAATGGGCAGCTGAATATGGGGCAGACATACGCTGGATAATGCTGAGAGAACTCCTGGTCTTGCCCTCGGCATCCTGGTAGGTGTTCATGGTGGCATCTCCCTCGACGTAGACAAGAGATCTAGAGGCGCAGAAAGAGATGTGTTAGTAACAACAATGTCGGGGAGGGTTCGTCGGAAGGAGGGAAAAGCGAAAAGCGAAAACGCACCCCTTGGGCAGGCTCTGAAGGTAGTCGCGACGGGGACCCTGGGGCTCGAAGCTCGAAACACGGAACCAGCTGGTGTGGCGGTTATCCCGGGGCCCGCTGTTGCTGGCGATGGCGTATTTGAGCACCTCGTGTCCGGTGCTGGTGGCCTGCAGCTCGGGCGTGTCGGCCAAGTTGCCGACGATGGTGATGCGGGCGACGCCGCGGGGGGAGGTGGTGCTGAAGGACCGCGCAGCAAGGCGCGGGGTCGCAATGACACGGCGAAGGGCGGCGGACATTGTGGGCGAGGCGTTTTTGAACGTTGAGAATTGAAAATGGCGAAGATGGTACGGTGGGCGAAAAGAGACTGGGCTGGCGATAGACTGAATAAGGTAGGTGGAATGATTGTGTTGTGTGGGAGTTTTTAATTAGATTTGCATCTACCGAAAGCGTCTTTCGACTTTGGTCACAAGATTGTCGCGTCCTGAGACGCGAACAGGGGTGGGTGCTGGGGGGCGGGCCCCTGACAGTTTGGTTATTAATCACCCACCAGGGTAGTTGGCCCGTGCATGGAGCTCAAGGCCCCGATATATCGGGCGGCTTTGATATGTAACTATCAAGACGCTGTCTATGTCCTAAGTGAAATGTGATGCATCAAAGCAGAGGTTATGCTAAACTAGGGTGGCTTTTCCTAATTCGGGTCTGAATACTGCAACATCTTCCTCAACCATCACCCTCGTGTTCGGGGCTGTCACCAACCCCCCAGGGCAGCGAGCGGTTGAAGATGTGATACAATGTATGGAAATGCCGCTGACGAAACGAAGACTGGACAGTAACAAGCGGGCGCTTATATTGCTTGTGTGACAGCCGTGCGCATGCGTACAGGATCACCTCTCGGTCCGATCCAGGACGACCAGGACGACCCTCATTGGCAACCCATGAGTCTACTGTAGTTGTCTACACGAGGAGACTGCATGGCAAGCGGGGTTGGGGGCTTTGCTTTCCAAGGGGGCCGACGGCATTGCACCAAGTACTGCAGTCTCCAGGGATAGTTGATGTTTTGGGCGAACGGCGCGCATTCTGGGTCTTGCGGCCGGCATTTTCTATTTTGGCTCGGACCCCGGATCGGGACGAAAAGCAACAACCTCCCGGCTGATCTACGCTTCTATACGGGAGCCATTCCGTATTGGGTTCTGAATAAGAGCCTTGAATAGTTCCAGAGCCTTCACCGTCAAACGTCAAACGTCCAACTTGCCGCGAACGGTCAAGTTTCTCACCTATCGGCTATCGCTTTGATATACGTTACATCTTCACCATCGCCTGCCCGCACTTCTCGTCACTTTTTGGGCTATTCTGGGAGGCGAAGGGCGAAGTTTCCATCTCGCTGATGCCTTGGCTTGAAACTATTCTATGAGTGTGCCTTTTTACTTCTGATATAACATGTGCTATGGCATGGCCTTTGGTCGTCTGAAGTCTCGTGGTTCACGGGCGTATTGGTCTCGCTCTATTGGCATCTATTGATCTTATTGACCCAATTGACCTATTGAGCAGAACAACAGTAGAAATCCGTGATGCTACCAGCTAACTACACCTTGTTCTTCATATAGTTCCTCTCGCTGACCTTCGTCCGAGTCTCTCTCCCTCCCTCGTCTTTATCTATCCCACTGCGTCTATCTTCGTTTTCTCTTCGTCCCCAGATCCTCCCCATGCCTCCCCGATACTCTTCTGCTGCCATAGTCTTGAAGCAAACATCCCGAGCATCAGGGGCTTAGCTCTCTGGGATCGACTCTGCGTAACGGTGACGGTAAAGAGGCAACGAGAACGAGTCTCAGGTCTCGCAGCCGCCCTTGGTTATTTATATTTCCCCTCGTTGGCGACGCCTTCAACAACATATTCCCATCCTCATCAAACCCCTCTCCTGCCGCTTTGTCGTCGTCAAGATGGCACCGCTGCCGCCTGGCGTAACGGAACTCTATCCCATGGTTCTGGCCCCCTTACCGGTTCCAGACCCCGTCACTAACCCGGCGCTCATGGCAAACCTGGTCTGCCGAGTCGTGCTCGGAATCATAGCCAACATCATCTGCTTGGTCCCCCTCCGCTTGCTGTACAGAATCGGAGAGTTCTCAGCCGTGGTGTTCGTTGCCAACATGATAGGCCTGAACTGCCTCACGGTCATCAACGCTCTCATCTGGCGCGACGACAACATGACCGAGTGGTGGCCCGGTTACGGTTGGTGCGACATTCACCCGTTCCTCTACCGCCCCATGATGACTCTCTTCACCACTTCGGTTCTGGCTATTAGTCGGAACCTCTCAGTACAAGTCAGCATGCTACGCGCCCACCCCTTGACCGTCAGGGAGAAGCGTAGGAAGAACCTCGTCCAGGCACTCATCATGTTTCCCGTGCCGCTTATTCAAATCGCCTGGATTTATCCCATCACCGCTCAGCGCTATACCATCGCTACGCTAGTGGGATGCGACTGGAGAGTTCACAGAAGTTGGCCTAGGCTGGTCTTCATCACCCTACCAACACCCATACTCTCCCTGATGTCCGGTTATTATGCGAGTGAGTATTTCTCCTCCTTCTCTCCTCAACCTCTCCCCCCATCCAGGGGCTCTGTCTCGCCGGACTAACACAACCCCCCCCCCCTTCCCTAGTTCTCACCTACTTGCGCTACCGTGAACTGCGCAAGGCAACGCGCGGAGCGCTCTCCTCCAATAGCTCAGCAATATCGAGGCAGAACCGCACAAGGAGGCGCCTCTACCTTCTGACCATCTGCATTCTGATCCCCTATATCCCGCTCCAGTGCGCCCACGCCGCGCTCAACATCACCGAGACGCTGCCCCTTGAACCCTTCGACTACCACAGAGTCCGTAACGACGAGAACGCCCCGTACCCGTGGAACTCGATCTTGCTTCGACCATCCTCCGAGATCAACTTTGCTTTCATGAACAACAAGTTCATCTCCATTGCCACCGCCTTCCTCGTGTTCTTCCTCTTCGGCGCCACCATCGATGCCCGCAGTACCTACCGTCGTTACTTGCTCGCCATGGGCTTCGGCAAGCTGTTCCCTCGCCTCCATGAGCCGTCGTACCGCGCAGCGGGAATGAACAGCATCTCCAATCCCAACACATCCTGGGCCACACGGACGTACGTCACATCCTTTCTTTGCAGTTGTACCTTCCCTTGCCCCCTCCTACAGCTATTTGTTTTCCCGTGTGACAGATTCTACAACGTGGCACTTCTTTAACTAATTCTCTACCCCTCCCCTTAAGTGATACTACCACTACTACGCTCCTCAAGGGCCATGCGCGCCACTCATCCCAGCAGTTTAGCCGTATCGGCTCGTACTCCCAGGCCAGCGGGCCTGGAAATGAGTTGGGTGAATCTCACCCTTCCATCCACCTCCCAGACTTGACTCTACCAGAGGATCGCAATCGGAACAACAGGTCGATTCGAGAAATGGCCGAGCTAGGCGCACCGCGAACCCAGCCTCTTCCCCAACGCCCCTCGGCCGCAGATACCGACGCCATCGACCTCCCGCACCGCAACCCCTTCCCGTTCCGCACGCACCTGAACATCCACCTCCCGTCCTTCCAAATCTCCCTACCCAGATTCCTGAACTGGAAAAACAAGAGCAGCGGGGACACCGACCCCAACGCGTCCCGTGTCGTGCTACACGACTCCCGCGGCACGGCAACAAACAGGAGCAGCGGCAGCGGCAGTGGCAGCAACACCACCACCACCACCACCATCACGCCGCCTGAATGCAGTGGCGGCACCGTGTCATCCGACCCAAACCTCTCCTGGCTGCCCCAGCGGGAAAGGGAGAGGATATTCACCCGCGTCTGGTCCGGCGAGGAGGAGGAGGAGGAGCAGCAGCAGCAGCAACACCAATCTTCTCTTGGGGGACCGGACCTGGCGCGCCGGGGCGGGGCGGACGTGCTGCTGCCACCCCTTTGTCCGGACGCCATCGTTCCCGCGGTGCCACCGCCGCCGTCCGCGAGGGTCGTGACGGTGCGGACGCATATCTCGCAGCAGCGTGTGGTGCATAGGTAGATTGAGAGAGAGAGAGACGGGGCCAAGGGTCCCCGGTTTGATGAGGGCGCAGATTGATTTGTGGATGGTTACCTATCCCAAGGGATCGGATCTGTCCACGGCTTCCAGTCCTCTCTTCCCCCCCTTTGCTGTCGATGGGGGATACTCCTTTTCTCTCGGTCATCGCGTTCATCTCCATTTATATTGCATTCATAGCCTGTTTCGGAATAGGGGCAAAGGCGTTGACACTCTTGACATGTCATTATTTGTCCCTTGCGAGGGTAGCCGTACCGGATAGGTCTCAAAAGCCAGTTTTAGGTAAATAATACAGGAGTTGACACACCACGGTCAGAAACGCCAACAGACTGTCTATCTCTGTCAAGCGGGGAGAGCCCGATGGTGGCGTGGCTACGCCATATGATGCCGAAGTGTATATAAGACCATCAAAAATGAAGCAATAATGGAGCAAGTTCGACCGAATATAAGCTGAATGTTCACTGATCCCAACTCTAGCCCGTTGTAATAGTTACAGTCACAGTCGCTTGATTTCCGCTTCGTCCTCCGTTCCTGAAGTAACAAAATAGGTGACATGGAGCGCAAGTCCCCCAATCTTGAATTCCCGTGTTGATAATAGAACTATAACGTAAGAGGGCGGCTGCACGGCGGCTCGCGCAACCTGGTCTTCATTACCCCTTTTAAACCCCCGACATTCAAGCGTCCAACTACTTCCAAGTCTTTAGAGAAATATCCCCGAGTTAAAAATAGAGAAGAGAAAATAAGAAGAAAATAAGAAGAAAAGAAAGAAGAAAAAAAAAGAAGGAAAAAATAACAAAGAAAAAAACAACAAAGAAAAACAGAAACTCAAACGCCGCGCCATGCCGAGCTTTACACTGGGCATTAGAAGCCAAAGAATCTTTCGCAACAAAGCGGATATCAAACCCCTTTCGAGAATCCCCAAGTCGTTACAACGTAGAAGCCACAGGTTGCCTGCCCCCCCGCCTTCCTGTGGTGGGACAAAAGGTGAAGCCCTCGAGTCGAGTAAAAATTAAATAAAACCATGTATGGGAGAGAAGCAGTTGCAGAGAAAAGAAGAGAAAAAGGTGCAGGTTGGCTGAAGTGGGTTCGAGGGGTGTGTTGTGCGGTTGCTTCATCTTAAGCGGTCATGACCGGGGCATGAGGCTCCGCCGAAGGACCGGATCTTGATGCTCCGGGTGTGCTGGGGACAGGTGCCACCTCTGGATCTGATATTTGTATGTCCAGCTAAATAGATGTGTCAGTCGAGAAGGCCCGACCATGCTCGTGGGGTAAAATGGAAAAGGCTTGAAAGGGAAGACGAGAGTAAAACTCACAGTCATGTAGCCCGTACGGCGCAACGGGATGATTTTCGGCGGAATAGCGCCCTCGTCCAACCGAACGGTCTTGGCCATCTCCCTGTTCCACTGCTCTATCCAGTCCTCCAGCTTCTGCAGGCGCGCCTTGACGGCGGTGAGCCCAAAGTCGTCCCAGAGCCAGCCGGTGACGAGGCCGAGCATGGCGTCGACGACGTTCCGCCAGTTGTACGGGCTGAAGATGGGCACCAGCTCGCTGTTCAGCTTCTCCACCACCCGCCGGAACTCCAGCTCCGAGAGGCCGGCCGGGTCCAGGATCTCCGGGTAGAGGTTGGAGAAGGTCGGCGCGAGGTCGCCCTCCATCAGCCAGTCCCGGCGGACGCGGATGATGCGGGTGGTCTGGTACTCGAGCGAGTCAACGGGCACGTGCGGGTTCAGGTGCGGGTAGCAGGGGTGCTGGGGCCCCCATTCCTCGCCGTCGGGCTGCACCTCCTCGCCCATGATGGAAGAATTGGTGGAGGACAGGGCGGAGCCGATGCCCTCGCCCGTGGACAGTTTGGAATGGCGGCGGGGATCCAGCATGTCCGGGCCCCGCTCCAGGTCCCGGGAATGGGATCTTCGAGGAGGCTCCCCCGTTTCATCGGCCATGGTCGCTCTTCCTTTGCCCTTGTCTAGTTTGCTGGGAGGTGGTGGTTTTTGGAGACCCTCTTCTTCAACGTCTTTTTCGACGTCTTCTTCGTCGTCTTCTTCGACACGCGGGGTGACGCTACAGAAGCTTTGCCGGTCGGGTCGGGGCGATGCCGAGTGCCGTCGTGCGCCTGGGTGCAAGCCGAGTTCTGCGTCGCCGGGATGCAGGGAAGGGCCGGGCAATCCCTTATCGTCGTAGGAATGTCGGACCGATCGTGGGAGGCTGACGCGGTTGTCGCTGCTGCCGCGTCGGTCTATCTGCAGGCTGTTCCGGCTGGAAGGAGGATGTCGGGACCGGCGTTGTTCGGGTAGAGTCAAGAGAGGATAGTCGCCAGCACCAAGACCGACAGGACCGGGTGGGTCGGCGGATTGGTCGAGTGTGGGATGGCACAGGGGTACTGGGGGAGGCGGAGGGGTCGACAGTCGTCGTCTTCGGACGGTCGGCGGCGGAAGTCTCGGAGTCGAGTTGGACGGGTTCCACAGGCGAGCGGCGCCGGCGAGGCGATGGAGACGGCGTGGAGCCGAACCTGCACGGGATCGAAAAGGCGTACGCGGGACGAGGCTGCGGGGGGGGATAGGGGCAGGGCCAGGGGTGGGGGCGGAGGCAGGAGCGGAGGCAGGATCAGGCTGATGCGAGCGACCCTGCTGGTAGCCGGACGGGTGGTCTACTGGCGGGATGCGAGACGAGGGCGTAGCCGACGGATGGAGGAGACCGCTTGGGTAGCGAGGTTGGTGGGATAGCGAGGGAAGTCGAGGGTTTGCGGAGTCTTCTAGGGAGGCCGGGTGAATCGATTCGGGGTCTTGTCTCGCGTGTGAAGCCGTTGGAATGGTGACTGGCAGAGAGCCGTCGAAACGGCCTCCTTGGGCAGGACTGCCTGACCGTCCGAGCGAGGGTGAGGAGGTGATTGCTCGTTCTGTCGATGTGGGTGGTCGTATTTTTCGCGGTACTGGTGTCGTCGACAACGTTGTTGTTGTTGGGGGCGGCGGCGATGTTGCGCGGGTTGATGGAGGCAGAGAAGAGTCTGCCCCGAAGCCTCGTGTAATGACCCGGTTGAGGTTGCCAGCGTCTCCGGGTTTGCTGCTGCTGGGTGGACGGATTGATTTTTCGCGGCCAGGGCGAACGAATCCCCGAGAAAGAGACGGGGTGGAAGTACGAGTACGAGTACCAGGGCTAGGGGGTGAGGACGAGCCGGATGGCGGCAGTTGAAGCGGTTGCAGTCGCGCCTCCGGTAGGAATATTGATAAGGGTGGTAAGGATGGTAAGGGGGGTGGTATTGGGAGGGTGAAGCTGCTGCAAGATGGCCGTGGGTGGAGACGGAGACGGAAAGGTGGTTGGTGTGTGCTGCTGGCGGCGGTGGACTTGGTATTGGTGCTGGTGGTGCAGGTACCAGGAGATTGTAGCTGCCAATGCACGTGAAACGTGACGAGGAGGAAGACCACGATGAGAAGGAATGACTGGACACCATATGTAAGAACGGCAAGAACGAGGGACAAGCGAAAGCCCTCGAACTGTCTTTCTTCCCCGTCAATTATTATGGCTTGCCGAGTTTGTTGAAAGTGGAAGATTTTCTGAACCAAGGTACCTTAGGAATGTTAGGAAGGATGCCGAGGATGGTCTACACGTAATTAGTGGAAGAGGTCCAGGTCCCAGCATTCTGGTCCTCGTAGGCCATTCGTCCAGTGAGGCATTTCAAATCAAATATCAGCAGCCCAAGCAGAACACTTTAAAAGGCAGGGTCAGGGTAATCAGTAATCAGACACGAGCCGCATGAACGACCAGAGACGGCATTGATCTTGGTGTAATTTCTTATTGTTGCGAATACTTCACTGGTTGCGTAATCCAGCAGATGTTTTGTGTTTAGGGACGCCGAATCTGGGCCCAACGCAGCCCTGTCAAGGTTTTGCCCTCCTTCCTCGATATTCTCTCTCGTTTTTCCTTGCTGGAGGATCACGCAGTTGTTGTTGTGTGATTTTGATTGCAGGTACCTTAAGGTAGACAGCTAGATACGGTACTTAGTCCGTAATACTTACTAAAATTAGCCTGACAAAATCGATATCCGGACTGCCCGACAGCTGCCACGCATCATCCCGACTCAACTGTCTGTGCCCTTTGCGACGCATGAATAACCGCGAATTAGAGCGGAATTAGAACTCGGTCAACAGGCCGAGGTTCTCATTCTTCATTTTAGAAACTTACTGTAACTGATTTTTCTCAGTCTCCATCACATCCGCTCATTTCCATCCAAAGCCCTCTTCCGTGGACCACGGGTCGCTATCCCACCTACATATCATCTCGCGGACAGGCCGACGCCGCCGACGGGCTTGTGCCCTGACCCTGTCCCCGTACATGCGATGGGCTATGCAAGCGTTCGTCCGTAGATTGCAGAAACTTCATCCTCACAAATCCACAGTTACTAATGCGGGCAGCGCACTCCATGTTGTGTCAATCAAAGGGGACAAAAACATAAAAAGAAGAAAAAAAGAAGAAGAAAAAAAAAGGCCGGCGTTGTACCTGTGCCCGCGGCCGTCGGCACCCGGTGTCCCGCCCCCGCACCGCCGTTCTCCGTACATCAATCGCCTAATACATTACTGCCTCTTGCAACACGACATATTGCTCCGTAGACGTACTCCGCAGAGCCAGTCGGTGGACGAAAGTGACGGCGTTGCCATGACTTCTATTGGAAATATAAAGGTAAATTTCGGATTCCCAACTCTGCTTTTTTATTTTTTTTCCTCTCTGGAATATTAACAGCGGAGACTATTACCGAAGTTGACCATCTCTATCGATGTACTCATATAAGGCAGGTAGGTAGTGACATCGGAAAAGGCAAATTTGCCGACCAAAAATACCTGGGTGGAAGGGAAGTCGGGGCCAATCACCTTACCTACCCCAAGCAGGTCAGATACCTAAGGTACGGTAGGGAGCACAGGTGAGCTGAAATACTACGACTTTGAAGTAACACGGAGCTTTTTGGTGAGGCTTTCCGGGTGTCTCAGGCGCCCCAGTGTAGCTCAGTCAGGTGCCACCCCACCGCGTCATGGTGAGCGCATCGTTCTCCAACAAACCATCTCGCCATCTCCCAATGCCCTCGTTTTGGTTCATGCTTCACAGGTAACGACCTTGGCTCCCTGGTAGATTCTCAGGCACCGAGCACAAGGTCAAGCACTACCACATCTATCCTTTTTTTTTTCGTTTTTAATCTTTTTTTTGCCTATTCTTCTTACCTTCCCCCCCCCCCCCTGCTCCTCACATTGGTCTCGGCCGAGACACGAGGAGAGTGCTACTTCCTAGCCAGCCAGCCCGCATTCCTCAAGACGGGCTTCTCTTTCTCCTGGAGCTCCCTTTTGACCACGTTCTACCTTGTTCAAACTACATGCCTCTTTCAGTACGAAATTCACCCTCCAACCGTCCTATTTCGAGGTGTGCCCTTGTCGAGTTACTTGTCGAGTCTTTACAACGAAGATTCTTAACGTCCTCGTGTCCGCAGAGCCATCCGATCGCGGAACATGGAACATCGTTCAATGGCCGAAGATCGCGAGCCTCGTAGCCTTAGCTCGACGTCCCCGGATACCGGCCCGGGCCTGGCTACGGGGAGATACGCCGGTACCGGTACTACACCATTTTCTCCTCCGGCAGGCCACTCCATCCGCCGTTCCATGACCCTAGACGAAGGCCCCCGCTTTCGCCGGCACGGACCCTCGCACCCGGACTCCTTTGACGCGCCCCGAAGGAGGAGCACGACCAGCCTGGACGAGGCGCGGGAGCTGTTCAACCCCCAACCGAACGGCGGTCGGCTCCCCGAGGAGGAAGGCTCAAACTGGGCCTCCGTCCCGCTGGCCTTTGCTCTGCTGCCCGCCCTCGGAGGCATATTCTTCCAGAATGGCAGTGCTGTCGTCACCGACGTGATGCTTCTGGGTCTTGCTGCCATTTTTCTTCATTGGTCCGTCACGCAGCCATGGTGCGTTCTCTCCCCCCCGTCTCATTCTTTTTCCCCCCCCAACTCCCGGCGCCTCTACTGACGGTTCGCCAGGAGATGGTATCATTCCGCACAGGAAGTACGTGTGCGGGAAGAAGGACATTACGACTTCGCCGTGGATTACGAAAGTGAGGAGGCGGACCATGTGAGCGTGTCCGAGACGGGACAGCCCAGCTCGTCTTCTGGGAAGGCTAAGGCGGTGCCTGGCAAGGCCTCATCCCTACGAGAGGAGGAACCCGTTCCGCCGCCGCCGAAACGAAACACAGAGCGTGAAGCGGCGAGGAGGGACGCGCTGGCCGAGCTTTACATTCACGAGGTATCGGCTTTGGCGTCGTGCTTCTTATTGCCCGCACTGGGGGCATACCTTCTCCACACCATCCGCGCGCAGCTGAGCCGGCCATCAGAAGGCCTGGTGTCCAACTACAACCTCACCATCTTCCTGCTGGCATCCGAGCTACGACCCTTGTCGCACCTGATGCGCTTGGTGCAGTCTCGGACGGTTCACCTACAGAGGATCGTACACGAAAACCCGTACGAGCAAGAGCCGAGCGGCGGCGGCCCCAGACAAATCAACGAGGTCCTGGAGAGGCTGGAGGTGCTGGAATCCCGACGGGACCCGAACCCGCCGGCGCCAACGGACAGGGGGGCGTCGGAGCTGGCCAGGGCGAAACAAGAAGCGGCCATGGTACGCGACATACGGAACGCCATACAGCCCGAGCTGGACGCCTTGAACAGGGCCGTCCGGCGTTACGAGAAGAAGGCGACGGTGCAGGCGCTGCAGACGGAATCCCGGTTCGGCGTGGTCGACACGCGGCTGAACGACGCCATCGCGCTCGCGGCGGCCGCGGCGAAGAACAGCGCGGCGGCGCCGGGTTTCCTGCAGTGGCTGGTCGAATCGGCCGTCGGGTTGGTCGTGCTGCCTTTCCGAGCGCTCGTTTCCTTGGTCATGTTCCCTTTCCGGACCTTGGTCGGGTTTGTGTCACGCAAGAACAGGACGTCGGGGAAGTCTTCAAGGTCAGGGCGGGCATCGAAATCGCTTAATGACTCTCGTTGGTTGCGTGGTGATCGACAGCTGTCCGGGCGGGCTGCAAGGTGATCGAGACGACGAGGTGGCGGGACAGGGACGGTTTTCCTACGGCATTTGCTATTGAAAGAAGCGTCGTACTTACCCCTCTGTGTCACTCCTGTCTCTCTGCTGTCTCTGGTTCGATTCGTTTTGCCATTCTGGTCATCGCAATCTTGAGAGAGAAGATGGTGAAGGGTCTCAGTGGACGCCCAGCAGTTTCGTTGAGCGTCGAGTGGATGGACCCCCAGGTAGCTCTGTACAGGGGAAAAGGGGTCGTATGCATTTGATATCCACCAACGACGTGTCTCAACGCGGCCATACTCCGTACAGGTACTACATATCTACACGTACCGCGAACGTTTATTTGCGTATCTTGTACTGCCCAAATCGCGTAATCGGCCGTTAGGTTATTCCACCCCGAGGAGGTCTGTGCGGTAATTCCACCCTGAGGGAGGTCTATACGACAGTTCTTACCTCCGCTTTTTCTTTTTCTTTCCTTTCCCTTTTTCCTCTCCTATCTCGTTCTCCTTTCTTTTCCTCCTTACTTCCTTGAAAGCATGTTCCAGTATAACTCTCGACTCAGGCTGTCTTACTGGAGATCGTTTCTGCGTATGCAGACAAAACCAGGAACCAATCCAAGGTGACAATTGACTGGACAGGACTCGAGATGCGAAATCAGACCTCGAACACGTATTCGACAGTCGCGTAAAAATGTCATTCCCGTGAAGCCACCCCGGTGGTTAGCTGCCTTGCGGAACCAAATTCGGTCGGTTGGTAGCACCCTACCTTCTTTCGGAACAGGTTTTGAACCAACGATTAGTACTACCCGTCAAGGTTTTCGCCGGTACGCGAGCCTGACGGAAACTCGAGACGGAGGCAGATCCGGCCAAGCCACTCGAAGAGTCAGTCCAAAGGACCATGTCGGTACCTATGCGAATAGAGACCCTTAGTCAGTTAGACCGACTTGCCATCCGAGCGACCTCTATCCAGAGAACGGCCCCGATGGCATAATGTTCGAACGTTCGCATCCCCTTTGTTCGTTGACAAGCGTGCTCTTTGTGCCTGAACTGCCCCGTCTTGGCCGGAGAGACGCTAATGCAGTGTCATGCTTATGCGACATGATCCCCATACGGAGTACGCTCAGGTCGAGCCGCTTGAACGACAGTCGAGCCAAGAGACGTTCAAGTGGGTGATTTTCACCCCGGGCATCCATCCTAGATGACGACCAAGCAGACGCTGGGACAGAGCGTGACGCTAGACACCCATCTCGCCGGTTTCTCAAGCCGGAAGACAGATGGTCTAATTTGTGCTGTTGTCCGTTTTCTTCTGCCGTCCCCGCTACTACGGATAGAGCTGACCGACTGGTCTTACTCGTCTCTGGACCTCTGGACCAACCAGTCGCATTCCACCCTCTGCTCTACAATATTGACGGAACCATCTATCGTTCGAACAGAACAGAACAGAGACGAGACGGATGGCTTTGGGAAGTGGAAGCGGCGAAGACGCGGAAAACAGGGGAAGGCTTGACTTGAGCCTTTTCATTGCTTGGTCGCGAGACTCCTCATGGTATCATGGTACCTATCATGGTAGCGCTCACCGATCGTGGGCTCCGACCAGCCTTCCTTGCGTCTCACCTTGCGTCTCACCTTGCGTCGTGATCGCCCTAGGACCGGCCCTCTGGGCTTACCGACCGAGACAAGGCCAGATTCGTCCCACTGAGGACGGCGTGGATGGTGCGAAATCTATTCGTCGCCTGCCGCTGCCCTTGTTGCCATCCGGGTCGTCGACCTGCCTCCCTGCGACCTGGCGTCACCATCATCCGTCGAATACCGTCTAAACTATCATGATCCACCAACTCCCGGTCGTAGGTATATTGTTTCTTCTTTCACAGAAACAACCTTCGTATGTCCGCCTGTCGTTTGGCTTCCACCGGTCCCCTTCCCCGTGTACTCCTCGACTCCTACAATATGCATATGCCCTTCGAACGCTGCGTACTCTCACCGCATCCGCTCCCCCCCCCCTTTTTTTCTTTTCTTCCCCCGTGCATCGCCCACAACCACTAGGTGATCTAGTCTCAAGTCCTAGTCTGAGCTTGCTCGTCTATACTACTATACTACTAACCTCCCAAGTCGCTCACCCGCATCTAATCTTCCCCTTGTTGTGATATAACACTAGTCTCCAACGAGAGGTTGCTTCTTCCGTTGCCCAGCCACTGTACTGTCCGTCATCTCAGGGCTGACTTACACCCCCAGCCTCCGGGCAAGCGTTGTGCTGGCTGTTCTCTGTTGGTTCGGCACTCCTAACGCTTGACGTTTGTTTCTCTTGTATCCGCTGGGTCGCCTGGGAACACTTAGCCATTGTCGGAACATTACAACACCATCCCATACTCATCCCCTTCATGTTCCTACCCAACCTGGATTACCAGCCGTCACATCTGAGTGTCCTTCCTCCGACGACATCTCCATCATGTCCTGCAGCCTCAATGGTGGATGTTATTAACAAACCTGTCTTCCTGACTGCTTCCACCTCTCTGTCCAACCTGAGGCGTAAGGCGTAAGGCGTAAAGCGTGAAAGCGCGAAACTACTCCCATAAACCGAGCAGGCATCAGCTTCAGCAGCAGAGAGGTCACACGATGCCCAGAGGTGTCCGCGTCTGGACACTGCTGTGTCTGCTCCTATTATACCATGCCGCTGCTTCAAACGGTGCCCTGTTCCCGGTACGCAGACAAGAGGGTGAAGACGTACCACCATCACCATCACCACCGCCGTCACCATCGTCGTCGCCTGCGCAAACGCTTTCCGAAAGCCAAGGCGATCAGCGTAGTCGAACCTCAGGCTCTCCTCCTTCAAGCCTCGAATCCAGTGCAAATCTCCTCACGACCTCGGACACCCGGTCCACCGACCTGACTCCGTCCGCCGCCCCCACGAGTGACATTGGTTCTAAGACGGAGGAGGACATTCCCGATAATGGTAAGAGGGGCATTTTACGTTGCTTGTACCCCATGAGGGGGTATCCAAACACTAACGGTGTCTCCGCGTGTCTTTAGTGAACATCCCAGAGGGCGAGTTGCCTCTGCAACCCCAAATTACGCCGGGATGGGGAGTAGCAGGTGTCTTGATGATCTGTACAGGGATCGTATACGCCCTCGTGGGTATCAAAACCGCACGCATCCACGCCTTCTTCTCGACAGCCATCTTGACAAGTCTGGGTACCGCCGTGCTCGTCCTTTACGTCACGGAGATTCCGGTGTCCCTCGCCGTGCAAGGGGGATATGTCGCTGCCGCGATGTTTACCGGCATCATGCTCGGGGGGGTCGCTACCTTCTTCAAAGAGCTCACCGCGAGTTTCGGCTGCCTGTTGGGGGGCTTTTGCTTGAGCATGTGGCTGTTGTGTCTAAAGCCCGGAGGTCTGCTGCCCCAGACGACGACCAGGATTATTTTCATCACCTGCCTCACCATGGGTGCTTTCGCCCTCTACTTCGTCCGCTACGTCCGGCCTTACGCCCTCATTGCCTCTATATCCTTCAGCGGAGCCACCGTCACCGTTCTCGGGATTGACTGCTTCAGCCGCGCCGGACTTAAGGAGTTCTGGGCTTATCTCTGGGACCTGAACCAAGACTTATTTCCCCTGGGAACGAAAACGTACCCCGTGACTAGAGGCATCCGCGTGGAAACGGCAGTCATCGTTGTGATCTCCGCTGCGGGCGTCTTCTCCCAGTTTAGGTTGTGGAGGGTCATCAACCCCCGCCGTATTCAGCGTGACGCAGAACGCGCCCAACAGCAGCGCGACCTCGCCGAAGAAGAGGAGAACGTCGGGCGCAGAGTACAGGCGCAAACTGACCAGGAGAAACAGCTGTGGGAGAAGAGGTACGGCGGCGGCACGCAGCCTGGAGCCAATTCGAGTGGCTCCGTGCTCCTTTCTCCATGCCAAACCGGGGAGAGGCGGAATGGGAGCATCCATAGCCGTGGGTCTGGTGGACCGCAGTCATCTATCAAGGCCGAGACCGCCCAAGGGAAGGAGGCTCTACCTTCTTCTCGAGGAACCCCCCGGGTGTCCAGTGATGGCGTCCCGGGTGCCTTAATGGCCTCCGGAAACGACAAAGATGGCGTTGTGACAGTCCGAGTAGCAGCAGACGATACCCTTCCGGCAATGCGACCAGGAATCGCCAACCCCAACCCCGAGGAACTGGGTCCTCGAGGCCAGAGCCTGGATCAGGCTCGGGGTCGGGATCAGGAACCAACTGCGGGCGACGTTCCTCCAGCATCTCCCCAGAAAGCCCATTCGTTGCAAGAGAAGGTTGTAGCTCACCCTCCGCCCGTCGTGCCGCTTCCATTCAAGGTCCCTACCCGGAACGAAGACATGGGGACTGAGGCAGAGGAAGATCGATCGTCAGTCGCAACTTTCGCTTCCAGAGAGTACGACGACCCGCTCGTCGCCGACAAGCGTCAGTCGATAGCCGAGGGAATTTCCGAGCATGCTAGAGACGTCCCCGGCCGAGTCTCACAAAGGATATCTCATTCCATGAATCGCGAACCGGGCACTAGCCAGGATCAGCTGGCCATTCTACTGACACGATCGTCTCGGGATGTCGATGATAGGTCTGTCGCCGCAACTATGGACGTTGAGAGTCTTTGGGGGGTCGAGGACTCGCCATCGAGCCTAAGCCGGCGCATTACCTCCGACCTTGGCGTCGATCTTGTTCCTCAACAGGCTGCCGACCAAGAAGCGGACAGCGGCGTGGCGCCACAGTCGGCCGCAGTCCCACAAGCTGAAATACAATTACAGCAGGCGCCTATGCCGTCGGACGAGGACGCCAAAGACTTGTCAACAGCCAAAAGTGCTGCGGCGAAGGCCCATCTCAACATGCCAAACACCAGCGAGACAGTACTGCCCGAGGGAACACGAGCCGACGACGAATCACCCAAGCGTGCAGACGCAGGGACCGCAGCCAACGTGTCTTTAAAAAGGCCAATGCCTCCGGAACCGTCTATTCCAGGACCCCGGAACCCAAAGTCCGTGACATCAGTTGAATCCACGCCGGTTAGTTTGACGAGAGACCGGCTGCCGCATGCGCTCTCTCGGGTGGCCATGTCATACCGCACGAACGAGTGGGCCAAGCATCTCAGCCACGCAGACCTTCCAGAACCGGAACGAATCCAGCTCGGGCATCTCGAGCAGCCGCACCCTGTCGAAGGCACAGCAGACAGAAAGGGAGCAGAGGGTGTTAAGGAAGAAACGCCGGCTCCGTTGGATGTGGACGATTTGCAGCAGACAGCGAAAACATGCGCCTCGGTGGCTCAGCTGCCAACGCAAAATGACCCCAAGGCACGACCCTCTTCCACCGTCGGTGCAAAGCCATCTCTTCGAGGCCAGGGCCCAATCACTTTGGCCCGAAATGCTTCGTCTGGGGCCACCACAAGAGTGGAGAGGCCCGGGACATGGAAGAGCATCTGTAGTACCACCTGGCCGTTAAGCGGCGAGCAGGCGGGTCAGGCCATCGGGAACTCGGGCGAGTCGGGCCCGCCATACCTGGCCGAAGCAGCAGCGGGACCGGAAAACTCGGCCAAGCGTTTCAGCGATCATACCTTGATTGGACAGAGGGAGATGCTCCTTCGGAGCAGATCAAACCTTTACCCCCCGGGTTCGGCGACCATGCCGAATTTATACCCCCCCGCAGCACGGGCGCCCAGCGAAGCCGGGTCCGTCTATAACCAGCCGATGCACTCCATGTCCGGGCCGCTCCCGGCCGTCATGGCTGACGACGACATGCCTTTGAGCCAGCGCAAGGAGATGATTCGGCGACACAGCCTGCTGAGGAACTCAAACTCGTTCGCTTCTCGGCCGACCAGCGGTGTGATGTATTTCAATCTTGAGGGCGAAGCCGTCATGTCCACCGACCACCTCCCCCTGGGCCGACCTCATCCTTGCGTCCCGTCGCTGCCGACGAGGGATTTCCACCAGCCCTCGGTGTTCCGCCCGCCGGACCCGCGTTCGGGAACCCCGGTCCCGTTCCTCGGGGGCTTCGAGCAGAGGCCGGCCAGGGTCAGCAGTCGCGAGCACGAGGTGCAGCGCTCGATGGATGCGCAGCGAAGGGCGCTCATGGGCCTCAAGGACGCGGAAGCCCAGAGGCGGGAGAGGGAGAGCTTGGTACGGGAGATAGACAACCGGGCTTTTACGGCGCGGATGCAGAGCGGTGACCTGCTCGAAGCGCATCGCGACACGCTGCGGAGGATGCAGAAGCAAGCGAACCCAAACCAGACATAGGCGTCTCGTCTTTCGTGCTCTCGTTTCTCCTTGTTGGTCTTTTCGTTTTTCGTCTATCTCTATGCTTTTAATCCTCTCGTTCGCTCTTTTTTTATTTTCTTTTTCTCGAACCACATTCTGTCATGGTCATTTATGTGCACCAGTTATTAGGGAGAATAGTTTCATTTCCAGAACATTTTATACCACGGGAAACGGGGCTTGGAAGCATGCGCGATCTGGGTGATAATAATAATAAAAAGACAAAAAAAAAGAGATATAAAGAAAAAGAAGAGGGACCTATAAATAGGAACGGATGAGAGACTGTTGTGATGGAAGTTGTGGAAAAGAAGCATCTTAGCCCTAAACTAACTAATATCAAGCGATGAAGCCATCGACGAGGTTAAAAGGCAGAAAACGTCTATTAAAGGTTCCGCATTTTCGCCAAACGTTGATTATGCGCCGATCGCCCCGGCATGCCTTGACGGACCGAGACATTATCAGATAAAGCGTAGTCAAAATCGTTATAAAAATAGGTCGAAATTGATTGAGGTAATTGTGTATAATTATGACTGTCTTAGACCGTTAGGGAAACGCTGCCACCGTATTTTATATGGTGCAGATTCTGTAAGCGTCTACCCGGATTATACTCTTAGCAATCCGGCCTATTACGTAACTGAAAAGACTATAGTCTATTCGATATACCCCCTAATCGTCCTAAACGTTAGTTAGGCGATTAAAGCTATTCGTAATCGGCAGATAATTCAGCTATCTAATCTGTTCGCTATAGCCGCCCTTAAATTCATCCTCCAGGTCCTTTAAATATTCTATCCGGACTTCCTCTAGCTGTTTCTGCTATAACTGTTCCCGTATATCTATCACGCCTACCTAGGACCTAAATATCTTAAATTTCTCGCCGTATAACGCCTTCGTTGATCCGTCTACTACTATTTCCGCGCTTGTAACGTACGTTATAAGTATTTGCCCTTATTCCTTTACTTAACGTAACTAGTGGCCGTGGATATCGATATAGCGGAGGCGTGTTATTAACGTGCTAATCTCTTAATTAACTAATCGAATCGTTTAGTTATTATCGTATAAGATCCTTAATTCCGGATCGTTAAATTCCACTCCTATACTAAGTAATAGGCGTTATATAAAGATACCCTCTTTTACACCTTATACTAACGCTAATAGCTCTGCCTCCGTTATAAACGTCATAACCGTATCCTACTTATTAGCGTGCTACGCTATTATACCGCTAAATAAGCGTATCACGTATGCTTGACTGCTCTTTCGATCGAGAGTATTATCGGTAAATAAGGCATTAGTGTAGATTTCGATAGTATCACTACCCCCTAATTCTAACGTAAACGATTAGCTATTAATTGGATAGAGGATTAGATAATCGGCGGCCTTATAGTGAATAGGCCCTGGATTAATATTAAACCGGTATAGCCTGGATACTATAAACGCAATATTAGGCCGCGATATCACTACTACGTATAGTATAGATCCTATCTTCCGTTAATAGCTTTTAGTATTAGTCGAGGTTCCTAAATAAGGTAGTAGCTCTATAACCTTAATTAGGTGTGTTAGGCGATAGTTACTACTATACTTACTATTCGGCTTTAATAGGCGTTCTAACTTAGTAATATAATCGCGTTATAATAGCTATATTTTATGGGCGACGCGGTCGCAAATAACCTTAATACTCAGGAACCACTATAGAGGATCGCCACCTTATAGGTTATAGTGGCGTTATAGGTTATTAACGGCCTGCTCTATCTACGCCTTATATTATTCCTTATAAGTAATAACGATATCGTTAACGTAGAAGAATAGGATTAAACCGCGACGCAGAAAATAACACGGTTCTTATAGCACTATCTAGAATCCGTCCGCTAAAAGGATAGCCGAAAAATACTTTTACTGAAGTAGTGGAGACTCCTTAAGTCTATATAACGCCTTTTTTAGGTGTAAACGACCCCTAAGGGCTAGAAGGCCTGGTGGCGGGTATATAAAGATATCGTGGGGGAGGGGCGCGTGTATAAACGCGTTTATAACGTTAAATTATAATAGCGTAAGGTTAAATCGGGTAATAATAGCTATTAACGCGCGGAATAACTATCCGGCTAGTATTACTGCGTATATCTCCTCGAGCGAGAATTAATACTACTAATCTCCTTATACTATAAACCTTATAGCTCCGTAGGTAGTCTTCTTATACCTATCGGAATAGGTGGCCAAAAGGGTGCGAGGGTATATCGCGAGGGTTCTTCGGAGGAGGAGGGAGGTCTTTACGGTGGATCTTTACGGCTATTAGGGTAACCACCGGAGTACCCGCCGGAGTAACCGCCGGGGTTATATTTCCCGATATAGCCTCCCTAGTCGTGCTTCCGGTAGCTACCGCCGGGGCTATAAATTTATAGAGTATCGTTAAGCGTCGCTGTAGCGCTATAGGCGTAGACCTTTTTAACCGTAATTTAGTTAGCGAAATCCTATTTAATATATATATATTAGGTATATAACGGCTAGCGTTAAATACTATAACCTAATAGTCTCTTTTCTAGCTATCTCCTTACCGAATTAGTTACGCTCCTTTATTTAATAGGAGCCCTATAGCCGTAGCTATAGGGGTATCGTAGCACTATATTCCGTTATCCTAGAACCCTACGATCGTAGGGGTAATTATGGTTTCCTAATATAACGGCTACTATTAGCGCTATAACCGACGGCGGGGTTATTAATAGAGTAGGAAGTAATAGATCGGGCGGATATAGATAGTGATTAGGCATTATACCGGCTAAATTACACTATTTATAACCTAAATCTTATCCTGATTAACTCGAGATAGCCTCCTTTACCCCCTTATGGCCGGGCATTACGGACTATAACCTTAACGGTAAAGCCGTCGAGGAAGGGGATCCGGGGGCGTTTACCCCCGGATCTAATAATTCAAAATAAGCCGTTATATAAAGGGGAGGTCTTTAGCTTATACGTCCGTAAATGGCTATGAATCTCTAGCCTTCTCCTGCTCGATCTGACTAATTAGGTCTTCTAATTACTCCTTAGTTAATTAACGGAGGTCGTCCTTAAAGGTGGCGATATCGCCGTTAAAGAAGGCGCGTTCATTAAAATCTATATCGCGCGTTCGAATAACGCGGTTATAGCGGCGTAGGCTAGGTACCTAGATACGGAAAATATTAGTAGAATCATAGCCGATAAGGTAGCCGATATAGGCGCGAGGAGCGATATGATTTGATAGCTTATTAGTAGCCTTTTAGGCGTCCTTTATTATCGCGTACGCTTTATAGCCGTAAGCTCGAAGGTATGATAAAATCGGCTTCTTTTTAAAGAGGGCCTTATAGGGCGTTTTCTAATCCTTTTACTACCTTCGTGACGTCCGGTTATAGACGTATACTGCCGTGGGAATAGCCTTAGGCTATATAAACGGCGGTAGTTTTACGTGGATATTTATCGTATAATCCTTCGAAATAACCACGGTAATAGCGCGTTCGGCACCCCCGTTCTATGCTTAAGTGTCGGTAGCAGATACCTCTACAAGGATGCCCTCGTTATATAGGAATTAGGTGATATCGTGGGATTAAGTTAGTTCGTTATTAGATTCGAAAACGCGCACCTTATAGCCTAATTAACGGTCCACTTAGGCGAGGAATTCCTTGATTATTACGAGGATATCCACTATTAGCTTACTCTTTATAATGTAGGTGGCCGTAAAACCACTATAACGGTCGGTGAAAAATATAAACCTTAAGTCCCTGTCGGACGTTCGTTTAGAATCCGTGAAATTAATCGCCTATCGCTCCCCTACGTAGGTAGGTATAGTGCGAGGGCGCCTGCTAACGTACCGTTTTATCTTTATAAGCTCGTAGGCCTTATAGTCAATAGTTATTAGTCCCTTGATCTTAACCCCCTGCGTCTGCTCTTCTAGGTGCCTAAGTGGTTTAGGGCCTATGTGCCCTAGGCGTAGATGCTATAAGATACCCTCCATAGTACTTAGATACTATATCGTTAATTTATAGACGCCTTTTCGGGTAGTAGAAGAAGAAGAAGAAGAGCCTAGAAAAGCAGCCGTAGATTAGTTAGAGGGTATATATTTAATAACGGTTTGATCGAAGCAGTGATTTAGCTAGTATAGTATAGATCTATCAGAACGCCGAATATAGTTATTTAGTGGCTTCTAATCCTACTAGTATCCTCGAAGACGTAGGCGTTGGTTAGAGATTAAATTACAGGCAAAATCCTCGTAGTATACGATGTTTAATAGCCTGAAATCAAGGCCTCCTATTAGTCCGTTTAATCTTACGGTCACGTTACCGTAACCTTTAATAGGCAGGGACGAACTACCGGCTACTACGTAGTCCCCCTATATAGCGGGTGTAAAATTAGAAAAACGGGAAAAATCGTTAAATATATAAATAGTGGCGCCGGAATCGAGGATAGCAGAGGTTCGAAGAGGGTAACTAGTAGTAGCGGTTCCTGCTATAAAGCTAGCGGCGTAGGAGACGCCGCTACGAACGCTACTATAGTTAAGTCACGCCTTTTTAAGCTATATAGAGTCCCGGCTTATATCCTTCTTTACCTTCTTTACGGTGCGTAGTTCTTTTACTTCCGCGTGTAGCGAGGTGTCGTATTTAAGGATCCGTTAGACGGTTATTTTAGTGCTCTCGAAGGGTGTCTAATCGTTATATACCGTATCCGGGAATAGATAGAAGTAAGTGTTAATATCGTGACTAGGTATAGCGTATACACGGTAGATCTAACCTCTCTATAGAGTAGATTAGCGGTATTTAGAAGAGGAACGGTTAGCTAAAGTAGGTAAAGCAGCTAAAGCAGCTAAAGGTATAGCTATAGATGCCGCGGCAGTGGGATTCTTAGCTTTATTCTTCCCACGGCCGCCCTTCTTACGGGGCTTGGCCGTGGCCTCTAAGGTATCTTTACCCTTTTCGCTTCCGGTGTGTAGTGTAGGGAATACTATAGCGCGGTGGCTACCGCGTTTTCCTTAGTCTTTAAGTCTGGTGTTAATATACTTCTGACCGAGGGTGTAAAGGTCTTCAGGTATAATTACCTGGTTATCTATTAGGCGACCCTCGGCCTTAGTCTAATCGCGGCCGGTATAGGGGCGTATACCTTTAAAGAAGTCTATAACCTATATATACATGGCGGGCTTTAAACCAGTATCTTTATAGCTTTATAGTAGTAGCTGCTACTTATCTAACTACTCCCCGAGCTTTTTAAGGCTATTCGCAGGGTAACGGGTATACTTAATATACTCTTCGTGGGTATCGGTTTAGCGGGTGGCTAGGTACTAATCCGTATCGCGTTTAACGGCTATATATACCTCGCGAGGTATACCTCCTCGTAGTAGTTATCTACGGCTTTAGTCGATAGTATTAACCTGCTAGGTTAGTATAGCGTTAATCCCTTTTAGGTAGCTATCGTATTACGTTTATAGGATCTTCCAGCGCGCGATTTCGACATCGTATACTTTCTGGCCAACGTCCGTAACGTCGAGATATTACGTAGGCGTACGCCTAGGTATTATAGAGGGGAAAGAACCGTAATCCGGTATTATAGACTCCTCGGGGGACTAAGTCGGATCGACTAGGCGGAGAAACCTCTATACGTTGTTATAAGTGGTAACCGATTCGTATAGGCATCGCTAAAGCTCCTAATCCTTATAGGTTTTATACGTAATAGGGCTAAGATACGATATCTTAATGGTTATTTGTAGATTAACACGCTATATCGGCGTAGCTAGATAGCTTCTTAATTTAGTAGTAGTGGTAAAAGAGTAGGTAAAATAGGTATATCTTTACTTAGTAAGTGAGACTCTTAATTATTAGATAAAGCGTAGTTAAAATCGTTATAAAAATAGGTCGAAATTAATTGAGGTAATTGTGTACGATTATGACTGTCTTAGACCGTCAGGGAAACGCTGCCACCGTATTTTATATGGTGCAGATTCTGTAAGCGTCCACCCGGATTATACTCTTGGCAATCCGGCCTATTACGTAACCGAAAAGACTGTGGTCTGTTCGACAGACATCGGGTACCGACCACCATATCACCAACCACACGACGTCCCCGTTCCGTACCGAGAGACGGGTTTACTACGGCGTCCGACCTAACGGTTGACCCCCCCCCCTGGTCAATAGGAGTGAGCAAGAGAATCGATAGGAAGGAAGCAAAGATGAATGCGGCAGAATCACTCTATCGGCCCAAGCAAGCGATCAGTTTTTTATGGAATCATGATCTTTTTTGGGTTTCTCTCTCCTCTTCGACAGAGAAGAATCCCCAGATCTAGTTCTTTTATCGTCTCCTCTTCAATGAAATGTCTCATTGTCTTTCCCCGTTCAAGTGTGTCTTACACTCGCCTTGTCCTTTCAACAACACGAGACAGGGGGGGGGCTCTGCTCTTTTATCATGATCATCCAAGCTTGATAGAAACAACATCTCCCTGGTCTGTTCCAGGGTCGCCTTTTCCTCCCTCCTATGTAATGGTATGATGATGCATACGTCCGTTCCAGTTCCTTACTTTCCTCCTCTTATGCATGGAGGAGCGTCCTCCTGGGTGGGGTGGGATATGTTAGTGGGGTATTGTGGTGATGGAGGGATGGGATCAGAAAACAAGAAGAGGATGGAGGGTTTGGGGGGGATGGGTGAGAGGAAAAGAAGGCTCTTGATTCTCTCCTCCTCTGTCGCACAACACGCCTGGGACATGCTCAGTCCTTCTTGATAAGGCTGTCGAAGAGAGGCTTGAGGCTCTGGGCGCTCTTCTTGGGGAAGCGCTTCTGGTCCTTCTCATAGTCGACGTAGGTGACACCAAAGCGGGTGACGTAGCCCTCAGCCCACTCGAAGTTGTCGAGGAGCGACCAGGCCATGTAGCCCTTTACGTTGCAGCCGTCCTCGGAGACGGCCTTGGCCAAGGCCTTGACGTAGGTGTCGAAGTACTCAACACGCAGGGTGTCTTCGAGAATCTCCTCGACGGGCTTGTCGTTTTCCTTCAAGATGGAGGTGCCGTTCTCGGTAACGTAGATGGGGGGGTAGTTGTAGCGCTTGGAGAGCCAGTTGATGAGGTTGCGGAAACCCTGGGGGTTGGGACGCAGCCAGGGCGACTCGGTCTCGGGGCCGATGCACTCGCCGCTCTTGGACCAGAAGAGGGTCTCGAGGTTACCGAGGTAGTCCTCGGGAGGCGGGGTGCCGGTCTTGTGGCGGACGTAGTTGGCGGTGTAGTGGTTCATGCCGTAGAAGTCGTTGGAGCCCTGGACCAGGGCGCGCTCCTCCTCGGTGAACTCGGGCAGGCGGTCGCCGAGCTGCTTGCGCATGGAGTCGGGGTACTTGCCGAAGTAGACGGGGTCCGCAAACCAGGAGATGGCAAACTCGATCTTGCGGTTCGCGGCCTCAACGTCGGCGGGGTCCTCGGGGTCCCAGGGGTAGGTGGCGTCGCCGTTGAGGGTGATGCCGATCTGGCCACCCTGGGTAGGCTTGAACTCCTCGCGGTAGACCTTGACGGCGCGGCCGTGGGCGACGAGGAGGTTATGGCCGACAATCCACGGCTCGCGGGAGCTGTCGCCGACGGGCGACTTGTCGCGGTTCGAGGTGCGGCCGGGGGCGAAGGCACCGACGCTGTAGCCGAGAATGGACGAGCACCAGGGCTCGTTGAAGGTGATCCAGTTCTTGCACTTGGGGATGGCCTTGTAGACCACACGGGCGTAGTTCTCAAAGTCCAGAGGGAACTCCTCGCGGTTGAGAAGACCGCCGTATCGCTTGTCAAGGGCATCGGGAACGTCCCAGTGAAGCAGGGTAATGAAAGGGGTGATGCCAGCCTCGAGCAGGTCATCGACGAACTTGACGTAGTGGTCGATACCGGCCTGGTTGATGGGGTCGTTGCGGCCGCCTAGGGGGATGATACGGGACCACGCCAGAGAGAAGCGGTAGCAGTTGGCGCCGAGAGATTTGATGAGGGAGATGTCCTCGGCAGTACGGTTGTAGGAGTCGCAGGCTACGGCACCGGAAGAGCCATCCGCAATCTTGCCCGGAATCTTGCAGAACTCATCCCAGATGGTCGGTCCACGGCCATCCTTCTCGGGGGAGCCCTCGACCTGGTAGCTGCAGAAACTGTTAGCATTCGTTTCCAAGACCGGCAACCGACTGGGCGAGGGCCGCCCGCCAGGATCATTTGTTTCCCCTTCTCCCTTGGCCAACCAACGACGTGTCTCCGGAAGCAAATGAGCCGAGCGCGGGGGGATGGTTGGTAATTCCCATGAGCACGAGTTTGGAATAGGTGGGGCCAGAAGTTTACAGGATGCAGTGGGTGGATCAAGGCATGGAGGGGACAGGATGATGTTCATCCGCAGGACGAGATGTCCCGATGGGGATAAAGGTGAGGAGAAAGGGAGGGGAAGGCTGGCCAGGGGAAGGGCGGGGGAGGAAAAAAAATAAAGGGGGAATAGATGATTTCGAGAACAGGAGCTGGAGGGAGAAAAGCAACAAGAAGTGAAGGAGACGGCATAACATACGCAGCAGTGGCGAAGCCCCAGAGGAAGTCCTTGGGAAGAGACATGATTGCTGTTTATATGTCTGGTCTTTTGGTCGTTGGTGAGGGTACAAGCGTTCTAACGGACGCTTCTCGACTTGACGATCTGCTCTACTGATGGAGCTGACCGGTATTGAAGAGGAACAGAGGGGATGGATGGAGAGATCCAAAAACAAACAATAAACCAAAGGGCCGTGGATTGGAAGAACCTTTATAGATGCGAGACGGTAGGGGGAGGGAGGGCTATAGAAACATTTATAATGGGGAAGAGGAGAGAGGAGGAGACCAAGACAGGGATGAGAAGGCGAGGAGGGGTGTGTTGATGGCTGATCGGTCTTAAGTACGGGATACCAGGATGTTCGATCAATGCCGACCTAATGGACCTTGGACCTTGGGCCTTGGATCATGGACCCAGTCGCAGTGCTCCCATAGCTTTGGTAGTAGATTAAAATAAAGCGTCGTGGCTGTAGGCAGAATAGGGCGAGTAGGTAGTAGGTATGATGGCGCCGGGCCTGGCGCCGGGCCTGGCGGCAACGGAGGCCATGAGTCGAGGACGTCTCGGGTATTGGTACGATCGAAAGGGGGGACAGTCCCCTCTCGGTAGCTTTGCTGCACAATATAAGGCACGTTGTATTCCCAACCTACGTAATAACGTGATCTGACAGAAGAGGGCATTAGCATAGCGGAGAACTTTACGGACAAATTAGACATGTCAGTTGTGTCGGAAGCGCCGCTAGGACAGGACTTGACCGGTTGCGAGAGGTAACGAAAGGAATAAGGTGGTCCCCTGTAGCGGGCTTATAGCGACTTGTAGTGAGGAGACTAGTCGCCGCTACGTCGTACGCCCCGGTTCGCCCCATTTCTCGGACCGTCGTCACCGAGGATCTTAGGGAAAGGTTGCCGTGACCGGGGAGGGCGGGCAGGCGGATACAAGGACACGAGCTGCCGGGGGGGAGGGGTGTTGGTCGTAAAACGTGTGATAGGTACGTAGAGGTGCACACAATCCATGTGGTCAAAGTTGCATATATTTTGTGTGTATAGGACGAGAAATAGAGAGGGAGAAAGAGTCGGAGAGAGAGAGAGAGAGGCAGAGAGAGGGTGAGGGGAGAAACGGTCATCTGAATGTGCCGCTGCCTGCAGGCAGGCACGCGTGCGGGTGGCTTGTGTATGTTCGCGACAAGTGAGTATCACGGCCACGGCACGGGGAGGTTCCATACGGGATGACGGTGACGGTGATAGTGATGGTGATAGTGATGGTGATGGTGATGGTGATGGAGAGGAGACGAGCGAAGCGCGGGGGTGGGTGCGGGAGAAACGCGAATTGCGAGAACCTTGGAACAACAGTGGGCGCATATTGTACGTTGTACGTTGTACGAATGAAGCATGTACGGAGCGTGCAAGTACGAAGTACGGAGTACGGAGTACGGACACTTGTTTGACCGGTAACTGCCTCTACCTTAGGGCCCCAAGGCGGTGCGTGCATTCATGCAAGTCCAAGAGAGGGGTCCCCGCGATGGCTTGTCACCACATCTCAAGGCAGGCACTGACCACTGACCATCCCTGAGAAGGTACGCCTTCGTGGCGCCTACCTTAATTGTCAAGGTGCAGTACTGAGTATCATGCTGAGTACCTACCTATATGTAGTATCAATGACAACGTATTCGTACTTCGGACATCCCCAAGGCTCACATGGTGGCTTACTCCACACCCCAGCTTCTGGGCACAATGCGGTGCACAGATGACCTGCTGACCGACCAGGGTCTGGTATTCTCCTTCCTGGGGGACCTTGCGGCTGGGACCTCTTCCCCTGGCTGGCCTGTCTGTAATGTACACTACCTAAGGCAAGTACGTTTGTATGATGTGCACGTCCATATATGTACATGTGTAATGGCCAAACTCCGTACGTACTTTGACGCATTTTCCTGCTCGACGCATATGTACTGACAGCGCCACCTCTACCGGGACTTTCTTGTATCACGACACGGCGAGAATGCCGAACCCGTACCTACAGTACTCCGTGGAATTTGTCCCCGTCCGTCAATGGGAGTTGCTCAATTCCTCCGCGTTGTTGTGCGTCGCGTCGGGAAAAGATCGGAACGAGGAGCAGCCGCAGCTAAGGGGCGGGGCGGGAATGCTGGGGTTTGCCTGCCTGGGCTGTCATGTCATGGTTCCTGATCAAGGAAGGCACCCTGTACATGGCGCTTGGAATAACCGATGGTATGAGAAGGATCAACTGCCATTTGCTGGTCCCGCCGACTGTTGGGGAATGATTTGTGTGAAGTGCTCTTTCCCTTATTGTTTACCTACCTTATTATGGACATGCTACTTTGTCTACCTTACGGAATATTACCTCTGGGTGTCGACATGTTATCCCTCCTACTTCGTACCGTACAAGGACCGAAAGGACTGTACTGTCCTGTGTTTGGTATAAAGAGCCCGAACCCCGCCAGGCACGCTCAACCACCCCCTACCGCGGGGTCCGAGAAACAAAACAGGGCAGGCATCCGTACGGTAGGGGACAGATTATTAGGACGTGATCAAACGATTCGCTGCCCCTCGCTGCCCCTCTCCCTACCCTTACCCCACCTTGCCTTTTTCCCATGAAACCTGGGATCTCATGAGGGGGTCGTGACCAACCCCATTTTTCTCCTTTTTTTTTTTTATACTCCGAGTCTCCGCCCGGCCGAAACAGGATAAACGGGCCGCCTTTCCGAGAACTGCGAAACCATCTTGCAATCGAAATATTCCTATCTTGAGAAAGCCCATTGCGTACCTACCTTATTCATGCATACCCCTAATTACTTTCGTACCTTACTTCGTACATCGTAGGGACTCTGTCCTACGAATGGATAATAATTGCCTTCTGAAGATGGAGTTTCCCATCTTATCTTTTGCCCGTCTTTCAAAGTTCCCTCCCTCACTGTCAAGCAGGGAACCCCCACATCTGCGGATACGAATACGTCTGTCTACACTTACACCGAAACATCGCGTCAGCTTGACAACCTTGGTCTACGTGAGTCCGTTGTACCTGCGTCCCGACCGGCTTGGTCACACGGCAATCTCATCATCCTCGATGGACCAACTCAACGGCCTGAACCGAGTATTTATCCAGAGACTTATGGAGCACCGCATCAAAGATAACACTTGATTAATGGCTGCCTTCCCTCGTTTCTAGAAATTCTGATACCACCCACCGTTCCCCCCAGTGCATCGCCAAAACTTCGGTCCAGCCCGTCCGGGCGTCTCCCCACGTCCACTCTCGTGATGATTATTTAGTACTCGCTTGTCCCGAATGTCCGGGCACACTTTTCGACCCTTCATGTCGCTTTGAGGATTTCGGAATCAGTATGATTACCTTCCGACAAGCGAGCCCAAGACACGGCCTACAAAGTAGGGGAGTAGGGACGGCTGTTGGTCTTCTCCCGGTCGTGAGAGTCTTGGATAGCCGAGGTTGAAGCCACCATCATCACATCACTCATGCACGTCGTCCTCTCCCTGCCAACACGGAAATGCCCATGCAAGATGAGATGCGAAATGAGATGCGAAATGCACGATGCACGATGCACGATGCCAGACGCGGTCGACAAATGCCAAAATACGAAATGCGAGACGCGAGTAATGGAAGATGGATGCTAAACTTACAGACATTGGTCCCGGCCGGCTTATTCTCCTTGCTCTTCCGCCGACTCACCCCGTGGTGACCCTGCTGCGATCTGGTCCTGGCAGATCTTCGGACAATCTTGCCCTCGACGACGGGATCCCCGACCGCAAATATCCGGTATTAATAATGTTCATGTCAATATAACATAACATGTTTGTTTATTACTTACACTCCCTCCCAACAACAAACACACAAACAAACAAACACACAATTAGTGTTGCTAATAAACCCGAGCTTGTTTCACCACGCGTGGCTGCTGAGCTGATGCGAGCATGGAAGGATTAGGAAAGTTAGGGTGGTATCCAAATCATTGCTACGGAGTTCGGACACTGCCCTTTCGATACCATCACAGCACGGACGGAATGCATTTTCAACCCTACTTCCACATCATCCTATCTCCTGGGCGACGCTACGAACGCGATAGCTATCTTCGTCTGCGTACGTCACTGTCGAGTTGACCACATCCCAGCCTCCCAATCTATCTACCTTGTGTCACCTCGGCCGTCGTTTCATATCGATAGACGACAACAAATGCTTCCCGTGCACCCTTCCCCACCTTGACGTATCAATATCTGCCGGGTAAAAACAGAAGAGAAATGAATCTATTTATACGTAGGTGGGCTCAGCGTTGCGGCTTAATTAATCTGTACACTTCGTAGGCCGCTTCGGCCCACTGCGACGTTGTCCTCCATCGCCACGCTGTACAGCGCCCTGCTGGGTATGAAATAATGACACGAAAGAAGGACAGCCACGGGAACGGGCGGCTAAAGAGAAGGCAAGGCGGATGGCAAAGAGGATTTACAGAATACGCGGCATAGGCCTTCCTCCTCCTCAGCTCATTCCTCTCCTCTCCTTCTTCTCGGCCTCCCTTCTCAGTGCGCCGCCTCGGCAGTCGCATCCGAATCCCCATCCCCACGTCGCTTACGCTTGCCGGAGGTGCCGCCCATTTCCACGTCTTCCGCCCCGGCCTCCGGGGCTTCTTCGACTGACCTGCCGGCCTCATCTTCACCTTCGGTCCACTCGATGACTTCCCACTCCACCCTCACACCACCACCCCCCTCGCTCTGCTCGACCTCCTGGGACCGACGGATGTTCCCCAGCCGAGACCCCTCCACCAGGCTGTCGAACCACGGCACGCCCCGCGTCGTCCGCTCCACCGCCGACACGGTCGTCTGCGCTGGCTTGACCGGCCCCCCCCTTCCCTCCGAGACGAGGGAGGGGCCGACGTCTTCGGATCCGGGGATCAGGCCCATGTCCTCGAGGTCCCGGAGATCCTCGCCGCACAGGCTGGCCAGCGTGAGTTGGATAAAGTCGGCCTCGGATGGGGGCCGCTCGGTCCAGTAGGACAGCGGCGTGCCGCAGAACCCGCAGAAGTAGCGCTTGGTTTGCCGCTGCAGGGGGTTCTGGCCCTCGAAGACGCGGCGTATCATGGAGTGCGTCTCGTCCGGGAAGAAGGACTGCGTCGTGCTGTGGTACCATGAAAGCGGGACGCGGAGGAACGCGGCGAGCGGTGTTGCCAAGGGTCTTTCTGGACAGATGAGGGGTTTTGTCGGTTAGTATTCTGGGAGTCCCATATCTGAACGGTCGGTTCGTATGAAATGTGCAACTATGTCTATACGCGTCGATGCATGACCGACGAGGGGCCATGTTGGGCATACCTCGAGTGGCAACAGAGGACGAGAAATCAAGAAGACAAGGTGGGATAGAAAGGAGAGAAAAACAAAAAAATGAGTAAAAAAAAAAAGAGATGGCTTCTTGGACATACGGTGTAGTAAGTCGGCGTTGAACAAGACCTGAACTGCATCCTTCGCGTGCTCGGGAATTTCGATGATGTAACGGTTGCGGCCGCACTGGCAACCCCCGCGAAGGCGACTTCGAAGACTCATGGGCGCAAAACTAATAATAATGCGATGCCGCCGTTTAGGAAAAGGTGTTTAGTGATCTTCAATGGCGGAGTTGGGGGGAACTTGCTGCCTGCCGAGATGCTTGCCCGTGATGTGTGTATATAACAGCCGGGCGGTTTTTCGTATGTCGAGGAAGGAATTGAACCTGGAAGTCACTCACAAGGGTTTTAAGTTCATCCAGTCAGACAAGAGCATCCGAACCCAGACATTTCCCCAACCATGATGTGATGAATGCGTTCATCAACTTTGCACAAACACCACGCCCGTCGAGCTAGTCGGAAGGTGGGGGCAGTCAGTCAGGCCACCAGTGTATCTACCCACTCTGCTTTCTCTGTGAGCCAGGCAGCTACGGGTGCCTACCTGGGTAAGGTACTTCTCTATATCTGATTTACTTGTTGCCTTTCTCTTGAATCGTACGAGGTAAGTTGGGGAGTACGACGACGACAGCTCTCCCTCCTAAGATACTGCTTGGTACGGGTTGAGTTGAGGCAGCATCTGTGTACGTTAACCAAGGGGGATGATTATAGGGAAAATTCGTAAAGACAACCCCGAGATTGAAACTTGAGACTTATTCTCGTCTATTCCCTGCAGTGTCAGGTGAAACTAAATGTTAAGACAGGAAAAATACATCAACCAGTTAAAAAAAAAGAAACAAAAGGACATCGTCTCCCCTTGCCATAACGCCAAAACCTGACCATGGAATATCTCGCGCATTTCCCCCTCTTCACGCCGTAGAGAGACAAGACCATTGTAGAACGAGAAGCCCCCTCCCTCTCCCTCCACAAAGACAAAGAGGGAAACAGTTCTGAAACTCAGTTTGCCTTTTTCTTCTTCTTCGGGCGCTCCTCCTCCTCTTCCTCGCCGTCCCCCTCGTCCATCGCATTGTCAACGCCACTCTCCGCATCGCTCGAGTCCGACGTCTCCACGTTCGAGTCAAACTCCTCCGCCACCTCGCTCTCGCTATCGGCGTGGAAGTCCTCGTCGACGCTCTCCTCGTCCTCGTCCGCCGAGCCGCGGTCCGCCTTGGTGCCCACCACCTCGTCCTCCGAGTCGTCCATGTCCTGGTCCCGGAGCGCCGCCGCCAGCAGGTTGGCGTCCTCGTCGATCTCGTTCTTGACCCGCAGGTTCTTGAGCTTGAAGAACGTCTCCAGCGCCTTCAGGTCCTCGCGGCTGATGTTGCTGAACTGCGTCGAGCCCGCCCCGTTCTTCATCTGCACCGTGATGTCGAACGTCGAGAGCGCCGAGACGGCGCCGCTGACGCGGGAGAACGTGACGGACGCCGTCTGCTCGTACGCGATGTATGTTGCCGGCTTGGGGATGAACATGAACGCCTTCTCCAGCAGGTATAAGAAGCCCTCGCTCGCCTTGATGGAGCACTTGATGCCCAATTGATTGCGGTGCCTGGGAGCAAAAGGATGTCAGCATTCGTTCTGGAACGCGAAGAAATAACAATAAAAAAAAACAATAAAAAAACCAATAGGGGTAACTTACGTTTGAAAGTCCCGAGCTGGGGTCGTCACCTTCTTGTTGGCGAGCCCTCGGAAAATGTAGGTAATCACTTGATGAAGAGGCTGTTCGTATCGTGACTGTAGCCTGTCGCCGTACTTCTCCTTGATCTGCTCTTCCGTGAGATTTACGTCCAGGGTCACCTCGTCGTCCTTCTTGAACTGCATGACGACAAAGGGGTATCTCGTCTGGCCCTGGCGTAGTGGCGGATCCAAGCCGATGCAGACCATGACGTGGGCATCGTCAGGCTTGGGGAGCACCATGAACTTTTTGATCGCTTCGTACTGGATTTTGTAATCGTACGTCTTACCGCGCAGTCGAAACGACGCGTCGTACATGTCGATATCGAATCGTCCTCTGGAATTCGAAATCGGGGTCAGTTCGTGTCACAGGGCCATAGGTCGCGGCAACCTGGCGGTAAAGCGCACGTCATGGAATAATGCGTAAAACGTACCTTGGCGTAAGATGCAAGATGTCGAGAAACTGGGCAATGGCGTCGCCAGCAGTCTCCCCAATCTCGGCCTTGTCCAGAAGTGTGTCGTAGAAGAGGGTGACGGCGTTCTTCTCCTCCTCTGCCACATCACTACCCGCATCGTCGCCGTCGACCTCCTTCTTGGTAACAGTACCGGGGATGTAGAAACGCATCTCGACAAGCTGGTCCTTGCCAGCTCCGGCCTTCTTCCCTTTACCGCGAGCGCCGCCCAGCTGGCCATTCGTACCGGTATCGTTCTTGTCGGAAGGCAGGGAGAATTCCACGGCGACTTCGTTCCGGCCCGCTAGATTGGTATTGGAGATCTCGGAGTAGGGGACTTCGAAGGCTGGACGGTTCTGGACGTTGAAAGAGAGCTCGGCCTTGCCAAATTCGGCCTTGCCCCAGTTCCAACCACGGAGGGCATGCTCCTTGTTCTCGAGGACGGTGCTGTACCAGTTTTTGAAGATTTTGCTCAGACGGTCGTGGTCCTGTGGAGAGTCGGATGTTAGAAACCACTCTGCCGCCGCCCTATCTCGAAGCGGGAAGAAATAAAGAAGGAGAAAGAAAGAAAAAAAAAATTGTATTGGGCCAGGTCTCTTGCCTCTTGCTGGAAACCGTCGAGTTGAATAATGCGAGACTCGCGGCTGAGAATCTTAATTTCGTAGCCTCTGGCGGCGCGACTCCATTGGGCAGAAGCTATTTGCTCATGATCGAGTGTGAAGGTGTCACCACCGCCAGCCGGCTTCCATCCCAACCCCGTCTCGGCGAACCTGCATTTGCCGCTTGATGTGGACAGGTCGAGGTAGATACCGTCGAAACTCTCGCTGATAGACGTAGAAAAGAAAAAAAGTATTAGAATAATCCTTACAATAGAGCAACCGGCGGTGGAACACTCACATTGCGGCCATGGCTGAAGCGGTTTAACGTCGCCAACGTGGTTTGACGTAGGAGAGGAAGCGGCAGTGGACTGTAAGAATCGAAAGAAGAAAAGTCGGTTGGTCTTTATTTGACTCGGGATATAGAGGGCCCGGGAGGAGGCGGGTCTGTTGACGGGAGTTGTGGATGCTATACGAGATGTCGAGGAGGATTACGATTAGTTTGGGTGCGCCGTTTGTGGTGGGATGAAGCCTCTTCATGTTCTGCCGCTTTTTTTCTTTCGTCGTCTGGCCAGTCAAGCAGCAGGATGATGGGTCGTCGCGTGAAATGCGGCGTACGCTCTAGGGTGTAATTACAGAGCAGCTCTGCAACGCGCGACTCCCATTACTTGGTAAAAGTGGTGTGGCGAACGCTGCCACTGGGTGGCTGAGCACAGGGCAAACGCTAACTCGCTTATATAATACATGGTAGGAGCACTAGCTGATGACTTGGACTGAGCATATATTGGGCCCTTGTCTCCCCCGCCTCCACATTTTTGCACCGGGAATAACTGTGAATAACTAGCCAGCAATCTCATGGAGCACTACAGAGTACGGACACAGTTACATGGTATTAGGTCGGTATTGTAATTCGTTTGTAGTTACAGACTCGGTCACAGCTTCTCAAGATACGTATTCTCGCTTTACGCGGAAATTCAAGCAGGTTTGGACCCGTCAGGTTTCTACGAAGAGCCTCCAATTCTGTTTACACGTTTTCGGATGCTCTTTTCTATAATGTCGTCTCTTGACCCTATGGATCCTCTACACTACCTACCTAGGTACCCCCAAGTCCCCAACTTTGGATATAATAGGTACTCCGTGGACACCACATGGTACCAAGTAAACACAGCAATTACCTAAGGTAGGTACATCCACCGTACACCGTATGATGCATTATTATGGGGTACCTTACCTTACCTTAAGGAAGCTTCCTAACTCAGGTATAAAGTCATCTCTTCCTCTCAAGCTTGTCAGCTTGTCTCTTCAACAACCTGCAATAGCCGAGGATCACCGCGGGTTTTGTATGGAGGAAGCCAAAACAAGAAATCACGGCCATGGACCAAACGGTTTATTAAGCTAGTCAAGCGCAGCGCATCTCGAGCATCGGTCCCTGAAACCGACTCGAAGCTAGCTCCCACCTTGGCCTAGGACTGAATATCGTCCTTTCTCCTTTCTTTCCATCTCTTTCGCTCCCCGCCCCCACCGCCCTGTCGTTCTCCTGGTGATCTCGGTCGGCAGGAAGCGGCTAACAGGGTCTGTGATTGGGGATCTCTACTAAGGCCGGTTCACTTCGCATCTGTTCTTCTCATCAGACACTCCTTTGCCTTCCCTCCCCCCTCTTTGAATTCCGTCGTGTGCGTCTGAAATCCTCGTGATCATTCTCCGTTCTTTCCAGGCTGCCCGTCTTCCACTCTCTCGCCTTTCCCTCCCCTGGTTCTTCCCTATTCACCCATCTCGCTGCCAGCATGTCAGGCCCTCCGTCCCGCATTCGGAACCTCCTTGGCCACTTCCTGTCCTCTTCGTCGCCTCCGGCCGAAAGCGAGTTCAAGCATGACCACAACATCCACCAGCTATCGCCGACCTTCTTCCTAGAACGTGCCGCCGCCATTGAGCCCGATGCCGAGGCAATCTACCACATCACAGCCAACGGCAAGACCCTGCGGCGGTCCTACCGTGACTTCGCCGACCGTGCCCGCGGCCTAGCCTACTACCTGCTCAAGCACCGCCTCGTCCGCGTCGGTATCCTGGCCACCAACACGCCCGCCTTCCTCGAGTCCATCTTCGGCATCGCCGCCGCCGGGGGCGTCAACGTCGCCGTCAATTACCGCCTGAAACCCGACGACATCACCTACATCTTCGACTTCGCCGAGGTCGACTCCATTGTGGTGGATGCCGAGTTCGTCCACCTGCTCGACGATTTCAAGAAGGCCCACCCAGACGTGCACCTCATCGTGGACACCGATACCGATGCCACCGAGGGACAGCTCAGCGGGCCCTTCGACGAGGCCATCCTGGAAGGTCTGCAGCATGATCGCGACCAGGGCGGCCGTGGTTGGGCCGGCCTTCATTCCCAGTGCGCCGACGAGAACGGCATCATCGCCATCCCTTTCACCTCTGGCACCACCTCCCGGCCCAAGGGTGTCGTCTACACGCACCGAGGAGCGTACCTGGCCGCTCTTGCTAACATAGTAGAATCCGGCCTCAATTACCATAGCGGCAGGTGCAAGTACCTCTGGACGCTTCCCATGTAGGCGCGCATATCTACTCCTTGACCTCCTGGTGTAGTCCAGTTCTGTAGTTGGTATTTTGACTGACGACGTCGCCTTTTCTTCTTTGTCCTGTGTAGGTTCCACGCCATGGGCTGGACTTTCCCCTGGTCCATCACTGCAGTTCGGGGGACCCACGTCTGTCTCAGGAAGATCGACTACCCCGTCATCTGGAAACTTCTCAAGGAGGAGGGCATCACCCACTTCAATGCCGCCCCGACGGTCAACACTCTCCTGTGCTCCTCTAAGGAGGCCGAGAGGCTAGACCATCCCGTGAGGGTAACCGTGGCAGCCAGCCCACCGACCGCCCACCTCTTTGAGGAGATGGTACGTCTATATTGCCTTGACCTTCACATACCTTACACACACACTCTTCTCCCCCTGGCTAACCCCAACTCACCTCCATAGACCAAGCTGAACCTCCATCCCGTCCACGTCTACGGCCTGACAGAAACCTACGGGCCCATCACCAAGAGCTACCACATGCCGTCATGGGACACCCTCCCGGCAGCCGAGCGGTACGCCAAGATGGCGCGCCAGGGCCACGGCTTCCTGACCAGCCTACCGATCCGCATCATCAAGACGGACCAGCCCGAGGGCGTCCTCGTCGACGTGGCCAGGGACGGCAAGGAAATCGGCGAGATCGTCTTCTTCGGCAACATCTGCGCCCAGGGCTACTACAAAGACCCCGAAGCCACCAGGAAGCTCTTCGCAGGCGGGGCGCTGCACTCGGGTGACCTGGCCGTGTGGCATCCCGACGGCAGCATCCAGATCCTCGACCGGGCGAAGGATATTATCATTTCGGGTTAGTCACATGTCGCCGCTCCTCTTTTCTTTTTCTTTCTTTCTTTTTTTCTTTCTTTTTTTCCTTCTAACCTCTCACACTTCCCCCCCAAAAAAATCAGGCGGCGAAAACATATCCTCCGTCGCCCTGGAGAGCATGCTAGTCAAGCACCCGGACCTGCTGGAAGCGGCCGTCGTCGCCGTGCCGGATTCCCACTGGGGCGAGAGGCCCAAGGCCTACGTGACGGTGAAGGAGGGTCGCACCTTGACCCCCGAGGAACTCATCTCCTGGGCCAAGCACCAGAGCACCATCAGCAAGTTCATGGTGCCCCGGGAGGTGGAGGTGTTGCCGGAATTGCCCAAGACGAGCACGGGTAAGCTGAAGAAGACCGTCCTGCGCGAGTGGGCGAGGCATGGCCGGAAGGCATAACTTTGCTTGCTGGCGGCATTCCGTCGAAGCGAGGGTTGTATTTTGAGGTTCACGGGACTCGAAGCCCTGTATGATGTTGGTTTGGGGGGGTTGGATTCGGTTTCTTGCCGACTAGTATTTCGGTGCCTGGGCGAGCGATCAAGAGCGCGGATCTAAATGCACAATATGTGTAAAAGGTAAGCATACATATATACATACCTTGTATAGAGAGAAGGAGGGGGGGGGGGGGAAGCGTGCATGTGAGAGAAATACACGGAGAGTGAGTTTGCATTGTGGTACATTGTCTTTGGTCATTCCAGTTCCCCGGATGTCAATCAAACGGATGAGACCTTGATACCTTATATCCCGTCCGTACCTAGTTTGCTCCCAACAAGACTTAGCCACTAAGGCACTAAGTAGCGCAGGCACGTCGACGAAACTTGGCACCTTCCAGAGTAAGGTACAGGACGATCTGTATTAGTTCGTATGTACATGTACGCGACCCAATCGTTCAAGGGGACTATTCGCCTTTCATTTTCCTTCCAGTTTCTTCTCTCATTTCTCCTCAAATCGGAAACCCATCATACGATAATACCATCCACGGAAGTAAGAAGCCTATAGATTGGTGCTACAACGCTATGGTCTCCCCATGACGAAATGACGAGCCCCTAATCCCGTCATTCCCCGTGTTGGATATTCACAGCTCTTATACACAGAGACTCTCCCAACCCGAGTATCGCCTTCATAGTCTGACATCCGTCCTGTAGCGTCACAATGAAGCATAACATGATCCAACCCCAGCCCACGCCCCCCAATATCCAATTTACTTTTTCCTCCCAAGTCTAGCGAGTGGCATAGTTCAAGAGAAAACAAAACCCCCCAAGCTGCGCCGAACCCCATACAAGCCCATGCTGCTTGCTCGGCGGGAACCAAGACTTATCAAATATATGCACAAGAAAAAGACAGAAACGCTCCAAAACGAGAGAATAGCGCGCTATAAGAAGAATCCAGAATAAAAAGAAACATAGGGAAAGCTGCACGTGTTGTGCACAGTTGAGTGGTACATCGCAGGTGGGTTGTGAAGCGTTTAGATTCTATTCCCGATATAAGCGGGAGGAAATAGCGCATAACCCCTGCCAGACACGCTCGGGTTGTTCGTGTGTCCCTTCTGACGTGAAGGCTGCTTGAAAGCCTCCTTGATTGTGGGGAGCTGGTCGTTATCGAGGACGCTGCCGTGCAAGCCGCCGTGCACACCCCTCACATCGCTGTACTCGTCCTCATCCCGCTCGTCGCCAGGGAACAACTGGGTCGTGGCGTATTCGGTCTCCGACTTTGGGCTGGTCGGCGCCTTGGCACGTTTTGGCGAGGGAAGGTCGGAGAACGATTCGAGTTGGACCGAGGGGACGGGCTCGGGAGCATCGAGCGCCTTGGGATTCCAGCTCTCAAAGATGGTGCTCGCCGTGTAGCGCGTGAAAGCGGTCGAGTCGGAGTGGGCCGAGACGTGACGCTCTTCGCTGGCGCTTGTCCGCCCAGTCGAGTTGGAACCTGTCGTAGAGGTGCTGTGGCGCTCGTTGATGTAAAGCCCCGACGTACTGAGCGTGATGGGTGGCTCGCCAACGTAAGGGAAGTCGTTTTCGATGCGTGCAATTGACTCGTCGGGCAACTTGTCTACCTTCAACTCCGGCATGACCATCTGCTCTTGGTAATCGCCCGGGATCAAGAGTGATGGCGATAAGGTAAACCCGTGGGATTCCTTGAAGCTTGATGCTTGCGAGCTAGTCCGGAGGTGGAGGCGGTTCGGATTACGGTATCTCGGCTCTGCGCGTAGATGTGATGACTCCGATGCTGTTGCGGACTCCTGGGTCGCAGTAGGCTTGGTTACACTAACCACATCTGCCACCGAGTCCTCCACGGGGCCCAGCACCGAAATGTTCAAGTGACGTGCTGGCACTGGCTTCAATCCGAAGGACTGAGGCTCACCACCCCTGGGACCTTGCGGGGACGTGGCTGCGTCTGCACCCCAATCATCCTCCTTGTCATCTTTCCCCTCCTTCCCCGCCCTGTCTTCCTTGTTCGTCGATGGAATAAAATCCGTTTCCCTGTTGATCTCGAGGGATGGTCGATCCCAAGCGTACTCAAAATCAGCCTCCGCCTCATGTTCATAACAATAGTCAATGTCGTCCTCCCAGCTCTCACGATACACACTGATCCCCGCATCTGTGTTTCTTCCCCTCGGGTTCGAGGCCCCGGAATGGGCGACAGTTCTCTCCAGAGGGCCCAGGGTATCAGAGGCGCCGCTTGGGGGTCGCTGGGGTCCGTTGGACTGAAGTTGCGCGACTTGGCGCAGCATGGGCACGGAGTGGCTTCCTCGGAGAGACGAATTGTTGCTGGCGAGGCTCATCTGTGAGCGTCGGCCCGCCCCGTGATTCTCATCCTCTTCGGGAACATTCGGCAACGGGGTCTCATACGCGAAGGCCGTGTTAGTTTTCAATGGCCAAGCGGCGTCATCCGGCGTGGTTAAAGCGTGGGAGAAGTGAGGACTCGGCGAGATGCCGTAACCCTGGAACTGATCCACGTCGTCATGTAAATCCGGGTAAGTGTCCATGCCCGACGAAGGAGGCCCAAAAGACTCGGGCGGGTAGAAACCACCGCTAGTTTGCGGACGGCCCGGGGGAGTCCTGTCCAATGGCTCGACGCCGTCGTATCGCAACGAAGCTCTGCTCGAGAGTCGCGGTGGGGGGATGGGCGCACGAGAAACGGGGGGTGCAGGGTCAACAGGCGACCTCGGAGGTCTCGGGGGTGGTGGTGATCTGGAGGCGTTTATATGCAACTGTTCCTGAGATCTGGTGCGCTTGACAAGTCGCCGTGGGGCGGAGAATCCACGCTGGCGTAGCGGTGGCAACGGTCCAGGATGATGTGACGGCGGTGTACGATGCGGGGCAGATGTTGAAGAATCTACAAAAGCAGCGTCCTGTTGAAACGCAAAGTCCTCAGATGACAGGTTGGAATGGTGAAAGGCGTCGCCAGTTTCGATGCCTCTCGTCGACGCACCAGTTGGCGACTGAGCACCACGAATCGCCGGCCAGTCAGATGCGGGCTCGGCCCGATGCCCACGCTCCGGGTGTGGTACACGATCACGTCGTGGTTGTGTGACGTGGTGGAAGTTGAAGGGACCGGAAATCTGCAACTTCTTGTTGCCGTTGTCCGAGGGCAGCCGATCCAGAGACGCGTCGCCTTTCTGTTGCACCTTCTTGCGCCCGAATAGGCCCGGAACGTATTCTTTCGCAGGGGGGGCGGTTCCGTCGATAGAACGGTCAGTCGAATATAGGGAACTGCCCGAAGAGCTATTGGCACTGCTCTCGCGCTTTAGTCTCGTGCCCCGGTTGAAGATGGTTTTGCCGAATAGCTGGACACTCTCCGGTCGCTCACGAGACGGCATGCTGCTTGACGTGGACCGCCCAGATGAGTGCCTGGAGAGGGTATTGTGCTCATGAGAGTGTTCCCAGGAGGGTCGATCCGGTGCCGGAGAGCGAGTCAAGGGTGAGCCTTGCGAGTCCCAGAGAGAGGCCCTCTTCATCTGCTTATTCAGGGCGCGAATCCTTTCGGGGGACGGCGGTCCATCAACGGCAGGCTCTAGCAGGTCGCTGATGCCGGTGCCACCAGGTTGAGGGCTGGGCCTGGATACCGACAAGGCGCCATCGGATTTTTTTGAAGCATTGCTCTTGTTAACCGTGACATTCTTGCTGGACATAGGTCGACCTGTTGCCCCAAAGCCGTAGGGCGAATAACTGGATAAGGGTGCTGCCCACATGATTGCATATGTATCGTGGGTGTCGAGTACAACGGCGGCCGGCTACCGGGTCAGTGCGACTGAGTGCGAGCGTGTCGCCGTGTTGAATCTAAGGTACTCGAGGATCCAACCGTAGCGAATCCAAGCTTCCTGGGGAGCGGCGTTCGATGCCTTTTATGTGGCTGTCTGCTCGTATATCTTTCAGCGGGCCTGTCTCCTTTACCCGCCTCTCCTGACGTGTCTTCGCCCTTCCCGACTTTCGACTGATACTCTAATCCCTAGACAAAAGCAGCAGGCGGCATCGATATCCACGATTAGCCAACGGAGATAAAAAAAAATTGACTGAGGATCCTGAATATCGAGGGTGACCGTGGACGTGCGTCAAATGTTTGTGCAGAGCGTTTGGGTGGCACAGACAAAAGCGTAGGCAGGAACCAGGGGTGTGGTTCCCCGAGGATCAAAGGCGTCGCAATGGAGTCCTTGGTGAGATGTATGATAGCACAAAAGTTTCTCATATATCGTGAATGTTGGTTCTTGCTGGTCAGAAAGGCAAACAGGTCGGCGGTAAGAGAATGAGCCAGCCAGCCACCCAGTAAACGAGCAACCAAGTCAGGAAGCAGGCAGAGGGAAGAAGAAGAAAAAAAAAACCAAAGAGGCAGAGGCAGAAAGCGAAGAATTCATTTGGGGGAAGGGGGAATGCCGGAGACTTTGTTGTGGATTATACCAGGGAACAGGGGGAAGGGGGGATGGACGGCGTATGGGGAAGATACCCGCTCAAAACACCTTGTCAGAATGTATCCATACGAAATATGAACTTCGTTCCTCTCAGCCAGGGGACGGGGGGACTGAGGGAAGGGAAGGATGAGATGCTGGGTGAAGACAAGGGTCCCCCCTTTGCCAATGCAACCAGGGATCCTGTCTATATTGAGAGCAGGATGGTTTGCGAGCGAGGCTGCTTCAAGTCCTTGGGGGTAGAGTGGGTCTTTGATGGGCTCCATAATTAACCCTTCTCAAGCTCCCTAAGGTACCTTAAGCTTTTCAGTCTACCTGAACTTCCTGGAAAGTACGGAGTACATGGTACGTTGTACGTCGTATACCTAGGTACCTAAGGTAGGTAGGCCCCTACGTCAGGGTCAGGGTGTTGGCTTGACAGGGTTGTAACCACTAGGAAGGAGGAAAACCCCCCTTCCCGACACCCCGCTAAACACCACCTGGGGTTCGGGGACCCTCATGGAAGCCTTGGCCACCACCTCGGGGAAACAAAACAGACTGAAAGGGAAAATGAGGGATAACTCGCTGAAAGTGTCGGGAAAAGTGATGGGTAAAAAAGGAGAAGAAAAAGAAGACAAAGCCATAAACGATGCTATCGACAAGAATAAACCGACTTCTGGCTTCGTATATGCTGCCCACCACTATAGGATAACTTTACGTAAGAACTCCGTGCCTTAGTCGGTCCCGGTATTGCGTACTCCGAAGTACGTTTAAACGCTAGGTACGTTGGTCCGTAGTACTCCGTAGGGCCCCGTTCGACAATCTCTCCAGCTTGGTAAATCCCGCCAACTTGGCGAAAAAAATACACTACACCTCAGGTACCTACGTAAAAGAAACCCCCCTATTGACTCTCTTGTATACCACAAAGACATAATAAGCCTAACTCTGCTAAGGCGACATTAAAGCTCGTTTACCCCGGATTATCCTGACAAATAGCTATATAGTAAGCAGGAGTTTTACAATGTGTTTTAAGCTTTAATATCCATAGACTTCCCTGCCACCTAATAGGATGCCTTAATCGACGACGAGTATATAAGTGGAGACGGTAGGAAAACGGTATAACGGCGGATGGCATAGGCTCAGCTCATTGGTTCACCGGGGTACAGGTAAAGTACTTACTTTACTTCGTAGCATGTCGGTATATACAATACCTTCGCATAGATTAGTACTCAGGCTAAAGTACCGTTGTATCATTGGAGTCAGTTGTATGTACAGAGTGCGTACTTTACAAAATAGGCGTGACTTCAAATATAACTAATTGGCTAATAGTGTAACACTGCAGCAAGTGCCTATATCCGTCTTGGAGGGAACCATTGCCCTGGGTTTGTGGTATTAGCTTGTCCGTCTATACCTTAATGGTTTTGGTTGTACACAGTACTCTCGGGTACGAGGTACGGTAAGGTCAAGCAAGAGAGAAAAGAAGGGGGCAGTAGTGGACATTTTCAGAGATCGAATCTCTCTACACCGGTAGTTAATTAAGGTATGGCACGGATGCAAAAAGTGGTCATCGCGAATAAACGAACCGGATGATACTACTTAGTGGGTAGCAACCACGCAACTCTACCTACTTACTTTAGGCTGCTAGGGTGCTGCCATAATAAGCTCAAATTGTACTAACTGCACCCAATACGACGAGTAGCGGTATCCCGCATACCCCCTTCTGGTCTTCCGCATAAGCGTATCCTATTTAGGATCCCCTGCTAAGTGTTTTCGTCGGCTAGGAAATTAGTGTCTATGCCGAAAGTCCCGGTACATCGTAAGGTCGTGGACTACTAGGTCGCTAGAGGTACTATCTAGGTAGCTAGCCACTGTAATTAGCTAGGGGGGTACCTAAACGATACCTAAGACTACCCACGCATTAGCCTAAATTCTAGGCCGTGATAGTATATTACGGACTTAAGCAGGGTTTCGTGTGTTAAAGCCCTTAAGGGCGTAGGCGGTTTCGGATAAGGGAAGGACATTATAAGATTTTAAGGCTCGAGATCAATGAAAATATCTTTAAAATAGCAGCGAATTCGTACGTTAAAGTATCTAAGGTAAGTCGGGTAAAAACTCTTCGTCTTCTTCGTGTCCACGATCTTACGATGTACCGGGACTTTCGGTATAGACGCTGATTTCCTAGCCGAGGAACGCCCTCGGGCAGCGCGGCCTAAATAGGATACGCTTATGCGGAAGACCAGAAGGGGGTATGCGGGATACCGCTACTCCAATACGACTTCCCTGGTATCTATTCATCTCATGAATGCGTCGTTTGGTGCGTTTGAGCAGGACAATGACTGGACTATGAGGATTTTGAGGGTTAATCTTAAGAAATTTCGTCTTAGGTAGGGCCGCTTGATGCCACAAATGTCCGTAATGCCTTATAAATTTGCTTACTCAACAACAGGGTTCCCCGCCATACCAAGGAACCATGGCAGCGTACGGCTGCCCGTGAACCCATTGGCTCCCTCTGTACGGGGTAGCGTCGATTCTTCCGGAAGCCGGCCCCTCGGCCTTCAAAGCCGTGGAAGGCCACAACTCCTGACGTATAGCCGGTTAATAAGACGTTCGTGTGTCAGCGTGACCCTAGAACTTTCTCGTGCCACCATGTCGCGTGTCCGGGTCAATCGGTGGGAAGGGGGTGGTCAATATGCAGCAGAACCCGCCACCCCGGTCACTCATTACTTGCGTGATGAAGACGGGACTTTGTGGTCATGTCGAAGTACGAATACGGATACTTTCTAGGGGTACTCGATTATCATATCGGCCCCAATGTTATTACGCAGCCGATGAGGAAATGCGCGAGGCTCGTCGCTTCCGCAACTCCCACCACGACAGGGCTGAATGAACTGCAAGTCGGTGGTTGATCGCCACACGGACCGCATCATTTCACTACTCCGGACTATTGTCGCTAGGATGGTTCTCGACAGGCGAAAGCCAACGACGATGGTGTACCTCAAAAGCTAACAAGGCCTTCTGCCAGTGAGGACCCCAACGAGAGAAAGTCACCTGAGCTAAGAGTGACCCGGCGCTTTAACGAGGCAAGGCTGGGCTTGTCGCGGCCTATACCAATGATTTTGCACGGACAGATCGAGTGTGCGAGTTCAAATCCTTGAACACTACCGTTGAACCTACATAGATGGATCCCTCCGTTATGACACACCCCTAGTTGTTAGATATGTCTTGCCTTGCTAGGTTACCATGTATGTACGGCCCGTAAGGAGACAGCCGTCATCCGTAATCATATGCGTATGGATAATCTCGGTTCAATTGATCGTGACAAGCTGCTGGGAACAAGCCGGCGCTGGGCCCAGAGTTCGATTTGGGACTGTTATTGGATGGCACGGGGCAAATTAAGAGACCCGGACACCCGCATTTCTTATATACATCTCTCCCTGCATGCCATATAAAGTAATTACTTCGTAGTGCAGAGTATCATGACAGCCAACGGTCCAGACTTTGAACAGTTTAGATTGCGAAATGGATATTGTATGTTGATAGGAAGGTGGGCAAAGGTAGCACCGTCCGTGTGCTATATGGTTCTCCCAGATAGTAAGCCACCTTTACCTGAAGTTTAGGGCAGATTCGAACGAAAGGACACTAGGGCAGGACGGTCAAAGTACGAAATCTCTGTGAGTGCACCGTTGGACGGGACGAGAGAAGGATAGGATGCGCGCTACTATAATTGGGTCGAGTGAAGGCTGTCTGTAATTACCTTATGCACGCAACTCCGTCCTCTATACTCCGTACTTTATAAGGTACTGTGATTAATTACTCTATGCGTCGTAGTTTCCCCGTCTGTTGGCTATTGTGGGGGAATGGAAGGTTCCCATGCAAGAATCCCTGTCATTTTCGTCTGTGCCCTTCTGCCCCCATCAGTGGCCTCTATCCCCGCCATCGTTTTCCGGGCCTTATTTCCCACAAGGCTATTTCCTTTTTGGGCCATCGCTTACGGAAAAGCCTCCTTCGGCGACATTGGGCTGTTGTTCCCCGCAATTATCCGTCGAGCCTACCAGCCAAAGGGACTCACGTAATTCCTGCATGGTTTCGTTTCATTCCAGGTCTATATGTCAGCCCCCTTCTGCCGCCTCCAGTAAGCTAAAGTGACCACTTGAACTGAACCATCGGCTTCGTACCTACATACAGCGTAGTTCGTAAGGTACTAAGGTAGCTACCTTATGTCATTTACCCCGTATTTGTAGCTCTCCGTCTCATCACTGCCATCCCTTAAACCCGGCTGCCACCGAGCTACTTACCCAAGGAGTCTAGCTGACCCATCAGATCAATGCTACAAAGGAGAGTACGGGCACGTATGTCATTATCCCTACAAGTTAGTGACATCCACTGACACAGGATATATACAACGTAATGCATCTCGAAGGACCGGTAGTTGGGGCGAAGATGATTCCTTCAATATCACGAGGGACGAGTTGTGTGGTTTCTAGCCGCGTCGCTACCAGTACCCATAACCCAGTGGTCGGCAGACCGCGTCAGACCGCGTCCGAAACGGCTTCCGCTTCAGGATCGACTCTAAACCCAAGATAACTCTAATGTGGCACAGAAGTTCGTTATCGTCTAATAAAAGGTTGGTCGGTCATGACCATCGGGGCTTCTCGAACTTACGGTCGTCTCACCTTTTGCCGGATTAAAAACATCTTACGTTCGTCTGATCAATCAACTGTGTGCTCTTCTTCTATTTTAGTACTGCTGGTCCCCTATAATGATGATGATGAAACGGCAAAGGAAAAGGACAAGAAAACGTGGCTTACATTGCATCACCCACGCGACCCTCGTGCAGTCTGGGGAGAAGCCTTCACTGCGGGCAACTACTTTATCGTACCTTCGTAGGTCGCCGGCTCGGTGTCCATGTGGCGCCTGTACTGCCTATACGGAGTACTTTCGAAGCGAGTGATCGACAGTCCCACTCGCGTCAAAACGGGCGCATACGGAGTACACCCTACAGCTACAGTGTAAGGATGCCGACATGTCAAGAGTTGTGATATGAAGAGTTATCGTTTTTTCAACATTTTCCTCAATCGCGATGGGTCTTATACATTAACTAGTTAAGCTAGGTAGTTCACAGGTCTGTTTCTCTCTCAATAAATAGAAACACCCCTAGCACATTCAACCGATAAAGATTGTGACAGATCATGATCGACAGCGCCCTCGACCCTTCTTGGCCTAGGGTTGCCCCATTGGGGGGGTTTCTGTTAATTGTTGTCAAACCGGTCTGGAGCATTCAGTGACCGCCCCCAGTTATCTGACACAGCCCATCTATATCTATTCCTTGGAACCTGTACTAGTATATGTAAAGGAATCGGCACGAGGACCTTCCTTGAACTGCCGAACTGGTCGTCTTGTTGGAGTGTTTCTGCGACTCGTAGTGGATATTGTCTCACTCCCATCCGGTATGATTGGGCAATTGTAACAAATAAGCACAACTTGAGTGCAAACCTGGGATGCCTGCAAATGGGTCTTTGTGAGGAAAGCTTGCGTACGAACTACGGAGCTATAGATACTTTGAATTAGGTAGTTGACATCTGTCTGGTGGGGAGGGGGTTTGTTTCTCTCCGCGAAGAGCGGGATTCCATGGCACCTTTCCTGGGGGTGCAGTCCTCTTAGGCACCATCAACCCTACACCGACATGCCCTAAGGAGTAAGACTAGATGATTACGTCGTGTTTTATATTCCTGTCCTTCTCCTCTCTCGTGGCCAAAAATAAGAGGGAACCAGTCCTAAAGAAATGATGAATGTGTGTATAGGCATCGCGGTAGTCGCTGGGGTATAATGTCACATATATTCCCATTAATTGCTCTTCCATGATGTGAACCCACTAAACAAGCCCTCGAGGAAAAGAAAAATACTCGATCGACGGTTCTAGAGGGGTTCATTCCTCTGGTAATTTTTCTGGGTGGTTTGAATTCATTTCAACGGGCAAACGCAGGGGCAGCGGGTTGAAAGATCAACCACTGTTAGAGAAAGCGGAGGGATCGTCGTGGGAACACAAGGTGCCGTGCCTTGTGTACGAGGTAGCAACAGCGTGTCTTCCCGTGTACGGAAGAACGCGTAATAGAACATAGTAGATAACATTATACAAAGTACAACGCACCGTATGAAAAATACTTCGTAGAAACAGACGCGTGTCGACAGTGTGAGATGGATAAAGTAGGTGAGCTTGATAAGGTAGAGGACTGACTGTTGGGAGACATGTGCAGAAATCACAGGACGTCGCCGATAAACAGGGGGGGGGGGGGTTATGATCTGGCATGATTATGTTCGCAAGGAGTAATACACGTATACTCCGTAGTCGACCCTATCGTACGGTGTCCGACGAGAGGTTGGCAAAAAGTGCGGGGCTTCTTAGTAGTCGGTGTGACTGCGACTGCGCGTGCTTCGCGACTTGCAGCGCATACAGAGTACGTGCCGCTTTGCGTTCAAGGCTTGTGCTTTACCAGCCAAGTGGGGGGGGGGGGGGGTTCCGGGTAAAACGTGGGAAGCGTCGTAAGCGTTGTCAAGCTGCGAGATGTATAGAGTACGTAAAACTCCAGCTTGGAGATGCGTGCTGCTGGATCTGAACGTTGCACTCTATAAGGTACTCTTTTCGGTACCTTCTGTTATAGACGCAGTACCGGTACGGCAGCGAAGAGCTTCGAGTGATTAAGGTAGTGGGGAATTAAAAGGTCCTCTGAGGTACGCGTAAGGTAGTTGGCGGGTTTTGCGGCATAACCACCACCATAAAAGGTTGACAACAGCAGCTCGACTCGGTTCAAATCACTGCAAAGACTGGACTTGTGCTGCTCTCTCCTCGGTCCTCGATAGCAGTTGCAGGGACGGGATGACCCGTGGAACCTTCCAAGATCCGCCGGCTGAACCGCTTGGTCTTTAATCGCGAGGGAAGGTAAAAATTAATACAAGCAAGCAAGGAGCACGCCCTTAATTAGTGAGATTCCTGTATCCCGAGGTACCTTAGGATTCTGTGGCACTGAAGAAGGTCTGGATCAAGGAAAGTTATTATAAGAGGCAATACAACGCACTTGGGATCCATAGCCCCCATCTTATTCGTCAATTCTTCCCCTTCCAACAACACAGTGACAGTGGAATTGTGCCAGGAACACGCACTGTACGGCATCAGTTGGGGCAGTTGGGGGGAACTTGACCAGAATGACCAGAATCAATTATCAGCTTAGATGTGAATGCTTATGGTTGTCGTTTTTCCAGAAGCATCATACAACGTAAACACAAGCCTGAAATAGTACCTTATACGTGTCGTATTCGGATATATGGAGGGCAGCCCAACAAGAAGTCCACGCGGTTGGTGACCAGCCAACACCGCAAGCTTCACCACGACCTGCCTACCTCGGCGCCATCTGTCGAGTCCATTCCCTCCTTTCTGAAATTACTCAATTCCTCGTACAGATGTGGGATCTCTAACCCTGCATTTTGACATATGCTGTTGTTACGCATGTTCGCGAGAGGGCCGGCTAACAAGAGGGCGGTTTCTTCCGAATCGACCAACGGCTGACCGACCGGCCGAGAACCCGAAACTGCATGAAAGTCAACCTTTCTGCTTGGTTTTCTTAGACCAAAGAAAAAGAAGAAGAAGAAAAAGAAAAAAATCGGAAGGAGGGCTCGCTCAATGGAAAAGCCGAGCTACCTGCCTGCTTTGTGAGAATGCAATTAATGCCTAGTGCGCTCCATAAGGAGTCCATACTTGGCGCTGGAACCAACGACGCGTCCTTTCAACAAGGAAGTCCCCAGCGTCGGCCCTTGCGGGCGTGTACCGAACCCGCGGCAACGGACTCGACCTTGGTACGTATATAAGTTACGGGGTTGGGCATCGAGAGAAGAGCGAACACCCTTTTCCCGTGTCTTGAGGACCCACGACCCATGACCCACGACCCACGATGATGGGGATCACACCTCGTTCCGTGTCTGCGAACTTTGGGTCGTAAATGAACCCCCTCTCCCCACCCCTTTTTTTTTTTTTTTTTTAAAAAAAAAAAAAAAACCCCCCCTTCTTAATAGGTATCTTTCTTTCTTTCTTCCGTTTCCTCGCCTCTCTTCTCTCTTGATACTCTCCTCAGCCTCACCTACGTTATATACAGAGTAATTGCACTTAAAGGTTTGTTCTGATTCTGTCTTTAATATGCTTTACCAAAGTCGTTCCCCTGTTACTGATCAGCACAAGTTCTACTTGTTGCGGTCTTAGTAGACGCGAATTACACGACCCGCGTGTACTCCGTGCCGGCATGGATATTAATTACAACGTACCCCTAACCATAGTGATGGTGTTGTCTCCCGTCCCCCCCCGAAACACACGTGGAGTGGCAAGATAAGATGCTGCAAGTTATTTTCCTTCAGCCTCTTTTCCCGTGTCGCCAAGCTGTCCATTTCGCCTCTTGCTGCATCTCATGATGATCCTGATTCCTTCATCCCTCCGACCCCTGCACTTTGGCCTGGCTCCACCTAGTATTACTTCTCCCGAATGCTTGCCCCTGGCTGCCCGGCGATGTTTCCTGTCCGACGCGAGCCACCTTCTCTATGCGCTTGCTTACTGTCCACATGGGAGTGAAAGTCAACCCAAGCTCGCCTGGTGTTCGCAGAAGGCAGTGTGTCGTCAGCTCAAGAAAAGCTCCCCAGTGCAGACGGCGTTCTACCCCGCCGCGACTTCACTCCGTCTTGCCTGCCCTTCAGCGACGTGAGCATTGGGAACTCATCTTAAGCTTGCGACGAAAAACTGTACGAGGTTCTCGCTGCTTCCAAAGGCCGACGACGCACTTTCTGGTACAGCACCTAGCACCTAATGCAGGCGCAGTGGTCGTGTTCGAAATGTCAACGAGGCCAAATGTTAAGCCGCGTGAGGCGTGAACGAGCACAAGCTCGCTCACCAACAGATCCTGAACTCCCCCCTCCCCCCCAAAGCGTTGAGGACATCATGCTGTCTGATACCATATTGCGGAGCCTGACTAGGTAGAACCGAGAACCGAGGTAAGCTAGCCAGCACATTCGTGAGCACCGAAGACGAAATCCAAAACAGGACAAGTGATGATCGACTCAAAAATATTCGTGAAAAGGAGTCATAGCGATTAGCCTAAACCTGTTGGGATATATACGGACTTTTTTTCTTCTTCTGGTGTCGTTTTACTCTTGGTAGGAAGAGTTCCCTTCAACTATTTCCAGAACCAACTCTTAGTCCCGTCCTTGTGGTGGCCTGTATCACCATCCTGGCTGTTCGGTCGTGGCTCTCTCTGGTCTCCACCAGAGCCAGAGCCAGAGCCAGAGCCAGAGCCAGAGCCAGAGCCGTTCGATGACCAGGCGAAGTGAGACCGAGTGACCACTTCTCTGCCAACCTCCCGGCCTTTGTCATCGAAAGTGGTCCTAGTCGTTGTCACGCTGATGTTTCCATTGACATCCTTTTTCTCCCGGACTGTCTCGTCCACCCTCCATCCTGCAGGGAGATCTCGGGATGTCGCACGCTTCCCTTGCTGCCCAGACTCCTTCCAAAGTCCCTCGTCCGATTCGAAGAGGTTCTTCCACATCCCCCACATCGGCTCCTCCGCTCGTCCGGTCTGTTTTCTCTCGGTCAAGGCATTGTAAGCCTCTTCCTCGGTCTGTCCGCGGGCCTCGGCAGGTGGAGACGAGGAACTACTGGCCTCAGCAGCAGCAGCAGCAGCAGCAGCACGCCCATGTTCCGAACCCGTAATCTGCTTGGGCGTCTCGGATTTCGGGATTTGGGCGGCCCTTTCTCGGTCCGCCCGGAAGGGGTCGCCCTGCTCCTCGAGCCACCGACGCCACCTTTCACTGACAGCGCCTTCGAAGACGTCGGGCCTGGCCTCCCAGCCGTCCCACAGGCCTTGACGGCACAGCTGGTGCAGCCAGAGAACGGGCGGGAGGCCCCGCGGGTAGAGCTCGTTCCACTGCTTCTTCAGCTCGTACCGGGCGTTTATATCCGACAGGCCCTGGCCGCTCGTCACCATGAGGAGATCCTCGAAGGCGTCTTCGAAGCCGAACAGACCGGGGTCGGCGCCCTCGGGGAGATCGCGTGGTACGGGCTGGGGCAAGTCGCGCAGTCGCAGCGGCGAGTATGGCGAGTCGACGAGGAAGGACATCCACATGACTTGGTAGAGAGACTCGGTCAGGAGTCCGGGGTCGAATAGGGAACGCATGGGAGACAGCGCAATAAAGGCATCGCGTGGGTGTGGCCGCCCTGTCGGAGGGGAGGCGGATTGGGGATCTTCATGGGGCTGATTGGCGGCACTGCCGTCGTTGCTGGTCTGCGCATCCGTACGAGGAGACGAGGTTGTCATCCAATGACTGTTAAGGTTTCTGGAGACGACGGTGGGAATTCCCAATGCGTCATGCAGTATAGTTGCGATGTGATCATCGACTTGTTGCTTGAAACGAATGAAGCAGTCGGTCCATGGGTCGTTGTCCTTCGGCATACTGACACGCGGATTTAGTCGGGGTTGCGTAGAGGGGAAGGAAGGTCGAAGAGGATTCAGGGAGTTCTTTTGTTTCGTTCAGTTTGAGGAGTATCGAAGGGGCCGCGAGGCTTTGGTAAATAGACCGTTAAAAACAGGACACCGATGCTAACGTCGTCAGCAATTCGATTCGCTTTCAACGCAGCTGTTAATATGGATGGTTCAGTGGTGATGTTGAGAGACTGGAGACTGAAGATGGAGCCATGGTGGCGATTATTAGGGTGGGATAACTAACTACCTATATTTGTTGGGGAACTTGCTTGCATTACCGGTATCTCATGATCAAGCCCGACCCATACCAGAAACAGCTAAAGTCTTGATTAGATACGAGTGCTCGTCCTCCGCCCATTAGGTCCTCCGGCTTGACTTAAACTCTTTTTGGATTCAATAACCCTGCAGAAATGGCCGTTCAGAACTTCATACTTTAGTCAGCAAGCTGGGCACCTCGCGAACGACGCCGCACCGGTAGCTTATCTCAGGGTCTTTCTAGGTAGCCTTGGGGTATTTTTGGGGGAAGGTACCTTACTATAGTGAGTAAGGTACCTAAGAAAACTCCGTACATCCCGTACCCCCCCGCTCACGTAGCGTAGCCTGCCTGGCGCGCAAGGTGCCCGACTTTGGGTCCAAACTACACCTACTTCGTACCTACTTCGTACCTACTTCGTACGGACATTACCTTAGATGGTGAACTTTTGCGTCTCCGTCCAAACCCGATCGTCCGACCCTCTGCCCTCAGTCGCTTCTCTTGTCGCCATGCTTTGAAACCGGCAATTTCTTTCATTGATCAAAGATTAACCCAGGCACTATTCTCTTCTCGGCTCCATTGTGACACCCAGTTCCAATGATAGGCGAAGTCCATTTGTCCAGGTCTCCAGAACTCGAGCCGTGCGTGTGTCTCCCATCCCATAACTACGGCCTTCCCAGGGTTGCGTCCCATCTCGGCCATATCCGGTGCTGCGCTATTCCAGTTACCTAGGGAGAAGAAGAAGACAGATTCTGTGCCACACGACTGCCACGAATACTTGTGGACTCTCGTCTGTGGTCACCGTCGTCCTCCCCTCACCTGTCTTCTCGCTACCTAGGTAGCCATGGGGGAGCCCAGCTCTTACCCGGCTTTCAACGACATCGTCGCGATCCGCTCCGAACATCCCGATCACGGTGGCGATGGAGAGTTGCGGAATTGGTCGTCCCTGATTGGCATCGTCACTGCCATTGTTGGCAACGTCCTTATTGCGCTGGCCCTCAACGTTCAGCGATATGCACATCTCCGTCTACATCGGGAGCGCGTCCGAATACGACGACGAGCCAAGGAGGCATTTAGGCGACTCGAGAACAACAATCGTTCCTCGGGCGTCTATGGAAGTTTGGGTCGCGAAAACGGGCACCGGGGTAGTAATGCCGAGGACCGTCCTCACAACAACCGAGCCGCCGCTGCCGACGGCAACAACAACGTCGACGACGACGATGAGTATGAGTATGCCCACGAATCCGACCTCTTAACACGATCATTCCGCTCCGAGGATTCCGCCGGCTCCGACACCTCCGATGAACAAGCGAAGGCCTCCTCCTCATACCTCAAGTCCCCCTACTGGTGGACCGGCCAAATATTGATCACACTGGGCGAGCTGGGCAATTTTTTGGCGTACGGCTTTGCGCCAGCGTCTATCGTCTCCCCCCTGGGAGTCGTTGCCCTGATCTCCAACTGCATCATCGCTCCGATTTTTTTCAAGGAGATCTTCCGACAGCGGGACTTCTGGGGTGTCGTCATTGCCGTTGGTGGCGTCGTTACCGTTGTTCTAAGCGCGAATCAGGAGGAGACGAAACTCGACCCCAACGACGTTTGGCGTCATATTAAGACCATCGAATTCGAGGTGTACTTGGCTGTGACCATATCCCTCATCGCTATCCTGATGTGGGCCAGCTCCAGGTATGGCACACGAACCATTCTGATTGATCTTGGCCTTGTAGGTCTGTTCGGTACGTTACGAGCTTCCCGCGAAAAGAGTCTTGTTCTGCATGCCGTTGCACGTCCTCTTCCCCCCGATGGTCCATCATCTAACCTGGACTCTGTGCAGGAGGTTACACCGCCCTGGCGACCAAGGGAGTGTCGTCCATGCTATCTTCGACCCTATGGAGAACCTTTACGACACCGGTCGCCTATGTCCTAATTTTCATCTTAATCATGACCGCTATCATGCAAATTCGATATCTCAACAAAGCCTTGCAGCGATTCGATTCCACCCAAGTGATACCCACCCAGTTCGTCACATTCACACTCTGCGTCATCGTCGGCAGCGCCGTCCTCTATCGAGATTTCGAGCGCACCTCTGCCACACAGGCCGCCAAGTTTGTCGGCGGCTGTCTGCTCACCTTCTTCGGCGTCTTCCTCATCACTAGCGGCAGGCCGGACCACGATGATGAGGAACACCGTTTATCAGATGTACCTGGCATAGAGGAGACCATCGGGCTCGCTCACCAGGACACGAACCAGCCCTCTTCCCGGTCGACCGCATCGGGCGGACCAACGAGGTCTCGCGGTTCCTCTAAAGCGTCTCGTCCCGACCCCTTCCTGGGCGACCCTCAGCCCTATGCGATGGGCCGTGGCTTCGAGGCGTCTTCGTATCCACGCGCTCGTACCCATCGCCATGGGAGCCTGGGATCCCAAGAGTCGGCCCCCTTGCTGTCGAAACCGTGGACCGCTAGTCTGGCGGATCATCAGGTCGCGCCGCCCCCCGGGGTGCGCACAATCTCCGACGACTCTGCCACGACGCTCTCAGGTCTGGCAGCCGCACAGTCTGCTCCCTCGTCGCCTCCTCGTAGCAGCCAGTATCTGCCAGCCCGTCCCGGCGAAACGCCCACAACGCCACGCGCCTCGCTGTCACTGCCAGCCCAAGCGCCCAGGACGCCAACCCACCACTTCAGCGGGACCATCTTCTCACCCTCGCCGCTGTCATCCACCGTCAATGCTGTCGTCAAGGACACGCTTCTCAGGGATACGGATCACCCGTATCTGAGAAGGCCGTCCGTGCGCAGGCTTCGCTCGGGTATCCGCGCGAGCCTCTTCATCCCGGATGACGACGGGCAGAATTATGATGTTGGAACGCGGAGCGACGAGAGGAGGAGACCGGCTGCTCGGTCCCATGGTTGCCTGGACGAGACGGCGCACGAGCCGAGTCGAGAGGGGCAGACGGAGTCGCCGTTTGACGGGAGGACGAGGCCGAGGAGCTTGAGTGATACCCTCGGCGAGCTTTTCAAGTTGAAGAGGAAGCCGAAGAGCCGACATGAGGACCCCGCGTAGGAACATTGTGTGTTGTATATTCCGGGGATTTTGCTCATGGTGTCCCGGGGAGGAGAGGAGGTAATGCAGTTAACTCGGCGGGCACAAGTTGTTCTTTTTTTTTTTTCTTCTTTCTTTTTATGGTCATTGCATTTCCTCGCGCGGCGTTATGGTAGAGGGCAACGGCCGGGATCTCGAGTTCCTATGATATTTCTCGTGGATGAGGTTGATTTTAAGTCTTTTGCAAGTGTTTCCCTATAGCCCTTTGATTCCCCTCTCGTGTCCATATCCAGGCACAAAACATATAATAATGGCATAACTGCGTCATCTTATTATGGCGGTTCTAATCGGCAGCGCGTTACTCTCATGAATTTTAGCCTCTTGCTCCCCTCCTTGTACGGCGAACCCCCTGAGTCCCGAGGCACCCGCCCCTGCGGGAGAAACGCATCTTTCACACTGCATGGCAACAACGCCGATCTAGTCGCCTTGCAGACCCCTTGGAGACGGGCGAAGACATTAGTGACGACACAGAACAGGGAACACAGTTTTAGGGTATGTAAAGATATAAGGCGCAAGGTACTGGAACTATCTCTGACGTAGCTGGTCATATGTCCCACGGCAACAACACGACTCCCAAGTGAACAACAGCAACAACAACAATGCTCATGAAGATGAATGAGGCCCGGCCGAAGTGGGATGTTAGCCGCCAACTCTCAAAGCGCCCCTCAAGCCTTGCCCTTGTTGCGAGACTGGGCTTTCTTCTTCCGCATCAAGCGTTTCCTCGCAATAAGCTTTTGCTTGATGTCTTCACTTCCGTCTTTGGCGCCCGACTTGGACGAAGTGTTTTCGGTCTTCGCGGGCTCCTTGGGCGTGTCCGGCTTCTTCCCCGTCTTGAGCGCAAACTTCTTGCTCGATTTCTGACTAGGTCTCCTCGGAGCAGATTTGGACTTGGAGCCCTTCTTCCCCGTCTCCGGGGCGGCGGATGGTTCCTGCTCTTGACCCTTCTCGGCTCCCTGCTTGGGCTTCGGGTTGCTCTTCGCTCCGTCCTGGGCCCTGCGCCTCGCCACCACCTGGGCGTTTTCAATGGCGAACTCGACGATAAGACGCTGCTTCTTTCCCTGGTCGTTTTGGAGCTCGTGGCCGTTCAGCCATCTGAGGCCCATGAGCGCCCAGCGGTGGGACGAGTACTCGATGAAGCCGTAGCCGCGGCTCTTGCCGCCGGCCGACTCGCTGACTTTGGACCCGTCCTTGCTTTCGAAGACGATCTTGGCTTGGCTGACGATTCCCTTGCGCTTGAGCTTCCGTTGGTGTTCGGCTTCTTTGGTCTCGGCGAGCGACCTGGCTTTCTCCTCTTTCGAGAGTGGCTCCCGCAGACCTTCGCGGACGTCCTTGGCGAAGCCGACGCAGGCCTGACGAGCCAGTTGCTTCAGATCCTTGGAGGTTAGGTTGAATGGAACGTTCCGGACCGCTAGGCGAGTCAGACTGATGTGCAGGCTCGGGTTGCGCTCGACCAGCTTTTTCCGCTGGGTCCTGCTTTGGTCCCTCATCTTGATCTCCGCCTGGCTCAGGATTTGGTAGAGGGGCGACCTGGTGTCAAGCTGCCCTTCCTCAAGCAGAAACAACCTGCGCTTGTCGTTGGCCCGCCGCTTACTTCCAGCGGTGGAAGCCAAACGTTCGGCATCGTCCTTGGTGACGGCTTGCGCGACCTGTAGTATCCTCCCCTCCAGAGTGTACTTGCCGGTCGGATCGCCGTCCTCGTCCTGCAACACGGACCTTTTCGCGATCAAAGGGTTGGCTTGGGGACGAGGGGAATTCTTTACGCAGGCCTTGGAATGCTCCTCGTCGACGAAGCAGACGAAGCCTGTGCCAGCAGGCCGGTCCGTTGCCCGGTCCTTGACGACTCGGGCGTACCTGACGGGGCCGAACTTGAGGAAATGGTCTTTCAGCTGCTCATCCGTTGTCGTGAAAGGGAGGTTGCGGATGAAAACAGTGGAATTTTTGTGTTTATCGTTGTCATTGGCTCGCGATTTGCCGCCATCTTCATCGTCGCCTTCGGACTCGGAACCATCGCTTTCGTCTTCCATATCCTCCTCATCATCCTCGTCGGAAGAGGAGTCGGGTCCGGCCTCATCTTCCTTGTCGCTGTCATCTTTTTCTTCTTCAAGATTAACCATGTGGTTCTGCATGAAGTTCTCCAAATCTGCTCGCAGTTGTTCGTCGTCGTCCTCCGGGGCGCTGCCGGCAGCCGCTGAAGCAGGGGTTTTTTGCGTCTTCTCCGGCGTCTTCTCTTGGGGAGGGTTGGCCTCCTTGGACGGTTTGGCGCCATCTCCGTCTTGCTGTTGGTCCCATTCCTCCTTGTCGACTGCCCAGTCCACTGCAAGTGTCCTTCCGTCTATGACTTTCCCGTTGACGCCGCTGATGGCGTTCTCGGCGTTTTTCTGTCCGCGAATGGTGATGAAGCCAAACCCCCTGAGACGGCCTTGCTTCATCGGCAAATCGGCAAACTTGATCTTGCCATAGCTCTGAAACAAGGCCGTCAGTTTCTCCGGCGTATTGACGCTCCAGGGCAGATTGCGAATGATCAGTTTCGGCGACTTCCATGCGTCCTCAATGGCGCGGGACTTCGACTTTGCTGGCGGAACAGCGGAAGAAGAAGTATCTTTTTTTGCAGCGCCTCCATGCTCGTTTCGATGTCTCGACTCGGCGAAGTCGATGACGATGCGACGGCCATTCCAGATTTCGTCGTTCAGCTTCTTCTTCGCCTCCAAAGCATCCTCGGGGTCCGTGAGGGTAACGAATCCAAAGCCTCGAGACGCCTTTGTAGAGGAATCGACCACCACCGTGGCATGCTTAACGGGAAAGTGCTCGGAGAAGAAGTTTGCTAGATCTTCGCTGGTGACATCGTGGGGGAGGGAGCGGACGAAAAGGGAGCGATTGGCTTCGACGCGGGCCTTTTTGGATTTTGGCTCAGTGACGGTGTCAATGCGATCCACTCCTGCGTTCTCTTCTGACGAATTTCCGCCCCTCGGTCGTTTCAATGCTTTGGTGTCTGAAGCCATGACTGTGTCCTTGGTAAAAGTGCTTCAAGACGGTGAGCCGAGAGGGTGATGCGGCTGCTGTGTCTGTACGGACTTTCCGCGTTACCTTTTTTTCTTTTTTTTCTCTCGCCAGAGATACAAGGTACCTTATCTTATCAGAATCGATTCTATCGCCGTTATCTTCACGTGCAATGGCATCCCCGCACTAGTCCTATGTTGGTAATTTATTGACTTGGAACCACCACAACAAACGCGCATCTCTCGTCTTGGCCCCCGACGCAAGAAACAAAGAATGTCGAGGTGCGTGCGACATTGCGACTTCTCCACCATCATCTTCTGAACCGGGGATTATCTGTCAACTCACTGAGAATCTACTCCGGAAATCCCAACTACAAGCATGCCTGGCCGAGCACCAGGGAGGTCCACGCGGACCTCCACCGCCGTTTCTCACAAGTCGTCCGCCATGGACGTCGATTCTCGAGCCTCATCCGCCTCCCCCGATGCTCCAACCGAAGCCCCTGACAATGCGCTTCGGCACCAGATATGCAATATCTTTCGAGACGCCCAAAAGAATACCGCGTCGCACCGTAAACTTATCGTCAGCCTCCGCAAGATCCAGGAACAGTGCTGTTACGAGCCCGCGAACCCAAAAAAGGCCGACACGAACGTCTTCAACGAAACCACTTTCAATAACGAATTTGTGCGCTGTGCTTTGCGGGTTATGCCAGTCAAGAAAACCGAGTCGGCCGGGGAGAAGGTCATTCGCTTCATCGGACTCTTCCTGAGACATTCCAACGACAAGGATAATGAGCTTCTGGGAGACGTCGAGGAGGATGCTAGTGTCATGCCCGAGACCGCCGGAACGCGCCTCACGAGCCAGCTGATGGAAACGATTCTGCCTCTTCTCACATCTAAAGACAAGTTCGTCAGATACCGATCAACCCAGTTAATTTCTCACGTCGTTAATTCCCTCGACGCCATTGATGATGAGCTCTTCCAAAAGCTACGCCACGGCCTTCTCAGGCGAATCCACGACAAGGAAGCCATGGTCCGTTCGCAGGCCGTTCTCGGTCTCGGACGACTCGTCGGTAATCAGGCAGAAGCTGGGGCCGATCCCGACGACAGCGACGGGGACGACGCCGGGTTGCTCGAAAAGCTCCTCGAAGTCCTACAAAACGATCCAAGCGCGGACGTAAGGAGGTCGCTCCTCGTCAACCTGCCCATCCTCCCCAACACCCTCCCATATCTGCTGGAACGCGCCAGGGATCAGGACGCCGCCACCCGGAGAGCCGTCTACTCGAGACTCTTGCCGGCTCTGGGCGATTTTCGACATTTGTCTCTGTCCATGCGAGAGAAGCTCCTTCGATGGGGCCTCCGCGATCGAGATGACAACGTCCGCAAGTCGGCAGGCCGGCTGTTCCGCGAACGGTGGATCGAGGACTGCGCCGGCGTCCCGGCCACGGATGAGGACGGCAAACCAGTGGAATCTGCTCCCAACTTTGACGGCTTGCAAGAGCTTCTGGAAAGAATCGACGTCGTCAATTCGGGCGTCGAGAATGGAGTGGCGCTCGAGGCGATGAATGGCTTTTGGGAGGGCCGGCCGGACTACCGGGACGCAGCGGTGTTTGATGACCAGTTCTGGCTGACTCTGTCAGCCGAGTCCGTTTTTATGGCCAGGAGCTTCAACGAATTCTGCCGCAGCGAGGGGAACGGAAAGTACGAGTCTCTACTGGAGGTGAAGCTACCCGAGGTCACCAAGCTGGCATTCTACCTTGAACGGTACATCTCTGTTCTGATTGAAGCGATCAAGAGAGTGCAGGAGACCTCGGACGAGAACGAGGAGGACGAGGAGGAAGATACGGTGGAGCAAGAGTTTATCGTCGAACAGATGCTTCAGATCGCTCTGACCCTCGATTACTCGGACGAAGTCGGCAGACGAAAGATGTTCGCTCTCCTCCGCCAGTCCTTGTCGATCCCGGAGCTCCCTGACGAAATTACGAAACTCACCGTGAACGTTCTTCGCGAGATTTGCGCGCCGGACCTGGCGGGCGAAAAAGAGTTCTGCAGCATCGTCCTCGAAGCCGTAGCCGATGTTCACGACACCATCGCCGACGATACCGCAGGGCCAGCAAACGATGCCGACACCACCGAGGATAGTTTTCATTCCGCCAAGTCCGAGGTTTCTCTCGACGCACCTGCCAAGAAGGCTGCTGCTCGGGGTGCCAGTACAGAGGAGGACGAGGAGGAGGCCAGGCAGAAGGCGATCAAGGAGATCATGATCAACATGAAGTGCCTGTACATTGTCCAGTGCATGCTCACCAACGTCGCCGGCGATTTGCAGCAGAACGATCACCTGGTTGCCATGCTCAATAACCTGGTGGTTCCCGCGGTTAGAAGCCACGAAGCGCCGGTGCGAGAGAGGGGACTGGTCTGCCTTGGCTTGTGCTCGCTGCTTGATCGATCGCTCGCCGAGGAGAACCTGGTTTTGTTCATGCACTTCTTCGCAAAGGGCCACACGGCCTTGCAGATCACCGCTCTGCATATCCTGACCGACATCCTCAACGTCCATGGTGCACAACTCCTGGCGACGACACCGACCCTGCTCAAGGTATACCTCAAGGCTCTCAGGTCGGGATCGAAGTCGCCCGAGGTCCAGGCAGCGGCTACGTTGGCGGCGTCCAAGCTGCTCCTCGGACGGGTTGTTACTGATCCGGACGCTTCGTCGGAACTGCTCAAGACGCTGGTGGTCGCCTACTTTGACCCTTCCAGCGCGCACAACCAGAGCGTCAGGCAAGCGCTCAACTATTTCCTACCCGTCTTCTGCTATTCGCGCGCCGAGAACCAGGACTTGATGCGATCTGTCGCCTTGGATGCCCTGCATTCGCTGTACAACATTCGGCAGAACCTGGAAGATGATGACGTTGACGTCGAGGAGGATATGCAGAACCTTGCCACCATCGGCGCCTGCCTGGTGGACTGGACCGACCCGAGGAAATGCTATAGTCCCGACTCGGGACTGGATTCGGAGAAGAGATCCGTGAATGGCGATATCCATCTGTCTCTGGCCTTGGATATCCTGGAACGCCTTGGCGGAAATATGAGTAGTACGTGCCTGACCTTGACAAACTCACATCCCGCCAACCAACCCTTAACCCCTTTTTTTTCCCTTCTTTCTTTCTGTCCTCGCCATCTTCTTCTCTGACGAGCTTCCTACTGACCGCCAAACAGAAGAGGAGAAGAAAGTCGTTTCCCCTCTACTGGGCAAGCTATACATCTCCGCATCCAGTTCCGAAGACAAGATCCGAGAGGCGTACGAGGAGGTCACGATCGCCGTGAATGATAAGCTAGTGACCGACACTGCGGGGAGGAACGCGTTGAACAAACTGCACCTCAGCCTAGGCAAGATCATCACGGCTCTCGGCGGCGGAACAGGAGGAGAAAGCCGTCGAGCCAGCCGAAGCGTGTCCGTCGCCGGGGAGGAGAGGTCGGAGGCTACGGACAGGACCAACCTCACGGAGACTACCACCATCAAGGAGGAGGATGAGAGCGTCGAGGGGACCGTCGTTCCGAGGGACGAGGATAGCGACGAGGGGACGGTCGTTCAGAGCAGGTACAAGGACACCCTTGTAGATGATTTGCTGACCGATGAAGAAGAGCTTTGAAGGCATCCTGGCCTGCGGTTGAGTGTGGTATAGCGAAAGCCTGTACATATGATGATATATCTTTGATTTTGTGTTTTCCTTGGTCTGGTTCACGACGTCGACGACGGATGGACGGGTTGGTCTGAATGAATTGGGAGGATCGGATGTCCGTGTCACGGAAAGTCTAATGGCACAATGAAATAATACCTCCGAAGCTCAAGGGGGCTGAAGTGCCCGCCATAAAAGTGACAACACCAAGCCATACCGGTCCTTTTTGTGGCCCACCCTCTTGGGCCCTCGCTTCCAACCCGCAATGCCAAACTCCTCGGTTATTCTGACGCCAGTCAACCCGATGCTCCCATGCTGAACAACCCGCCAGCTAGGAAAATATTCACGATCAAGTGCTGCCCAACATTCCACGCCATGCAATACAGGTACTTGGGTGAGAAGACCGTCCAGACGAAGAGGTGGGTGCGCAGAACGGTGCAGGCGGCCATGATGGCGGCGACGCTGCAGGTGGCAAAAAGGGTGAGGTTGGCAGCATGTTGCAGGAAGCGATGATGGCCTGACACGTCGCGTCGTGATTTGAGCAGAAGCAGGTTGGTGGCTGACGTCCAGTAGACCGGGCCAGCCCAGTTGCTGATGAAGGTGAGGATGCCGACGATTACCACGTTGAAGCCCGAGACGCCGTTGTAAGCGCTTGAAAGGTCCACGGAGGAGATGGCATTTGTGCCCCCTGAGGCAAAGAAGGACATGTGTTGTAGCATGATGGACGAGACGGAAATGGAGGGGATATCGAGATCCAAAGAGGCGAGAAAGTAGAACTGCAGCTGAAAGAGGAGGAAGAGTGGAATATTAGTTACTCGGGACTGGGTCACGGCCAGCAAGGTGTAGAGGTGATGTAGCAGCTCGACTAGGTCTACTGCCATTAGTTCTAATCGTGCCCTTAACATACGGAGTGGGTGTATAGGTAAAGGAGGGCAAAAGCTTTTGCTTACCAGTACGTTTGGCCTGCCCGCGCCTCGTGATCGCATGGTACAGTCCATAAGCAGCGGTTATGCCCAGACCAGCCAAAAGCACGCGAGCGTGGGAGAGGAGAGATAGTCCTTCGGTAGCCACCTTCAGGCTTCTCAAGACACCAATTACTAATTCGGGAGAGTCTTCGTATGTGAAAGCGAGCTTGAACGTGATCCCGGAGAGGCCAAGGAAGGTGACGAGAACCGTTGACGAGCCAGGCGGCATGCCCACCAGCCGCTTGTGAATAAGGAAACAGATGTTGAGATACGTCGCACCAACCAGAGCCCATAGCAATAGGGGGTTGGTGGCCAGAAACGTTGTGACTATATCGGGCTTGCCAGCATGTTTTTGACCTGTCTGATTCCAGCCGCGGATGAGTCGCGTAGCGAAGATTGCCGCCGTAAACTGCACCGTCCGGGCAATGCGCGAGCCCACCCTGAGTTGGGACACAAGTCAGTAGGGGAAGATAACCGCAGGTAGTCTAAGTTTAGTCTGGACGACGGATATGGGCCGCACCTCTGGGCTCGGGTAATGGCAAGCGACGCAAGCCACGCAGACGTCGCCCAGTACCAAAAATGGTGCTCTTCCTCCACATAGCTGCTGGCAAACATCATAACGCTATAAGCCGAGGCCAAGGCGAGGGATGGCATTCGTGTCATAGTAGAGGTCTGAAGCAGCGTTGCCATCAGGAAGGCCGCAAGGGCTAACGCCTGTCCGAGGGCCAGCCGGGACATGTCGTAGTTACTTGCCATACTGCTCAGCAAGTCCTGAGCTCTGCTTAGCCACTTCGTAGGGTTAGCGCATCAAGGCCAACAGTTACACGTAGTTCCCACCAACCTTGGACATCGCCGACACCCATGAGTCAAGCGAGCCGTTGTACTCGTGCAGAGCTAATCTTTGAGAGTCGACAGCCTTCCATTCGCAGGCTAACGCTTGGACATCATCCTTGGGGAGGACACAATTGTCTTGTCCTGGATCCGAGTCCATAATACCTGCACCGAAAGTCGCAATCACAATGTTGAGGATCTGCCGAGCGTTGCGTAGGAGCAACTGAATCTGGTCGTTTGCTAGGTTGCCGCGTCAATACAATGGCACCCAATAGGCAAAGAAGAGGAAAAGGGGGGGTTCCCGAGGCGTACTGTTTGGCCAGAGCGGGAGAAAGTTGACGATGAGAGCCCCTAGGTTGTTTCGCGGCACGGGGAAGCCTAGCAAAGCTGCCAAGGTCGGGGCTATGTCAGATTGTTCCACCTTGGTGTAGTAATCGAAGTCCTCTCGATATGCAGAGGGCGAAGGCAGGCCGCGAGATATGGCCTCTAATTTAGGAGAAACGAAAACAAGAGCTGGCGATGTCTCTCCAGGTGACGAAGCGCCGTGGTTCCCTGCATCGTTCATTCCGTGATCGCCGCAGAACACCAGGAGAGTCGAGGCGAGATGTTCACGGGTTACCATGGCTTCGTAGACTTGCCGAACCATTTCGTCCATTTCTCGCTGCTTTGGGAACATGTTCGGGCTGAGGCGGTGTGACGGAGAGTCAGAGTCAGAGTCAGTCAGTCGATCCAACCATGTCCATTACACCGAATGAATAGAAAAATAGCCCGCAACAAAATCTAGGCGAACCTTCGAGGGCCAGCTTTGTGACCAATGTGATCGAGACCCAGGTAGTGCAGCACCATCGTGTTCCAGTCATCTCTCTTCAGCTCTTCGGGAAGATGTCTGGTGACATTGTTGTCTACTTCTGTGTAGTCCTAGGGGATCGTCAGCATGTTGAGCTAAAGTGAAGAAAGCATGTAGCCCATGAGACAACCGCGAACGAACCAGCCCATGCCTTACCGAAACAAAGAAGCTGGACGTGCCATCGGCCCGGTCGAACGTCTCCGGGAAGAGCTTGAGCCATGTGTCGTCTCCGTACATGAGAAGCTTGCCCGAGTCTTTGGCCTTCATCTGGGAGAGCCAGGTATCCTGGGCTGACAGGGTAGAAGACGTATCCGCTTCGTCGAAGTTGAGGATGACATCGAGGAACGATGGGATGGACCCCGTCGTAATGGCCTTGATGCGGGGCATCGTGATGGTCGGCGACCGGGCATTGGCAGTAAAGGGGAGAGCATGGCCGCGGCGAATCAGTCTGAAATCTTGTTAGTCGGACTGTCATGGGGGTTTGAGTCTAGGGGTAGGAGAATAACCGCCCCTGGGCTGGGTAGGACAAGGGAAAGGGGTATGGACATACTCTTGGGTGAAGGTAAACCCGCTATTATTAGAATATACGAAGTCGCTAGAGTAAAACCCCAGTCGCAATGTTAGCAGGTTGCGTCTTGTCTTGACTAGGGCCCAATTATCTGACAATAACGGCCTTGTAAATTGGTTCCGACGTGTGTTGCCCCGTTACCTTCTCAAAGCATCGACCACCATGAAGACCAGTCTGTCAAAATGGGCTACCGGAGGTGGCCCATATTCAAGCGGTTCGAACTGGGCCAGGCCAGGAAGGAAAGGCTTGTATGGAAAGAATCCCGTGGCGAAGATGAGAATGGAAATGGGAACCAAGACATTTGAAACTGTAAGGAGGAGCCCGTAGTGACGGGAGCCATAAGAATTGAGCATGGTCCGATGGACAGGCCCATGAAATTAATGGGGAGGGAGTGGAAGAAAAGAAGCGAAAGGCCAGTCCGGACGTACACAGACGCCGGTGGTTTAGCAGGAAGAGGACCCCAGTCTAGATTGATGTGATGCAAAACCACCACGGCGACCTGTATCGTCGAGATGAACACGTAACGTCTCTATTCCGTAATTACTTGCAGCATATTCATGGAGCGCAAGTTCGCATTTCAAGGTACGGATACAACGTACAGTCTGAAGTAAGGTAAGGCACGGAGTACGTCGTACGAAGTACGAGGTACGGATACCCGCTCGTCCGTACCACGGTGCGCTAATTGCACCGGCTGATTGGCTGATTATCGCAGCACCGGGGCATTGGACCAGACACAAGGGTGTCGCCTCCGCGATGTTGGTACACGTGACTGCGTCCGACTCGCACTGTTTATTATCAATCCTCGCAGTTGCCATGCGACTATACTGAGTATAACGTTGTTGATCCGATTAAGGGGACGAACTCATCTCTATCGATGCCCCTCACCTCTTCTTACCGTTGCTTTTCCCACGTTCGTCTATTTCCTACTCAACGATACTGCCATCACAATCTCGCTCTGAGCATATTGAAGATTTTGAAAGGACTCGAGAATCATCGGCCTGGGGGAGGGGGTATGACCCAGTTGAATGGTGACTGGTTTGAAAAAAGCAATACCGGTAGTTCTTAAGCTTGCCTGCAGAGTATGATAAGGTACTGAGTAAAGTCAAGTCCCAAACCGAACCTCGTAGCTGCGAAACGTGTACGCACACCGCCGCTTCCCTCCCTCAAGACCTCTTCTTCCCCTTCCGGTCCGTATACTTCGGGAAGACAATCTTGGATTTCCCACGCTTCTTCTTCTCGACCCTCCCAGTCCCCTTTGACTTGGTCGACCTACTGGTATTATCGACTTCCATTTCTCGGAGGTGGTCAGCACAAATAGCTGGGGGAAGTGAGTGACAATGGACGAGGCAGTTTAGCCAACTTACTAGAATCTCCCAGGGCCTCAACATCTTGCGTCTCGCCTTCGTTTGGGTGAATGCCTGAAAAGTATATTAACGTCTGAGTAGTTACTAGCGAGCAATTTCTTCATAAGGAGTAGCGCTAGTGCATACCATTCTCAGCGTCCTCGATCATCTTGATATCGGATTCTTTCTGCGGCTTTTCTTTTGCGACTAATTCTTGCAGCTTGGCAGACAAGCGTTCGGCTCTTGCCGCCTCGACGGGACCAAAGACATTCTTCTTGAGTCTCTGGTTGTTTGCTTTCCTGGAGCTGGCCCTCGCACTCTTGGCCATGTTGAAGTATATGTGAGGGGAGGGATGAAAGTTAAGAGGTGAAGAGTCAGGGTGCCCTCGTTTCCAACCTTGCCAGGGTGATAAGGTCAAGCTGCTTGAGAGACTGAAGAGACGGGCTAAAGTGAGGGCGGCGATAACGTCGTCTCGATCGAACAATCAGGACGCTACCGTTATCCTAAAGGGCAATATATGACCTTTATGCTTCTAGACGTTTGAATAGCTTTTGACGAGGAGAAAAAATCAAGAAGGAGAGAGCTTGACGATAAGTACCATGCTACGGTCATGAGCAAGGCGATGCGATTCTCGATGAAAATTCAGGGTCTCGTTTGAATGTGACAGTGCCCCACGAGCTATCTTATCTTATCGGCGACTTGTCCTACCTGAGCAGCCTGGGTCTTTCACTACGCCCACCCCTGTGTGGAATAAGGGAAAATGGGTTCGTACTCAGTACTGAGAATCGACGACAACGGGGCCAAGTGACTAATTAATCCATAAGTAATCGTAAAAGTAACAGCAAATGATGCGAATAATGTAGCTAATGGGTCTAAGATCTGGAGTACAAAAGGAAAAAGAAAAGAACATATTGCGGATTCTGGTGGCTTCTGAAGGAACTCGAGCCACGATATACGTCTCCAACGGTTACCTAATTTATCGACACTTATGCTTAATAAGCGGGACCATATACGTACTCCTTAAGGTACTTACCGAAGGTAAGGTACCTTACCTTAGGCACGGAGTAATTACCCTGACGTGCACGTTTTTCTTCCTACGAACTTCTGACGGGACTCGCAAGGCACGAAAAAGAGATGCCCCACAGTGGCTAGACCAACGGGGAAAGCAAGTACGAGTACGAGCACCTCTCTCCCACTCCCAGACAACCTACCTTAGGTATATAGAGCCTGGCCAACTCCGCTTCAAACAAACTAAAAGTTGGGCTTGAAGGCTTCAAAACGGTCCACGGAGTAATAGAAGAACTTACCGTTCTCAAGTCTCTCTCGCCTGCCGCACGTCGCTCCCCTGCTCCCGGGTCCGGGTCCGACGTTCTGATACCTGCGATCCCCCGACCTCAGACTTCGCGCCCACCCCACCCCATCGCCCGACGACAAAATCCACCTTGCCCACGACGACCGACTCGATCGAGTTAGGATATCCATCGCATCAATACACGAGGCGCGCCTTTGGGCTCCGTCTGGTCGGTGGCTCTGGCTGCTCCCAGGTCGCCGTTGCGCCAGTCCGGCCATCGCATAGAGCGAGACGGAAATTCTCAATACTTCTCGCGGGCACCCTTGATGAGGTTCTCGCCATGCCTGACATACCTCGGGGCGATGTCGCCTCGTTGCTTAAGATAGTGCAGAGTAATACTCTGCTGAACCGCCAGCTGTCCACCATCTGTCAACTGAACGGGCTGACCTCCAGCGGGGTCAAAGCCAACCTTCAGGGACGCATCGTCAATCGTGAGTATTCCCCGGCGCCCTTGCTCCTCTTCCCTGCCCTCCGACTCGGTTCTGCCCTATCTCATCCGGGTCGTCCCGCACCAAAGGAAGCGATAATCATTGCGCTCTTCAAGCCCGGCGAGGGACGGTCTTTTTGCAACTTGGTCTGAGACGTTGTTTTGGGCTGTCCCAGATGCCTTCTTGAACAACCCGATTGGCATCCTGCGTTCTCCTTCCGTGCCTCACTCGTTCTATCCTCAGCCTGCCAGAATGTCTACCCTGGGCCGAACGCTGACCTTCTCCCTCCATCCTAGTGATACAAGAAACCGTCAACGCCCGAGACCTCACCCGCTTCCGCCAGATTGAGCAGAGCATCAAGACCATCCGAGCCAACGGCACTGCATCGCCCGCAAAGTCCGCACAAGCCTACACCCAGACTATGCCTTCACATTCCCACAGACAACAAGCGCCCTATTACGGCCTGCCCAGCCCAGGGATCCATGGCAGCAGCGCTAATGGCTATCGTGGCACCCCCTCACAGCTGAGTATGATACCTTCCTCGTAGTCTGCAGTCTACGTACTCCCTGAGCGACCCTAACGCATGCAAGGTCTACAATTTAAGCCGAGTCCCTTCTACGAAGTTTTGCAGCCCTCTATCGGACCGGTTCTTGTCTGCGAACGTATGCCCTCCCTCCGCCCCTTCCCTCGTCCGTTCCCTCCCGGCTGTTCGTCAGCTGCTGACTTACGCTCAAGCCATGCAGCAGCATCGGAACGTGGTGACCATCAGGATAAGGGCCAGCGAGCACCCTTTGCTTCAGCAAGCTTCCCTTGATACGTCTTTACGAGCCATGGTCTTCTGTGCTGGGAGCAAGGACGGCGTCCAGGAGATTGCCTTTCCTCACCAGTCCGAGATTAAGGTCAACGGCGGCGAAATCAAAGCGAACCTGCGAGGTTTAAAGAACAAGCCTGGATCGACGAGACCCGTGGACATCACAAATGCATTGAGGCCACGGCCTACTAACTACGACAACACCGTCGAACTCATTTATGCATTAACCAAACAGGTTAGGTCCCTTTCCAACATGACGTTTCGGGGGAGTGATGGGGGAAATGTGCTGATGCAAGTTGCCACAGCCCTTCTATGTTGCGGTCTACTTTTGCAAAATAACATCCGTACAGGATTTGGTGACAAGGATCAAATCGGGCAAGAGAATCCCCAAAGCCTCTGTCATCCAGGAGAGTAAGCACTGGCTTCCTACACTCGTCCCCCCCCCCCCTTCTCCCCAGACATTGGCGCTAAAGAACGGCCCAGTCACGAATAAGGCAGCAGACGCCGACATCGTCACAACATCCCAGGTGCTGTCGCTGAAATGTCCTTTATCCTATATGCGGCTGGAATTGCCTTGCCGCTCCCTCATCTGCAGCCACATCCAATGTTTCGATGCTACATCATACCTCCAACTGCAAGAGCAGGGTCCGCAGTGGCTATGTCCCATCTGCAACAAGAGTGCGACCTTTGAGACATTGGCAGTCGACGAGTGAGTTCCCACCGGTGGGCAACCTCCGCGATTCTTGTCTACTGAATGCTGACCTCCCCCGGTAGGTACGTCAAGGAGATTTTGACGAACACCTCGTCAGACTTGGATCAGGTGACGATCGAGCCAGACGCGAAATGGCGAGTACCGACAGCACAGAACGGATCAGCAGGCTCCAGGAGTAGAAGCAACAGATTTGAAGACGACGACGACGACGACGACGACGACGATCTAGAAATATCCGAGGTCAACGTCGTTGGAGGCCGTAAGATGGAGACGCCGAGTCGGTCGCTGTATGGCAGCGCGACGCCCACGACGCAGGGGGGGTCAAGTTTACCCCGGGGGTTAGGTTCTACCAGCGGCAAGAGACCAGCGCAGGTTGTCGTTGATTTGACTCTCGACTCGGACGACGAGGACGGGCCACCACCTACCAAGAAGCATCACACGGCACCATCAACGCATTCCATGCATCCACGCTATTACTAAGGCAGGTAGCTTCGTGTTGTCGAAATTGTGGTAAGGGCTCGGGTGAGGTTGCTGGTGGCTACCCAAGCGAGTTTACACGGTACTTTTGAGCTATTGCCGTCTCGGCGATTTTTCTCCCATTGTTCTTTTGAGACGGAGAGATTGGCTAGGGATGGACGGGAAGTGCATAGGCGTTGTGGACAGAGATGTATGTATCACCAACTCGTCAGGGTTCTCCAGAGAGATTCAGCGCGGGAGTTGTGGCTTTGGTTATTTCTGGCTTGGAGAATGAGGGCGCTGTTGGCTTTAGTGCAAAGGATTGCAAGTCCCCATCCCATATCTACAGGCATTGCAGCGATCCTGTCGCTTTGCGTATTCGGAGGAATTCAAAATGCATATGAACTGACTATTCCTCGGGTGCTATGATGTTGACAGTGTCAACCCTTGGTCGGAGTAACAGTGCCTGGTAATTTAAGGTATCTCTCAGCAACCTAAAGCTAGGTACCTTAAGGTACCCAGACTGTCATGTTGGTACGAAGTAACTTCGTAGCTTGGGTAGAAATACTTACGTCTGATTGGACAACGCAGCTCTAAAGACGTCCTCACCCCTGGTCCCTGCTGGCGACTTGTTCAGACCTGACCCAACAACCAACCCCATGAGATCCGTCATGATTCCACGACTTTCCTCCAACATTTAAGAGACAAACGATGCTTTAAACTCGTCACACTCTGGCCTTTCGATTTGATAGTAGCTGCCTCACGAACATTCCCTCCCGACCAAGCTCGCCCCAACCATGTCCTTCGAGACCGTGATGCCCCCGTACAATGCGGCGGATCCGAACGCATCCTTCCTAAGCTCCTCCTGCCTCGACTTCCTCCTCATTGAGCTCGTCCCGCTCGCCTACCGCGTCACCCGAGAGCTCGACGACGCGTCCGCCGCCTCTGCAACAGACGCCGCTCTGCTAGAACCCACATCCGCACCGGCCGATGCAGCATCGTCGGCTGCGAGCCAACAAGAAGGCGGCGGCGGCGGCGCGCCGTCGAGCGTGGTCGGGGCCGGGGCCGGGAGCGGGAGTGTCGCGCCAAGTATGAGCCGCAAGATGGATGAAGATGAGGAGAGGGACGCTGTGTTCTACAGGCTGGAGAGGCTGGGCTACCGGGTCGGTCAGGGGCTTGTGGAAAGGTAAGGATCGACTTTCTTTATCTCTGGTTTCTAGGCTCTTGTTCTGCCGCTGCCCGCTACGTCACTCTTGCTGCTGGTCGGCAGGAGCACATTGGCGTGGTGATAGTCTCCCGTGAAGGGCTGGCTTCAGGGAACCGTGGGCTGACGCAGAACCCTTCACTGGGAACAGGTTCTCCCGCGACCGGCCTAGATTTAATGACAATCTCGACGTGATCAAGTTTCTCTGCAAGGACCTCTGGTTTTTGGTGTTTCGGAAACAAGTCGACAACCTCAAGACGAATCATAGGGTACGTTCGGTGTACTGGGCTGGTGAAGAGGGGACGGCGACAGCGAGCAAGTAACTGACGATAGACCACTTGCTTCGATTTTAGGGGGTCTATGTTCTAACGGACAACAACTTCAAACCATTCAGCAGGATGAGCACAGACGTAGGAGGACAGGCAGTCATCCGAGCACAGCCGGTACAGAATCCCCCGAATCCCCCCGTCTTCGACTAGCCCTTCTTCCCGCTGACCGTCCCCCTCCCCTAGTTCCTCTGGTTCCCTTGCGGTATCCTGCGTGGAGCTCTTGCGGCAATGGGCGTCGATGCCACGGTCCAGGCAGAGTCCCACGAGCTGCCATCTGCTGTATTCCAAATTAAGACCTTGGCTAAGCAGCCATCTCATTGACAATGGCACTGTTGTACCGACTTCCACAAGGGCTCTCCTCATAAGGACACGGCGACCACTCTGCGAAATGGCGTCACGGCAATATGAACGCCAGAAGACGAGCTCCAAGTCGAGCACACAATCTGTGTTCAGAAGATTCCTATCATTTCTTTCTCATATCCGGTGCCCTCGCGGCTAAGGTGCTGCTTCAAAGAGGGAAAACAGGGAACTGCCAATTTTCCAACAAGCGCACTATGCCCATCACGCCATTTTCGTCCCCTACACGGCCTCTGTCATACTGGTGGATGTCTCATCAACGAACCTACAGCCTAGACGTGAGGTAAAGAAACGTAATCAGCAACCGGCTCTCTTCCTAGTTCATATTATGTCTAGGTGTGGGCTACACGAGAAGGCTACAAAGAAACCTCTGAGCTTCCCCAAGCAGCACCGCAAATTACTCTAAAGATTCTAGGGGAGGGGGAATCACTTTTGAGGGGGGTTGTGAGCAAAGTCGACGCCCTTCTTGATGTTGTCCTTCAGACCGCGAACGGCAACCTCAAGCAGCGCCTTTTCCTTCTCGGTGATGTCGCCGAGAACATCGATGGCCTTCTCGACTCCGTTGGGCTAGATTGGGGGGGTAGCGGTTAGCGTCGATCTACTGGTGGGGAGGTGTTGGCACTCGACTTACTCCGAGCTCGATGGGGACGGAAAAGAAGTCGACGCCCGTCTTCTTGGCAATCTCCTCGCCTCCAGGAACGCCGGGCAGGTAGACGTAGCTTGGCTCAATAAGTCCCTTCTCTCCCTTCACGGCCTTCAGGACCTTCTCGGCGAAGCTATACATTATTCGTCAGCACAGAGTGAGACAGATGTATGCGCATATGTCGCACTACGTACCGGAAGCCAGCATAAGCCATGGAAAGCGTGGCAGAGCCGGCACCATCCTTAGCCTTGACAACCTCATCGCCACCGAACTGGACCCGCTTGACCAAGGCCTCGTACTTGTCGTCGGGGATGGTGACAGACGGGGAGACCTGGCTGAACAGAGGAATGATGGTTTCGCCCGAGTGGCCACCCACAACAGGGACAGTCAGTTCCTGGGGGGACGACTTGCCGGTGATTTCGGCGACGAAGCTCTCCGCTCGGACAATGTCGAGGGTAGTAACACCGAAAAGACGCCTGGGGTCGAAGACGCCCTTGGCCTTGAGGACCTCGGCGGAGATGGGGACGGTGGAGTTGACGGGGTTGGAAATGACGAGGATGAAGGCCTTGGGGGCAACCTCAGCAGCAACTTCGATGAGACCCTTGACGATGCCGGCGTTGATGTTGAAGAGGTCATCACGGGTCATGCCGGGCTTGCCTGTTGGGGACACCGTTTAGAACAAAGCAGCAAAAAAAAAAAAAAAAAAAAAAAAAGTGAGAGCAGATGGGACCGGGGACGACATACGGGGAATCCCAGCAGGGATGACAATGATGTCGGCATCCTTGAAAGCGGCCTTGGCACCGTCATCCTTGGGCAGATAGCCTGTGGTTTTCTGATTATTCTGTCAGTATTGGCGAGATTTCATCGGAGCACAGACAGAATGGTTGGACCTGATCACATACAGCGGGGGATGAGACATGGGAAAGGTCGGCAGCAACTCCAGGAGTGTTGACGACATCGTAGAGGGCAAGCTCGTCGATTAGGGGGGAGAGCTTGAGGAGGAGGGACAGTGGCTAAAAAGCACAGGTGAGCCAATTTGACACGGTTGAGAGTGGTTCTTGGAACACCAGCGCACCTGTCCAATGCCGCCAGCGGCGCCAGCAACAACTATGGCGAGGTCAGTAAGCAGGGGATTTGGCAGAGTCAAAGGGTTCTATTGTTTGAACACTTACCAGCTTTGACCATTTTGTTGATTAAGTTTGTTAATGAGTTGGTATGTTGACGCGTTGGGGATTCTGATGAGCCACCTATCCGTAGGAAATTCCAGCAATTAGCGGGGTAGCTCAAAGAGTAACGCGAAGATAAAGTTGGAAGTTCATGAATGAAGAGGAGATGTTACCCTTAAAAGGATAAGTTAAATAAATAAAAATTGAACCAAGGAGACGAGAATAATCTTACTGAGATGCGATTCTTCTGGTGCTTATTTTCAGTCTTTGAGGCAGCAGTTGGTAGATAAAATCTTGAGAGCGAAAGGAAGGTTCAGCGACAATAGGGTCAGAATTGAAGACTCCTTGGAGGGGGAGCTCCGGGCGGGGTCTGCGGGGCTAATTATTACCTCTTACGTAGGTAGTACGAAGTACGAAGTCGTTGGTACGCCAAACTGTGACTGGACCTGAACTGACCAGGACTAGCGGGGGAATGGGGAAGGTGGTTAAAGGAATCGACCCGAATCAATATGTCCCATTCTCACTCTCACATGTATAACCAATTTTGTCATACCTCTTAATCTTCATTAGATCCCGTCATATCCCGATGGTCCCTAGATCCGGACGCTTACGATCTTACGTGGAGAAGACAAGTCGGTCGGAAGGTTGAGGCCCTGAGGGTGCCTGGTTTCCGGGATTTCCACGTTTTGCCCAGCATGACCAGTCCAGCACAAGAGCCGTACCCCAGAATCAGGAGCATGTACGCGGTTCTCTTTACCTCGGCGTTCATGGGTGAATTACATACTTCCGTACTACTCCGGCCCCGCGTCAACCGTCCGTGACGCGATGCCACTAAATACTAGTTACCTCTTGAAGGGCAAGATGCAAACATGAATCAAAAATAGTTCATATTAACGCCCACCCGCATACCTTAACCCCCGAACAAGCATGACCAGAAGACTTGCTGCACTCAAAACATGGTCTAAAACTCCTCGACTACTGCCAGACCGAAATATAGGCCAATCAAAGGGAGCGATATGTCACAGGCTGCCAGCGCAGAAGCCAGACTTCCCAACCTCCCTAGCCAAGATGTAGAATGATGCACACGAGGAATTCGGGATAGGGTTCCACTGTCCCGAGGGGTTCGGTACTGCGTCGGACACTGCATCTCTAGTGGTTCGAGGACATAAAGAAGAATGCGAAAATGTGTTCAACATCGATTGTGGCCAACGCCGGTTGCGCGTCCCGTAGGAAAGAAAGTGATGTCCCATTCGTTAAGGTATGGCCGAATGCCCGGATCATTTCTTCGTGGCTAACTTATGAGGAAACCCACCCCATTTCATGCCAGTTTTCCGTCCGAAGCTCCTTTTGGTTATCATGTCCATACATCCCCATTACACCTCCTCAGCAGCCGCGGCCTTCTTCGCCTTGTTGCCGCGGAGCTTGCGCTCGGGCTCGGGCTTCACGGGCCTCTCGGCGCGGCGGAGGGCACTGACGCGCTCGACAGCGGCCTGGCGGAGATCGCTGCGGTAGCTGCGGCGAGCGGCCAGGTTGGCAACGGCCTTGTAGGTCCTAAAGGGCAGATAGATATCCCGTTAACACGGCCCCGCTGTCGAGAGAAGGGAATTCAAGCGGCCCCAGCCACCTGCTGCCGCTGAATACTAGAGTCTAGAGGGCGGGAGAACTCACTTCCTGGTCGAGGTTCCGCTGCCGAAAGTGACGACGTTCAGACCCTCGGCGGGCTGCTGTGCCTTCTGCACCTTCTTGCTGATCACCTGGATAGCGCCCTTCTCGCCAGACTGAACACCAATGGCCTAAACCGACGAGTAATATCCCATGTCAGTCTTGCTGTCGCAGTCATAGCATCGTCCTTGCGGTCTCGGAAGAAAAGTTCGATTTCTGCGTGGGGAATGAAGGTACCTTGTCATGAGCAAAGCCGGCGTGCTGGAGATCTAACATTAGCACTCAATATCACCGCAAACGGGAGCAAAAAAAAAAAAAAAAGAAACATACCTTCCTGGAGTGCACGTTCTTCAGGTTCAGGGGATCGCGGGAGAAGTTGGCGGTCTTGCCCAGACTCCTGCGCTTCACGAGGAAGGCATTGTTGGTGCCTGCCAGTCGTTCCTATTAGTCGGCATTATTCCTGAGATCGATCTCGGGTAAGTCACTCACTAACAATCCCCCAGACAAGGTCCTGGGATACGTTCGGGAGTTCGGCGGCCATTGTGATAGATAGTGCACGATCAACGGCGGTTACCAAAAGACAGTCCCAAGAGCTTGAAGTTGGAAATATTCTGTGTCGGTATCTTGTGTGTGGCAGCTCGTCGCTTAACCATCTGCATCGGGACTAGCGCCGTGCGAGCTGTGATAGCGAGACACACCGTTATCCGACAACGTATGTAGTTTTCCCTGACACGGTGGCTTATTGCGACAGCCAACGGACCAGGGACTGACTGACTGGTCCGCAACATCCGTCATCCCCGAATATCTGCCACGCCTCTGACCAGCCCGTCGTCGCCCAACCTATGCCGTCGAGGATGGGCTCCTAGCAACCCCTCCAAGATATCCCAGCCGTATCCGATTTACAATACATTTCTTCGGTGGCCTCAGGTCGCTTACCCGCATGCCTTGCGCCAGGGTCGACTGCTCTCTCCATCAGACCCCGGAGAACGGCATCTAATTCATTCTCCCGCACTCGTTAGACGATAATCTGACGCCATAATTCGAAGCCACTACTGGCAAACCACGACATCAACCATGGCATACATTCTCTTCAGCGTTTCCATTGTCCTCCTTCTCACCGTCACCACTCTCTTTTTCACCCGCGCCTTTTGGTGGCACCGTGTCTCCGATCTCCCGATCCCGGGCCGCGACTACATCTACTCTCGCCTGCCGTCTACGTTTGGCGGCGACATCGAAGCCGGCCTTTCGAGCACCACCTTCGATTTGAACACCAACCTCGAAGCCGGCGACAGCCGTGCTGGCTTGGACGATGCGAGCAAGGCCGAGATCCTCAAGATCATGAAGAAACGTCGCATGAAGTTTGACGAAGCCCGGAGGGTCTACATACAGAATCGATTCAAGGCAAATGGCATTGGCCCCGACGGTCGCCCGACAGACCCGAAGGCGGTCACTTTTAGTTAACAAAGCTATTTTGATGCGTTCAACTCCCCGTGGTCACTAGGGTTAACCTGAAAGACCGAGAGGCAACCCCAGTTGGCACATTCTCGGAGTTGTCCTGTACATTGGCCGAGCGGGCCAGCAACAAGCCGCTGACTTCACTCTCCCCGGGATGCGGAGGCATGAGTACGGTGGTATACTGTAGTGAGCTTATGAGTACGATAAAAAGACTGTTGTCTTAATCGAAATGGGGGGGTTCCGTCTTGCTATTTATAAATCGAAGTCAACGGTTTCAATCCCCATCAGTCACTTGAGAAATACTCCACGGATGGTCATTTCGCATGTGCGTATTAATTAAGGCTTGCTAAGCCTATGCCTATCAGTCAGTCCTATCTAGTGCAGGATTCTGCTGATGTACATGAAAGTCTCTGATGCCCAACGACCTTCGTCCATCTCCCAAAGTCTCCGAAGATGTAATGGGGATCGCATCTAGTCCCTACGATGCCACCGGGCGTGTATCTTCGTGTCAGACCGTAACTCCTTGTCCATGCATGAGAAAAATTATGGGCTCTTGTATCCCAATATGTACAATGGGAGCCGTGAGAAAACCAAATATTACAACTCTGTAAGTCGCCTCGGAAACTGGAGGAGCAAATAGGGCCCTCGTTGTTTCACTAGTCGAAGCATCTCAGTCGCCGTGGAGAAGAGATGAACTCAGTTGTTCTTCTTACTGCCTTGGGTGAGGTAAGCGCGGTCGTCTTCGCCTTCGACTTGCACGCGGATCTTCTCCATCTCCTTGATCCCGGATTTCCAGGTCGTCTCAGACATTTTGGTCTCCTTATTGAACCATTCGGGGTCGGGCTTGCGGTAACTACCACCGAGACGGTCCCAGAGAGTGGTAAACTGGCCGTAGTTGTAGCTGTGATGCTGTTAGTCTCTACAAAGCCGAATGCAGGGTATACCAAAATTGAAATTGAAACCCCCAGTGACGCGCCGCAAGGCCAACTGGATTGAGGGAAATACGCACTTGAAGTACAGATGGTGCGCCGTGTGGCACGCAGAGCCATTGATGACGGGATTGTTGGCGAGGTATTCGCCGTCATGGATCAGAATGGACCAGAAGTTGACCGAGATGAACAAGGCGATGTAGGCCAGTTTGTGCAGAGGGAAGAGCAGAGGATAGATGTGGTAAGGGAGCGACTGAGCGAAGCCATCCAACGGGTGGAATGCATGGCTGGCGTAGGGAGTGGGCATAATCCACTTGTGGTGAGGCTTGTGGAGGTGCTTGTAGACAAGAGGATGATGAAGGCCTCGATGAATCCAGTAGATGCAGAAATCGGTGAAGCAGATGAACAGAGGAATCTGTGCGAAGTCATACCAGCGGCCAGGGCCGTCTTCGGTGGTGTCGTAGAGTTTGGCATATCCTCGAATATCAACAAGGAACAGAAGCATGGTCAAGAGGGCCATTGTCGGCATGGCGAAGGTAGCCTGCTTGATCTCGAGCCGGATCTGGTTCTTGAGGAATCGGGGATGCTTGAGCGTGGCCTTGTCAAAAATGAAGAAGAACGAGAGTGTGGCGAAGACGAAGTACAACAAGAACCCCAGAATACTGGACAAGACACGCGCACACAAAGGTCAGCATCTGACCCATTATGGGGGGCGGTAGTTATCCGAGCAAGCACTGCCAGGTTTTGGAAAGCTTACAGGGTGACGAAGTAGAGGGTGATGGCCTGACGATAGATATTGTCTCTGGGCCATGCGCTCATGTACGCGGCCTCGGATGGCTCAAGGTGGAGATAGTGGGTTGCAGGCTTGTATTGCCATCCCGAGAAGGTTCCCGTAGTGGCATTTGCAAAACCATCGCGCGCAAGGTCGTACGGAGCCGGATGCGCTGGCATGAGCCAGGCATAAATGTGGTCGGCAACGTAGGTGTCGATGATCTCAAGTGCGATATCCATGGCGACGGTTTGTTCAACAGCTGTTAGTGGCGTTAGGAGATCCTGAGGTCTTTTGTCAGGAAAATCAAGTGAGAGTGAAGTGCAGTGTTGCTCTAAGCATTGCGCGCGATAGAGAGGAAGAAGAATAAAGAAAAAAGAGCTTGGGAGTTAGAGGGGAATAGAGGGGAAGAAAAAATTATTCGGTCACGGCAGGCAAGTAGGGAAAGCACGACGCGGGTTATTATTTGGAAGGGACTAATAGAAGAGAAAAAAATAAAAGGGGCAGGTGGAGTTTCCCGGCGTTAAGGCAGGAAGGGGACAGTCGTACCTATTGAATAGAAGGTAGTTACGTACCTGCTGATCAGGGTCCTCGGTTCTCACTCGACTTGAGGTTGATATATTAAGGAGGGAAACGAAGACAACAAAAAGAAGAATTCCAAAGGCAAAGCCTAATTAATAGCAAGGTGTATACTGGGCGCGTTGTGCTTTATATAGAGTAGACTCAATGGATAAGGTAGAAAAGGACGTTAGGTAGACTATCCGTATGTATGGGTACAGTGCCTGGAACACGTACCTTCCTCATGCGAGATATACTCACAATATTCCGCCTGTACCTTAACCTGGGACGGTGTATGGCCTGATGCGAACCAGTACCGGCCCGAGAGCACTATAGGTAGCTGTTGGTAGTCTAGAGTATTGGTCAACACGGACCTGCGCGCTTCCTGAATTGAGGTTGCTCATTCGCTTAGAAGCCGTCTCAGTAATTAGTATCCCCGGAAAATCGGAACGTTGTATACCACCCTCTTTTGGGGTGATGTCACGTCTTTTCGTATTCGGGTTAAAGTCAATCTCCGTTGATTCTTCCGTCTGTATGTCCGTAACAGTCCGTTGTATTATGTACCTTACCTTAAAAACCATGGTGTCTCTTTATGTCTTGATTCTTGGTTCCCTCTGGCTACGTTTAGCAGCAAACCCGTGATGTGCATGCATCAGTTATATCAGGCACATCAGTCATTGTTACCTAGACTATTGCTCTACTGTTATACATGGATATGGTCATAAAAACCACTGAATGTCTCAATAGGTAGCTTCCTATATACTACTACCTCAGCCAAATGAGTCTCGCAACCATCACTCGTGGAGAAATTGACACACGCACACCACTCGTACTGAGAACAATTGGGGTATATAAGGTAATAAGCCGTGGTATTCTAGTTCTGCCGTGCTCTGTACACGTGTTTCCCTTGCCACAAATATACGACCCTTCCATGGTCACCAACCATCCATATCAACAAGAGTCAAACCTCGCCAAGTCCCAAAGAGGCAGACTGGAAGGGCAGGTGGTGGATCAATCTTACGAGTGCAGGGACCCTCGACGTCACTGGAGGGGTATTGGATAAGGCAATAACCTCACCATAAGATTTCCATCGCCGCACCTTGAGCATGAAACAGAATGTCTAAGCTAGGGCTGCGGGTCCGGGAGCACAAGGTCTACGGAGCATTGAGGCAACGTCAACCTGTCGCCGACACTCGAATAAATCGATGCAAATTAATTATCGTCCGTTTCCCCTGGCCTATTCATCACCTGCACACAGCCTACTTATCTTAATTCGCTATATGGCTTGCCGTCGCTCGTTCTGCGGATGGTTCCTCCTCACAATAGGCACTTGTTGTCCTCGAATCGGCCTCTTCAGTCAAGCCTGGGAGATTTGACCGGCAACGTCTGCTGTGATTCTTGTTGAATTAACGGGAGCGTGCTTGCAGGGAGCGTTAATTCAGGAAATATATGATTGTATTATCTATAAAAGAGAAAGAAAAAGGGGGCGGGTATACGTGTCCTAAATATATCTACCACCTTCTAAGCGAGGATAGTAGGGCACCTCTAACTAATGGGAGAGCACTATACCGTGGCTCACGTGATAGAATATAACACACCCCCTAATTATTACGCCGTGATTAGCGGAATAATTACTCAGCCTAACCTTAACCTAGCCTTATTTTTAACCTTAAAATAGCCTGAAAGGGTCGTGTGATACCCTTAATATCGAGTTAAAAGGCAGGAATAAAAGCTGTAAAATAGTAAAGAATAATAATAATAATAGTAAATAATAAAGGAAAAGTGCTATTAATAGTAGTAGTAAATAGGTGATAGTAGGGCCTTCTATAGATAAATTAAAGGCGTTATACCGGCGTTTTAGAGCTTTTGGATCTTCCCTCTTATAACCCTTATTCCGTTATTTTTAAGGATTTTTTAACGATTTTAATCTAAAATTTCCAATTTTTTCTATTAATAGTAATAAAAATAATATTAACAGCGATATAGTAAGTATCGGAGCTTTATTTTTAGTGGCGCGTGCTAACTAGTAGCGTTATCTTAGGCTCCTCCTACTCTCTTGGCGGTTACTTATACGGCGGCGGCGAAAAAGGCTTTATCTAATAGCGTTAAGAAGAATAAGGGTAAGGGTGCCGGTAAAAAGGGTGCTACTATAAGTTATTTTAGCGTGTTTATTCTAGATCTAATTGCTTTAGACCTTAGCTAATTCCTAATAGACTGCTAAGGGCAGTGGTAATAATAATAATAACGATACCGACGACGATTTTATTCTAGTCCTATTCGAACCGCCCTGCCTTAAATACGTAAAGGGTATTTATTCTAGAAAATAGCGCTCCTTTAATTACTATATTTCTATTCCTAGGCGCTCTAATAAGTGCTAAAAGTATAAGGATAGAAACTATATATACTACCCTTTATAAGTTCTTACCCCTTATCTAAGGCGCTTTACGATCGTGATTATATACTCTATTTCGTATTAGCTCGAAGATATATACGCTATTAAGCTTTACGACCGCTAACCTATACTTATAGTTTTTCTGGCCTTATCTTATTAGTTAAAATTCTATTCGACTATATTATAGTCCGAAAAATTGATAAAGACTCGGAGGACGATAATAAAAAGGTGCGTTTATCGCTTTATTTCTAAGGATAAAAGCTCTAACTAACTAGTCTCGCGTAGTTCTTCGCTAAGCTTAAATAAACGGTGAAGTTTATAATTAAGTTAATAGAGGATAACGATAACGAGAAGTTTTTCCGTAAGGAAGAACTTAAGGGAGAGTTAAACTAGCTCCCCGCTATTACTTCGAGTAGTAATTCCACCTCCTAGCTTACGGGAGTTATAATAGATATTTTACGGGAGAATAGTTTTATTATTACTCCTCCTACTAAAGGAAATAGCGTAAATATTACGTAGGACGGTGCTTAGGATAGTATTAATAGAGCTTAGTAACTTTATTAGTATACTCCGATATTATCTTTTTAGGGTTTTAGGATTTACTTTTAGGGTTTAGTATAGTATTATAGTATTAAGATAACGATATACCCTTCCTTTTACTGAATTAACTAAACCGCCGGCGCGCGGTACGCCTAGGGCGCGGGAATTTCGACTTTAACTACTTCTTTCTACCCCCTCCGTGCACTAATTATATTAAGATATACTCGGAAGTTCTCGAATTTTTATCGTGGAAGTGCTTTTATTAATCCGTCCGCTAATATTAAATTTATAGTAAGATATATAACTCTAAATAATCCTTTTACGTTCTCCTACCGTACCTAAAAGCGCTATATATTTAAATAGTAAAGCCTAGTCTCGATCCTAAAGCTATTATCGACTACTAAGCGTATCGTTTACGTGTTATCGTAGTGGATATCCTAAGGAGATTCTGGATTAAAGCGTATTTCGACGAAAAAACGCTTTAAACCTATTATTTCTTTCGCCACTTACTCTAAAGCGAGTAGCTCTACTTCGGTTATAGACGTTATTACCGTTACTTACCTTATTACTTTCTATATAACTAATCCACTAAATAAGCTAATAAGGTAACCCTATAAAGATCTTCGTGTGTCTAAATTATCTATAAAAAAAGCGTCGCTTATAATAACTATCGCCTATAAATTAATACTTAATCCGTACTAAATTAAGAGGTCCCTTATTATAGATAAATAGCGGATAGCTTAGTCTACCGCCTTATAGTGCTCGGGAGAGGGGTTTCTAAGAAAGCGGGAGAGGATAAAGGCGGCGAATACTATATCAGGATATATTATAACTACTATATAAAGCATTAATCCGACCTTTTCTTAATAAGATTTAATCTCTTAAGCGGTAGCTTTATCTTCTCTTTTCCGGTATTCTATAACCGGAATAAGAATTATTAGGTAGGTATTTAGAGCGTCTAATTTAAACCTAGCTATAATCTTTTCGATATATAAGTCGTAGGAGAGGAAAACCTTACGTTAAGGGCGATCTTAAGTAATCTTAATACCTAAAAACTAATCGGCTTCCCCCTTTTCCGATACCTTAAACCTTACTTTAATCCCTTCGATAATCCTAAGGCTATTTATAGCACTATCTCTATAAAATAACACGAGAATATCGTCTATAAAGAAAATAACGAATACGTCTTAAGCCTTAGTATAGAATAGGCACGGTTCTTCCTTACTTACCTCTATCCCTAAGTCTATTAGGGTGGCCGCGAAAGTCTAGAACTATAGTCTAGGCGAGTCGCGTTGTCTATATAATGCTTTATCGAGCTCTAAGTATTTATCGGGCTACATAAATCTATTAGGAAGTTCGTATATAACGGGCGTTCCTATTTTACTTCTTTAAGCGTTAACGAAGGCATTAACGATATTAAGTTACTTAATCTTTAGATTAAACTAAGTAGCTAGGGCTATAATAATACGAAAAGATCGTATAGCGAGCGTTACTATATAGGTTCCCTCTATTATTAAGCTCTCCTATAAATCCCCTTAAATATATAAGTATACCTTATATCGTCTAAGATATCCGTCTTAGTCGAACTTATAGATAAAAACCCACTTTAACAGAAAAGGCTTTAACTTCGCCTCTAAGCGCTTAATTTCCCTCTATATACGCTTCTTAATTAGCTTATTTACCTCCTTCTACGCGGCTTCCTTAAACCGTTCACGTATCGGGTAGTTAATAAGCTCCCGCTAATACCTTAGTATAGCCTTTAGGTGGTCGCGATAAACCCTGCCGTCGATTAAGGGCTTTAGTGATATTATAGCCCCTTTTTTAGTATTCGAACGGGTATTTATTTTAGTATCGGCTACTCCGAGGATTATTAAATTTAAGGTTAAAAGCCCTTTTAGCCCGTCCTAATACTCTTCTTATTAATTAGATAAGAAAAATGTATAAGTTAAAGGTATATCTGGCTCTACCTAATATATCCGTGGATTAATCCGAATAGTCTTTCCTTAAGCACGGCGATCGGTAATTCTTACGCTAGCGCGCGTTACTTCCTTTACTAGTATTCTTTTTTTCCTTTAGTAGGCGGTCACCTTAGGAGTCAGTGGGATAGATAGTCTGGA